GCCCACTTCTCCCACACGTGGTCTGGGGCCCAGCAGTGGTGTGGCACCCTCCATAGTCAACACGGGGTGGTGGGCGTGAGGCCTCTGGCGCCAGCTGCCTGTTTGCCACGGCTGTGTCCCCCGCCAGGACTACGAGTTAGAAGCGGAGAAACTCAGGTCCCTTCTTGACTTGGAAAACGGAAGGAATAGCCACATGAGCAAGAAAGCCAGGCTCCAGTCTCCTGCCACCAAAGTGAAGGAGGAGGTGAGCTTTGTGGTCGCTCGGGGACGCACAAGTGGGTGCATATTCAGGAGGAGGTGAGCCCCCTGGACGCGGAGTTGGGAGGAGGTGGGGCCCCTGGGGATGCAGAGTTGGGAGGAGGTCAGCCCTTGAGAACACAGTTGGGAGGCGAGCCCCCTGAACACAGAGATTCAGAGTCAAGAGGAGGTGAGTCCTCTGAATGCATCGCGAGGGGGTGAGCACTCAGGACGCATGGGGCTGGGGGTTGGGGTAGCGGTCCCCCGCCCTCGGGTGCAGACCGGATTGATTGCCACTTCTACTCCACCCATGGATTTGGGAATTCCACTTGCTCCTCCCTTCAGCAAATACAGAGGAAGGGGGAGGGGGGCTGAAGGTTTCATTCCCTTCTGCGCCCGAGAACAGAGGCTCAGAGACAGACACACCAGCTTAAGGGCACTGGAGATTCAAACTTCTGCCTGTAAACCCAGAGTCTACGCCCCCACATGAGACTGTAAGGGTGTGGCAAAATTTCTTCCTTGACCCCCAAATGCCTGAAAGAGGCTCCCTGTCTGCTTCCCCGCGCCTGTTCACACCTGATGCTCTCGTTCTCCCGCTCTCCGTAGGAAGCAGCGCTTGCTGCCAAGTTCACTGAAGTCAACGCCATCAACAGACAGAGGCTGCAGAACCTGGAGTTTGCGCTGACCCTCCTGAAGCAGGTAACAGCTCCCTACAATGAGAAGGAAGGGTCCTCCTGCCCCAGAGAGCAGCCCGTGAACAAGTGCAGGGTCCCTGGGCAGTGTAGCTGGGGACACTGATGCAAACATGGGTCCAAGCCACTGCGTGTTTACACAGCATCGCCAAAGGCAGGCCCCTTTACTTTTTTGCTTTTTTTTGGGGGGGTCCCCACACCCAGCGATGCTCAGGGGTTACTCCTGGCAGTACTCAGGGGACCTATGAGATGCTGGGAATCGAACCTGGGTCGGCCAAGTGCAAGGTAAAAGCCCTATCCGCTGTACTACCACTCCGGCCCCAATGCAGGTCCCTTTAAGCCCACACTCTGTGGGAACACTGTAAGAGCAAGCAGCTGGGAGTGACCCAGGGAGCAACAGCCAGGGGCGACTATCACTGTGGCCGACCCAGGAGCTGTTATCACTGAGCAGGCGCTCAGCCGGCCTCCAGGCATGGGAGACAGGCTTCCTCTCCTCTCCGAGCCGTGTGCAGCTCCACGTTTCCTCACAATGCACTCGTCACCCGAGTCCATGTGTGACGCCAGCCCAGTCTGTCCTGCCCGTGAGGGCGCGGGGACGCTTCCGGTTCTCACGCCCACCGTCTTCTCCTCTGCAGCAGCCCGAGGCAGGTGCGGCCCACGAAAGCCTGCAGGGCCGCCGGCCGGGCGCTGGCGTGGACGAGACATGGAAGATCCAGAAGGAGCTGGACGAGGAGACGGAGCGGAGGCGGCAGCTGGAGAAGGAGGTGCAGAGCGCCCAGGAGGAGATCCGCAGCCTGCAGGGCCAGGGCCCGCAGGAGTCGGTGGTGACGCAGGAGGTGCTCAAGAAGCTGCCGGACCCCGCGCTGGAGGAGAGCCTGCAGCAGACGCAGCGCAGCCTGGCAGAAGAGCAGCACAAGAACCAGCTGCTGCAGGATGAGCTGGAGGGGCTGCGCCGGCGGCTGCGCGGCCTGGAGCAGGAGGCCAGGGCCGGGGGCCAGGAGTACGTGGTCAAAGAGGTGCTGCGCATCGAGCCCGACCGGGCGCAGGCCGACGAGGTCCTCAAGCTGCGGGAGGAGCTGGAGGAGCTGCGGCGGCAGAAGGGCACCCGGGAGGCCGAGGTGGCGCTGCTGCAGCAGCGCATCGCGGCGCTGGCGGCGGAGAAGAACCGGCCGCAGGAGAAGGTGACGGAGAAGGAGGTGGTGAAGCTGCAGAACGACCCCCAGCTGGAGGCCGAGTACCGGCAGCTGCAGGAGGCGCAGCAGCGCGAGGGCGCGCTCCGGGAGAGGCAGGAGGAGGAGCTGAGCTTCCTGCAGGACAAGCTGCGGCGGCTGGAGAAGGAGCGGGCCATGGCCGAGGGCAAGGTCACCGTGAAGGAGGTGCTCAAGGTGGAGAAGGACGCGGCGGCCGAGAGGGAGGTGGGCGAGCTCCAGCGCCAGTACGAGGACGAGGCGGCCCGGACGCGCAGCAGCCAGCGGGAGAAGACGGAGCTGCTGCGGCGCATCTGGGCGCTGGAGGAGGAGAATGCCAAGGTGGTGGTGCAGGAGAAGGTGCGGGAGATCGTGCGGCCCGACCCCAAGGCCGAGAGCGAGGTGGCCAACCTCCGCCTGGAGCTGGTGGAGCAGGAGCGCAAGTTCCGGGGCGCCGAGGAGCAGCTCAAAAGCTACCAGGCCGAGCTGGAGGCGCTGCGGCGGCGGGGCCCCCAGGTGGAGGTCAAGGAAGTGACCAAGGAGGTCATCAAGTACAAGACGGACCCCGACATGGAGAAGGAGCTGCAGAGGCTGCGGGAGGAGATCGTGGCCAAGACCCGGCTCATCGAGCGCTGCGACCTGGAGATCTACCAGCTCAAGCAGGAGATCCAGGCCCTGAAGGACACCAAGCCCCAGGTGCAGACCAAGGAGGTGGTGCAGGAGATCCTGCAGTTCCAGGAGGACCCCCAGACCAAGGAGGAAGTGGAGAGCCTGCGGGCGCGGCTGTCGGAGGAGCAGAAGAAGCAGGTGGACCTGGAGCAGGAGCGGCTCTCCCAGGAGGAGAAGATCAGGCAGAAGGAGGAGGAGCTGTCGCGGGTGCGGGAGAAGGTGGTGCAGCAGGAGGTGGTCCGGTTCGAGGAGGAGCCGGGGCTGCGCGCCGAGGTGGACGCCTTCACGCAGAGCATCGACGTGGAGCTGCGGCAGATCGACACGCTGCGGGGGGAGCTGCGGCGGCTGCAGCGCCGCCGGGCCGAGCTGGAGCGGCAGCTGGAGGAGCTGGAGCGCGAGCGGCAGGCTCGCCGGGAGGCCGAGCTGGAGGTGCAGCAGCTGAAGCAGCGGCTGGCTGACCTGGAGAAGGAGGAGGGCGAGGCCCGCGAGAAGGTGACCCTCAAGCAGAAGGTGGTGCTGCAGCAGGACCCCCAGCAGGCCCGCGAGCACGGGCTGCTCAGGCTCCAGCTGGACGAGGAGCGGCACCGGCGCCAGGTCCTGGAGCGCGAGCTGGAGACCCTGAAGCAGCAGCTGGAGCACCTGGAGAAGAGGGAGGTCAGGGAGAAGGTGGTGTTCTCGGAGAGCGTGCAGGTGGACAAGGGCGACACGGAGCAGGAGATCCGCAGGCTCAAGAGCAGCCTGGAGGAGGAGAGCCGCCACAAGCGCGAGCTGGACGCCGAGGTGGGCCGGCTGGAAGCCAAGCTGTCGGAGCTGGAGTTCTCCAACTCCAAGTCGTCCAAGGAGCTGGACTTCCTCCGGGAAGAGAACCAGAAGCTGCAGCTGGAGCGGCAGAACCTGCGGCTGGAGACCCAGCGGCTGCAGTCGGAAATCCAACTGGCCGCCACGGAGCCGCGCGAGCCGAGGCCCGGGACGGCGGCTGGCACGGGGCCCACCCTCGACTCCAGGGTGTGGTCCCTGGAGCGGGAACTGGACGACCTCAAGCGGCTCTCCAAGGACAAAGACCTGGAGATCGACGAGCTGCAGAAGCGCCTGGGCTCGGTGGCGGTGAAGAGGGAGCAGCGTGAGAACCACCTGCGGCGCTCCATCGTGGTCATCGACCCGGACACGGGCCGGGAGCTGTGCCCCAAGGAAGCCCACCGGGCGGGGCTCATCGACTGGAACATGTTTGTGAAGCTCAGGAGTCAGGAGTGTGACTGGGAGGAGATCTCGGTGAAGGGTCCCAACGGGGAGTCCTCCGTGATCCACGACCGGAAGTCCGGCAAGAAGTTCTCCATCGAAGAGGCCCTGCAGAGCGGCAGGCTGAGCCCCGCGCAGTATGACCGCTACATCAACAAGGATATGTCCATTCAGGAGCTGGCAGTCCTGGTGTCCGGGCAGAAGTAGCACAGTCCTCCTCCCTGCCCGGGAACGCTCTCTTCTGCTCTGCTCCCTTCAAGCCTCCTGGTGTGTCTTCTTCTCCCTGGCCCTGCCTGCGAAGGCTCCGGCCCGGATTACTCTCCCTCCCCCCCCGCCCCACACCCGACTCCCATCAGACTCAATATTCGCCGCTGACTCGACCATCAAGCTGGCCAGCACACGGTGCCCGCCCTCTGACCCCTTTCCCACCAGCAACGGGAAACAACAGCCAAGAACAACAGAGCGTGCACTCTCACTGCACCCAATGCCTGCCTACGCCCCTTCCTGCCTAACTCCCTTTTGTCTCCCCCCGCCCCACAAGGACCCCGGCTGGGGGTCTGCGCTCCTCAGTCTCGCGCACAGACCCAGGCTTGGTCCCAGGAAAGGCAGAGTGTGACCCGGGTGCCAGAGCGGAGGACGCCTGCTGGCCCTCGGAACAGACGGGCTGCGCTCGGCCTGGCTTGCAGTGCCTTACCAGTCCCCCTTGGTATCTTATTGGTATTTAGGTAAACAATTTTTTTCACTGAAATAATCTTTGGGTTCTCTGGATCTCATTCATGTATCATGTAAGAAATGGGAAATATTAGGGAACTATTTATAGCACAAAAATAAACCCCTGGTGGCTTGACCCTCTTTCCTGGTAAGTGTGTTTCTTCCTCTCCCATGAGGTCCCATCCCCAACTCCCAAATGGATGTCGCACTTACACCAGCCCCAACCAGAGAAAGATCACTTACAAAGACAGAAGAAGGAGAGACCGTGTTTTGGAAACCTCGAAACAATTTATTGAGTTGCTTTATACAAGATTAACAATTTCCACACCACCCCAACACCGACATAGTCGCTGCACGAAAGCCACAGCCCCTTTCACACCTAAAAAATGGCTGCGCCAAGGAAAGCCCACGGCGCCGCAGCCCCAGGCCCCGGAGCCCGCCCCGCCTGTCTGCCTGGCCGCGGCAGTGTAGGTCACTCACTCTCTCGTTCCCACAAATAAAGCATTAACAGGAAAAAGAAATCCCATAAACTCCCCATCAAAGAAACGTTTCCCTGAGGCAAGAGGCATCACTAGATTCCTAGGAAGGAGGGAATTCTGCTCCAGCGGCACGGCTGGGTACGGGGGCGGGAGCGCTGCAGGGGAGGGACGGGCTGGGTCGGTTCCTGGCTGTGGTCCCCAGGTGTTCTCGCACAGAGGAGCCTGGGAAATGCCCACTGCTCACTCAGCGGTCACAGACGGCCTCTGCTCAGCTTGGAGCTCAGCATTACAAATCTCTTCTTTGGCTCTTTTGCTACTACCTAAGACTACTCTGTAAACAAACTGGAAATCCGAGTTGCAAAAAATAGATATAACAAAGGGATACAGAATTCACTTAACCCGATGTGAAATACATGTTGGTTCTTACATTAAAAAAAAAAGTCAGAGCAGAGGCCTGGCCAGATAGCTGCAGAGGTCATGCCCCCAGGAACTGGGCACGCCTCCGCCTGCACTGGGGGTGGGCGTTTCCCCCGGGGTCAGGAACCAAAAGGGCTGTATCTTCACACACTCCGAGGGTGCCTTTCACTCAACTCACTTGCAACCACTTGGCCGGAACGGTAGGTTCAAACACGCCTCGGGCACACACCGCACAGGCTGCCTGGACCCTCACCCCCCTCGTGAAGCAGCCACTGGCGAGTGAGGACAGCCAGGGGCCGGGAGCTCCCGGGCACTGTCCCAGTCTGTCGTCTGCACACGGCACACCTCCCTTCAGCCAATGCGGAGCCGGGCGGCTGCTTCACGGGGCAGGTGCTTCGGAAAGCTGACCTGCAGCTCTGCCTGAGGAGGATGCTCAATCAACTGGAATGTCTGTCTGGGATTGGGACCCCTGGATCCTCCGTCCTCAGACACGAAGACGGGCTGTGGGGCCCCTGCAGCCCACCTGTATGAACTCTGGAAAAACAAACTCTGGCTGAATCGGGACCTGGGCCGGGGACTTGGGGCCCAGGCGACCTTCAAGTCAGGACGGCACAGATTATGATGCGCAACTGGGAAAAACTCGTTACAGAAAGCGGCTATGTGTGAAACGCAGATGTGTCTTTATAAAGGCCTTCCTGAGACGGGCTCAGAGGGCCACGTGGCTGTGTCTGGCGCCGCCCCACCATAAAGGCACTGGGATAAGTCTTCCTGGAACATGATGTGCGGAGAACAGTCCCATCCAATCCAATGCATTTAATGGTAACGATGAAAACTGAGCCAAAAATAAGTCTTTAAAAATCCTATCTCAACCGGTGAATTGCAAAGTCTTTTCTCTAAAAGCTTCATTGTCATATTCAGCAGAGACTCCCCTGACCATGATGAGCACACAGAAGGTGTTCTCACCTGCCTCCCGGCAACAGCCGCAGCCTGGGGTGGCGGGTGTCCCATTGAGCACGCAGCCTGAGGATGAGGCAGACACGAGCACGGCCGGGGAGCTGACCGGCCAGAAGGAGCCCTGATCGGAAGGGCGCTGTGAGGTACTCTGACCAGGTGCCAGGGCTCAGGGCAGAGGCCAAGCGCAGGTGTGCCCACAGCGCTCCATGCCCAGAGCACACCCCAGTCTAGAGCTGCCCCTTCAACGGGCACCCACAAGAGCACCAGTCAGTCAATGCCCCAGAGATGCACGGGCTGCTCCCCTCACGGAAGGCACATCGCAAGTGCCCAGAGATGCTCACCTCAGCGCTCACGCCTTCTCCAGAAGGAAAGCCAAAAGCACAAAGAGCAGAGCAGTTACCTAGATTCTGAGAGCTGCTTGCTCAGCTTCCCCACAGGCCCAAGGTGCTAGGCCTTTCCTCTGAAGAGGTCACAATTTCCGTGGCATGCCGGGGCCCTTCCCGTGAAGCGGAGAAGCATCTGGAAAAGAAGCAAACACAGAACACGAGTCTTTCACGGTCCCGGGTTCCCTCTGAGCAGCAGTAGCCAAACTTCAGGGAAACTCATCTTCGCAGCGACGGCTCTTGAACCCAGAGTGGTCATAACAGCCCCGCACTGGGACAGGGACAGCGAATCCCACAGCACCGTCCTAGACATGGTGCTCACACAACAACCCCAACAACAACCGTTTTCCATCATCAAATGGCTCCAGCATCCTAGCAACCCAGTGAGGCACTGCATTCTCTGTCCACACTGAAAGCAAGCCCAGCACAGAGAAGCACACACGGGCTGGGCCGCACAGCCATTGAGGGCCTCGCCCTGAGCCCGTCTGACTATGCAGACAAGCTGCTTAAAGGGCCTCTCTCAGCGCAGACACTTTCTGCACAGCCAGGAGGAGGCCAGGAAGACATGGAACAAGAAAGCAGTTTTGTTGTTGAAAAAATCAGTCAGGGTCAGGGAGACAGTTCCAAGGGCTAGAGCGCAGACCTGGCGTGTGGGCGCTCCAGGCTCAACCCCCAGCACTTCATGTTCTCCTGAACACTGCAGTGTGCCCCCACAACACTGGAAAGGAAGCACCCAGCCATGTGCACAGACTCCTGGATGGTGGCTAAAAGCTGGCAGGAACGTCTCTTCCACGCACAGCCCTGTCACAGTCCTCCTGGACTCCCCTACGTGAAGGAAAGTCACTGCTGAGAGGCCCAGCCCCTCTGAAGGACAGCTTCCACCACGGAGGGTATACCCAACCTTGCAGGCCTGCCACCGCGGCAGCCCTGGGACAGTGCCAGGGGTACAGCCCATGTGGAGGTGCTGGCCATGCTTCCCTTCTGCTCCCCAATGCACCGGTGCACGCATTCCCCGAGGCTCGGCTCCTGAACAAGACTCTCCCCGGGCAGGCCATCATGCCGCAGCAAGCAGGTCTAAGACAATGAGAGGAGCGCAGGGCAAAGCCGAGATCCCCTTCCCCAGGTGTCCCTGTGGAGGTCCCAGAACAGCAGGCGGCAGTTCAGCAGTGGAGAGACGCCCTGCGACTGCGGAAAGGCTGCGCCCTGCATGCCCGGCCCTGCACTGCAGGCTCTCATCTCATCATCCCTACTGACGCTGTGAGCTCAGAGAGCTTCTGAGACCCAGGCAGCCTAGAGGGGGGCTTCAGCTCAACGGCTCCAAGAGTCCCACCACCACCCTGGCCTGGAGCTCTCCCGCCCCACACGCCGGCCACTGTAACTACTCGCACGGGGGACCCTAACGGCAGCGCCAACGGGGTCCTCTCCGCCAACGGGGGCCTCCAAGAACAGAGCAAGACAACACGGCGAGGACAGAGACACAGGAACCCTCGGCAGCAGACAACAGGCAGGGGGCTGTTGCCTGTTGCGCGTGACGCTCTGACCTCCTGGCAATTACCTGGCAAACTCTGCGGGAGGTGGGTGGACACGGCAGCGTGTGGGAGAGGCGCTGCACGGGGTGGGCTGGAGTGCAAGCCAGCCAGGAGACCTGAGGGGAAACAGGAGGGAGAAGAAAACAAAACACGCACATCGGAGACGGGAATGGGAAAGAGCCTCAGGAAGTCCAGACCAGAGACCGGCCAGGCTCTGCGCGAGCGCTCCCCGGGAAGGGACCCAGCATGGCGCCCACGGCCACACAGCAGACAGATGGCCACCCAGGACACGACAACAGCGCCAGGGCAGAGCACGGAGCCCCGGGTTCCGGCTGGGCCTCGTCACGGCGACAGGAGGAAGAGGCACTTACTGTGACTCAGGCCGTGGTGGAAGGTCCCAGGGGCAGGGCCGGTGACGATGGCGTCCTTGGAGACCCCCGCTTTGGCAGAGGTGTCGGCGTTGAAGGAGAGCACGTGGAGAGGGAACTGGGAGATGATCCCCAGGGAGCTGGAGCCCATGGCCCCGGGCAGCTTTGGGGCGCCTGCCTTGTAGGATGACGGCAGCAGGTTTAAGGGGGAGGAGCTGGTCAGCAGCACAGCCCCACTCGTTCCTTTCTGGGGAAGAAACAAGAGGGTCAGCGCCCCAGTCCAGGAGGAAGCGGCCCCTGGTGTGACCCGCAGCAGCAGCAAACAGCACGTGCCACAGGTCTCCTCTGAGCTCGGAAGGAAGAGGGTCGGGGCGACCCACGCATGCAGGTGGACAGGATGGCACGCGCGCCGACACATCTGCAGGTGCTCATCGTGGCTGGGGAAAGAACAGGACGAAGCCTGGGGACCAAGAGACAGGGGGGCCTCGCGGGGGTGGGCGTGAGGGCCAGAGCAAGAGCTCCCCGCGTGGGACCTCACTCCTCTTGTCCCTCCAACCCCATGCTCCTGATTTCCCAGAGAACCCTGCGCTCCGTAAAACGGCCTTTCTCTGGGCTGAGTCCTTGGAACCCCATGGAGAGAGAGATCCGTCTTAGGCACACACATCTCCACAGAACTCGTCGCCTCTCAGAGGAGGCCACTTCCACCCCCTTGTCTGGAGAGAAGGGCTGGGCCGGAGGGGGAAGAGGCAGTTCCCTATTTTGCGTCAGGCTGGCCTGTCCATCCCCACCTCCTTCTCCTGAGGCTGACAGGCTGGCTCCCAAGGCCCGTGGCCCCCGAAGAGGAAAGATCTGGCCAGAGGCGGCCCGTCCTCCTGGCTCCAACGCTCCCCGCTCCTCCCCGACCCCCACACTTTCAGAGTCCCCCGGACGGGGCATATGGCACTTTCCACTGGCGCACGGCATGTGTGGGACACTCACTGGCAAGGAGGTAGACGAGGTTGCGCTGCTCACCGCGCTGGGCTTCAGGGAGGAGGTCAGTAACTTGGCCACGCCCTGGGTCCCGCCGCTAGAGTCTCCATTTGGGCCTCCGGGAGGGGCCACCAGTGTCAGCTTCTGGGGCACAGACGGCTTTTTCACGGTGGCCCCGGGGAGGGGTCGGCTGGCAGACTGTCCCGTGGAGGGAGGCTGCACCCCGGGGAGCAGGCTCCCGGAAGCTGCACCCTGGACCGACGTGGCCCCAGAGGAAGAGCTGCCGGCAGCGACGCCGTGCTTGGAGACGGAGCCGGTGAAGGGGCTGTTCTTGTACGTGGGGCCCGAGCTGGCCGCGTGCTGCTTTGCCGGGTGGCCCAGGGCAGCGGCAGAAGCGGCGGAGGTCTTGTGAGCGCTGCTGCTGACTGCCTGCGAGCCTCCTGAGGAGGAGGGCGCAGACGGATGGAAGCCCTGGCCCTTGGCAGGGGTCTTGACGAGCTGGAGGAGCGAGCGATGACACTGTGGGGAGGGGGCCTTGGGGCCCTGGAACTTGCTGACCAGTGGGGGTGCGGACTGAAGCTTACTGACCAACGGGGCTGGGGAAGGGAAGTTCTTCTGCTGCTGAGTGCCTGCATGAAAGACTTTGACTTGGGGGCTGGGCAGGGGGGCGGCGGCCTGGGGTCCGTGAGACGTCCGTGGCACACTGTGGTGTTTTGTTTTGGGCTGGTGCGCGTCTGGCAGGCCCTTGCTGACAGGAGCCGGGCAGGACAGCTCTTTGTAGCCGGAACCCTCTGGCTTTTTCTCCTGAGAGGACTGCCCCAGCGCCAGAGCCTGTTCCGCCAGGAAATTGAGGGGTGAATGCAGAGAGCTGGAGGGCGGAGGAACAGAAGGGCTGGGCTTGGGGAAGTTCCTTTTCTCTTCGGTACACAGAACGCCTGTTCCCTTTTCCGCAGGTGCCTTGGAGGGCGTAGGGAGTGTGAACTCAGAGCTCCCGGAGGCTCTGCTGGTCAGCGTGGCCAGTTCCTTGGACACAGCCTCCAAGGAGGAAGTGGAATTCCGGATCAAGTCCCCCTCCAGTGGGTCCTCCCGGCCGACAGGAGCAGAGTCAGCGAGGCTGCCTGCGGCCTGGGACGGGAGCTCCCGGCTTGCAGACCCGCAGCTCTGGCCGCCTCCCAAATGTTCTGAAGGCAAAGCAAGGGGGCCACCAGTCTGGCCCGATGAAACTGAAACCTTCTTATCAGACTTGCCGCATGATTCCTGAAGGGAAGCAGAAATGGGGGTGGTCAGCAAGGCCCGGCCGTCCACGCTGGCCCAGGCGGTGACAAGGTCACATAGCACAAAGAACTCAGCCCCCAGCCAAATCACAAGGTGGGGTGGTGAGAAGCACGTGCATCTCCACAAGGACCCTGCACACCCCATTCACTCTGCACCCTGACTTGACTCGACTCCCAGCCCGAGACTGCTGTGCTTCCGAAAACGGACAAGAACTGAGCAGAGAAACTCTGGCCGCAAGCACCCTCACTCCTCAGGGACACGGAAGGGTGTGTGTTGGGGAAGATGGCAGCAAGGGCTGGAACATAAACGTGGCCTGTGGGAGCCTCAGGTCCAGTCTTAGCATACCCTGGTCCCCAAAGCACCACTAGGAGTAACCCCTGGGCATGGCTGGTGTATCCGCCTCAAAAATAAAGGGAAAAAATGTGGGGCCAGAAAAATAGTACAGTGGGCTGGGTGCTTGCCTTGCATAAGACTGTCCCAGGTTCGATCCCTGGCACCCCATAGGGTCCCCTGAAACCAATCAGGAGTGATCCCTACGCAAAGAGCCAGGAATGAGCCCTAAGCTCTGCTGGTGTCTCCCCCTACACCCACCAAAAAAAAGTTCTTGTGTCCTTAGTGTTTGATAGAGATATAGCTTAGCAGTAGTACTTGCATTACACGTGATGTCCTGGGTTCAACCCCTAGTACTGGAAAAAAAAAAAAGCACTCATACTAACTTAGGGAGTCCCTCAGCTGCAACGAGGACACACAAAATAGGACACACAAACGAGCTTGTTTTCTTGGTTTGTGCTGGTACCTGCCTCCTTTTCGGAAGCAGGAATGGGGAGCTCAAGTCCAGAACACAGTGTTCTGAGGGGCAACAGGAACGAACAGCCAGCCAGCCACAGGAATCCGCCACGCAAACAGCTCATTTCCACCACGCATTCAGAGAGTGAGATCACGACAGCATCTCCGGAAATAGGAACGCTTGTGCTAAAACAGCGATTTCTATTCCCAAGCGGGTCCTGCGCAGTCCGGGACGAGTTTCAAGTTCTGCTCTCCAGTTACTGTGCTGCCCTCCACCTCTGCCCCTCACTAGAGCTGTCCTTCCTGTCCCCCTAGCTTCTCCTGAGCCTGCACGGAGGCCGAGGCAGGAATGCCCCACTCCTCAGCCCTTCCAGGGCGACCTCGTTTAATCCACAGCCCCAAAAGCTGGCTACCTGGGGACTGTCTTCAACAATGTAGGTGCAGGTATTAAGCGACTTGGCTCAGTCTCTGTCCTGCCAAACCCCAGTCCCTCCCCTAAGGAGGCTTGACACATGATTCCTAAAGGAAAGCAGAAACGGGGATGTTTAGCAATGCCAAGTTGGCACAACTTCCAGAGTGCCACTCAGAGCAGCTGTCCCCGCACCAGCAAAGCTCAATGATCGGGCTGTAGCGATAGTACAGCAGGTAGGGCATTTGCCTTGTACACAGCCAACCCGGATTCAATTCCCAGCCTCCCATATGGTCCCCTGAGCACCGCCAGGAGTGATTCCTGAGTGCAAAGCCAGGAGTAACCCCTGTGCATCGCCAGGTGTGACCCAAAAAAAAAAAAAAAAAAGCTCAATGATCAATTGAGGGCTGGAATGGAGTGATAGCACAGTGGTAGGGCGTTTGCCTTGCATGCAGCCAGCCTGGCCAAGCCGGGTTCGATTCCTCCGCTCCTCTCAGAGCCCAGCAACCTACCGAGAGTATCTCGCCCGTGCAGCAAAGTCTGGCAAGCTACCTGTGACATATTCAATACGCCAAACACAGTAACAACAAGTCTTAAAATAGAGATGTTACTGGGCCCGCTCGAGCAAATCGATGAACAACGGGAGGACAGTGTGACAGTGATCGATTGAGAGGCCTGATAAACAGGGGTAGAGAGAGAACAGAAGGCAAGGGCACGAGCAGAATGACTCACCTTCACTTTGATTTTAGAGGGAGCCATGACTTTCTTCTTGGCCCTGTTCCAAGGAACAAATACAGAAAACGGTTAGAAGACGCGAAGCAGACAGACCAAGCCTGAGAAGTGAAAAGGTAGGGCACTTACAGGATTGATGTCAGGTGCCCGTGGCCCCGTCTGCTCTCCTTAAACAGAGTCCTGGAAGAAACGGAGAACACCCGCAGTTTGCAGAAGGCCTGAGCGCAGACTGCTCTAGGGCGCATCTGCTTCCCGGCCCCAGGCCTTTATGCAGTAAATGCAGAGGACTGGTGAGCTGAGTATCTGGAGAGAGGAACTAAAGTGGATGCGTTGGCCACCAAAAGCCAAGTCTAGGCTTATTTAAAAAACAAAAGCTGCAGCATTGCCCCTGGACTTCGCAGAGTGACGTGTGACCTGCGACAAGCACAGAACCAAGCGCGTACACCCTGGCACTGTAGTCAAAACAAAACAAAACAAAAAAAAGCAACAACAGACAAACTGGACTGCACAAAGTTAGTTGTTTTCTGCAGCAAAAGACATAACCAGCGGGGTAAAAAGATAGCTCATATAACGGGGAAAAATATTGGAAATCTCATATCTGATTAAGACTTAAAGCACAGAAAATACTCCTAAAATTCAAGAACAAGCAAACTAATCCCAAAATGGCAGAACTTAAACAGACATTTCACTTAAGAGACATAGCCAAAAAAGTACAACTTTTTGAAGTGTATGTTCAACACCTTCAATCATTTGAGAAATGCAGATAAAAGCTTAACGGAAATGCACCGCTCGGATGAGCACCGCCACACACAGCAGAAAGCAGGAGTCCCAGGGACAGCCCGCTCCTGAAATGGGTCACGGGAATGCCAAAATTTCCCAACAGTGAAAGACTGCTGAACACACAATAACCAAAAATTCATTCAAAGGTCTGGAGGACAGTACGGTGGGTAAGGAGCTTGTCTGGAATGCAACAGACCCAGGTGAGATCCCTGGTACTACATATGGTTCCTAAGCGCTGCCAGGAGTGACCCCTGGATGCACGGTCAAGAGTAAGCCCTAAGCACAGCCAAGTATGGCCCCAGAAGGGCAAAAAAAGGTGGTGTTTCTGGCAAGGCTTGTCATGGCTGAATTTCTCGTCACATGTAGACGTTCCAGCAGCACTGGCCTGGGGTACCTGCAGTGCACGTATAACATCACACACTTAATCCCAGCTGTAGCCAAGTGACCAAGTATTAGCCTGGTTGTTCTGAGTTCTATGATTCCTAGTGCTAAAAGCAATTTCCAGCCATACCTCCATGAGGTATACATAAGCAAAGCAATTAAAGAGTTTAGCACAATCCCAGACACCACAGCAACTAGAAGACGTGCGAACACCAAGCCAGGAAGTGTGATTCCTGGCAGACACACACGAGCAGCACCACCAACCCCAGCAAACACAGCAAGCAGGATGCGCGCCCACACCATGACTAAAGAGTGCAACCCAGCCAAGCGCACGAGCACCACAACACGATGTGTGGGTCCAGGTGAGCACCACAACAGCAATCAAGAGAAGGGGGGAAACAGAAACCCAGTGCTGAGGAGCACGTGTGGAAAAGGAAATGTAAAATAATACCATCACGATGGGAAAAGGGACACTGGTTCCTCAGCTAAACAAAGGACCACCACACGACAGCATTTCTATTTTTGGGTCTAGACCAAAAAGGACTGAAAGCAGGGTTTCAGAAGAACACTGCTCCCTCACACCGCAGCAGCACTGCTCACAGCGAAGAGGGAGCGATGTAAGTCCCCACTGTGGGATGCACCACGAAGCAAAAGATTGGAGAGGGGCATAACGGATTATCACCGGACCTTTGAAAAAGAAAGGAAATTCACCGTGGATGAACCTTGAGGCCACTACGTGAAGGAAACAAACCAGGCACAAAGAGGCAAACAGAGTGCTCCCACTCGCATGAAGCACTCAGAATGTGAAATTGGGAGAGAGAAAAAGGAGAAGGGAGGCCGCCAGTGTGAGAGAAGGAGGAGTTAGAGTTTCAGTTTTGCAAGATGAGAAGAATGACAAAGTGGAAGGTGGTGACAGTTATTTAACAATAAGATCATCTTTATTACACTCAACTGTGTATTTTCAAACGGTTAAGATGGTACTTTTAAGTGTATTTTATCATAATAAAAATGTTAAAATACGGGGCTGGAGTCATAGCACAGAGGGTAAGGCATTTGTCTTGCATGTGGCCAACCTAGGTTCGATTCCTGGCAATCCACAGGGTCACCCGAGCACTGCCAGGAGTAATTCCTGAGTGCAGAGCCAGAAATTACTGGCTGAGCACCGCTGGGTGTGACCCAAAAAGAAAAGAAAATGCTAAAATAAAACCAAAACCACTAGCAGCTCCATCTAACCCTTCTCTGGGTACTACAGACAGTTCTTCCATGGGAAGACACACAACACAGAGAAAGCTGTGAGAGAAAAGCCTGGTCCTTGACTATAGTACAGGTCAGCCCTGCTACTGGCAAATGAGACTTTGGATTGGAAAAAATATTTCCAAGATGGTCTCATATGTATGAGGCCTGGAAAAGCGTGTGTGTGTGTGTGTGTGTGTGTGTGTACGTGACAGAGAGAGAGAGAGAGAGAGAGAGAGAGAGAATATGTGTGCACGTGAGGCTGGCCCTGGTTCAATCCCTGGCACTACAGGGTCTCTCCGGCTTCACCCCTGAGCAGAGCCAAGTGTGGTCCAAAGAAAAGAAAAAATTGTCTGTGACCTACATCATTTCGAAGAACAAAATATAAACAAACAAAAACTCTCTGGACCAGAAAGAGAACACCATGGTTAAGGTACTCGACTTGCACGCAGATGCTCCTGGCAACCCACAGGGTCCCCTGAACACCACCAGGAAGGAACCATGAGCACAGCAGAGCCAGGAGCAGCCCCTAAGCGCCAATGGCAATGGCCCAACCCCCGTCACCTTCTGAAAATGTAAAGATAATGTTCCCAAGTTGAATCAGTCTCAACTCTGAGCGGAAGCCATCGACTCAAACGGCAAACGGCGGCTGAGGCCAAGTGCGCAGTCAGCTGTCAACCAGAGCAAGAGAAAGGAAGACAAAGACGACACCCACAGAAACTCCGAGGAAAAGACCAGAAGACCACTTTCCAGAGACCAGCACGCTGCCAACGACCCAGGTGAGATCAGAGCCACGCCCACGAGGCAGTGCCTGACACGGAAGCAGCATGTTATTCCCTCCTGCCACAGGAGGCTGCCCCGTACCGTCACCAAGACCAGCCTAGCAGCCTGCAGGCCTCACCTGGCCTGCATCCAGCCTTTGGGCCACAGAGGCTTGACCTCAGCATCCAGAAAGGCCTTCACGTAGTCCTCCCAGGACTGCGCCTTGTGGTTCCTCTCCAGATCATAGCTCTCCAGTTTGATCTTCACCAGGTGGCAGAGCAGCTCCCTGAGGGGGAGGGAGAAGTCAAACTTCAAACGACCCCAAATTCCTCTTCGAGGTTTTAATCATGTGTTCTCAGCAGCCCTGATTAAAGGAACCGTTTCTGACCTTCATTAGAAACACGGGGCAAGCTCAGACACGGGACCCACAAACCCTCCAATGAGGCAGGGTCCCAGTTTGCGCACACCTGATCTCATCATTCCACTGGAACTTCTTCCGGGGTCCCATGATCCTTCTGCCCCCTCTTTCTTCATCTTCTTCCTCATCAGAACAAATCCGCTCTCTCTGCTCCTTGTCTTTCTCCTCTTCTAGCATCCTGCAGAGCAAAGAGAAATGAATGGCAACCGAAGGTCACTACAGGAGAACTCCCCCTCCTGAGTCCCAGGACTTCTCAAATAAGGTGGAAATGTTGGAGACATGGAGTCTCGTTAAGAAATGTAAATAGCGGGGCTGGAGCAATAGCACAGCAGGTAAGGCGTTTGCCTTGCATGCGGCCAACCCGGGTTCGACTCCCAGCATCGCATAAGGTCCCCTGAGCACTGCCAGGGGTAATTCCTGAGCACAGAGCCAGGAGTAACTCCTGTGCATTGCCGGGTGTCTCAAAAAGAAAAAAAAAAAATGGAGCGATAGTACAGCAGATAGGGCGTTTGCCTTGCATGCGGCTAACCTGGGTTCGATTCCCAGCATCCCATATGGTCCCCTGAGCACTGCCAGGGGTAATTCCTGAGCACAGAGCCAGGAGTGACCCCTGAGCATCGCCGGGTGTGACCCAAAAAGCAAAAAAAAAAAAAAAAAAAGGAATGTAAATAGGGAAAAGGGAAAAAGAGAAGAGCAGGGGCTGGAGCGATAGCACAGCGGGCAGGGCATTTGCCTTGCATGCGGCCAACCCGGGTTTGGTTCCCAGCATCCCATATAGTTCCCTGAGCACTGCCAGGGGTGATTCCTGAGCGCAGAGCCAGGAGTAACCCCTGTGCATCGCCGGGTGTGACCCAAAAAGAAAAGGAAAAAAAAAAAGAGAAGAGCAGCGGGGGTAGGAGGAAAATGCAGAGTATTGGGGGGCCCCCACTTACTTAGCCACCTTGGCTTGTGTATGTGCCTGGCATTCATCCTGGTACTTGGTCATCTGCTCTGGCATCGCCCTGCCGACAGCTTCCTTAAGCTTCTGGAGAGGCTCCTTCAGCCGCCCTCCCTGTGGAGAACGGGATACACTGTAAGTGGTTGAATCCTGAGGTCAGAGCAGGAATCTCGGCAACGAGGCGGCAGCAGAGACAATGCCCATGAAGACGGAGCCATCCCGGGACCCAGGGCCCTGAAGCCAGTACACCCACCTGCTCATAAAGGTGAAGCTTCCGCGCTCGTTTGAGGAGGGTGTCTTTGCTGCAGGGCAGGATTGAAGCAAGATAGGCAAACACCCCGGAACGGACCTGGCTACTCAGTTCCCGAGTCTGCACCTCTATGCTGGAGAACAGAACAGAATTATCAACACCGTGCAGCTCACTGGGACTTCTCTAGTGGTTAGGATGCCCTGCCACGGACAGGACAGCTGGAAGGGTCCAGGGCAGTTAAAGAGTATCTCGTGGGTCACACTACGTAACTGTGGGCAAAGCAACCCGTCTGCAGTCAGCAAACAAGAACTCCCACAGCCGATGAACTGGGTGATGTAAAGTAGGTCAAGGCATTGAGGTCAAGACACGAGCAAGTCAAAGGGAGCCGAGAAAACAGAACCCAAGAGAACAAGCTTTGCGATTCTAGAGTTTGTAAATGATGAAAACACTAAAGTTTTCAAAGTGGAAAACTGAATGAGTTCCTTGGGTTGGACAGGAAACACTTTGCAATGGCACTTTCAAATTTCCAGGTCCCATTCTCCAACAAGTAGGTCAGGGAAACCACCAAGCGTTCAGATTTCCTGTCTAAGAGGCAGGAAGTGTGGTCTACTTGGGAAGTTCGAACTTAGGCCTGCTCTGTGCCAGCAGACAGCTTCCCCAGACAGACCCTTTCGAGAGCCAGGCCTCCTGACTTCTTGCCTGGCCGATCCAAATTCCAGTCAGGCAGTTTGTCTGCTAGGATACTGCAGCTTGAAAAATGTTCTTACATGTGCAAGTCCCGAGCAACAAGCTTCATTAGCCACATAAACTCCCAGAGAGAAGCCGGCAAAACTAGTGGCCGGGCATCCACAATCCAGTCCGAGTTTGGAAAATGTGAGTTTGGGGGCCGGAGAGATAGTACAGTGGCTAGAGTGTTTGCCGTGCATGCTCCCAATGCAGTTTGAACCCTCACAACATTTATAGTCCCCTAAAATCCCACCAAAAGTGATCCCTGAGTGCAGAGCCAGGAGGAAGCCCTGAGCAAGCCGTGTGTGGCCAAAAAAACCAAAAAACCAAAAACCAACGCAGGTTGTGCTTGGCTTGTAATCCAAATCATTCAGTGTACCATCTCCAGGTTTGGGTGTCTGGGAGAAAAGTGACTAGTGATGGACACCAGTACCAGGAGTAGAAGTGAGAGAAGGAAAACTTCTCAGGCATGCAGACGAGTCCCAGTACAGCAGACTGTTGTTGGACCTGCTGTCCTCACTTTTGGGGATCCAGACAGGCAAGCACACCGACTACTCTTTCTTCCTCTCAACTCGTAAGCGCTACCAAATCTTCACGGAAGCCCTGACTATCAGATACAAGGCCCCAGCAATGCCTGCTGTCTCACCTCGATGGTGTTCTGGAGACCCACCTTCCAAAAGAACAGTAAGACAATAAAATCAACTGTTTTTCTCCATCACATCATTGGGGGCACCTTTATGGAGTTCAGCCACACTCTGCTCCCCCCCACCCCAATCTGCCAACCCCAGGCATGATCTGAAGATATGGAGAAATGAAAGGTACTTACTCTAGCAGGATGCCATTAATATCCTGGGTGAAGAACTTCTGTCTGCTCTCCCCCTCGGCGGCTCTGGCAGCCTGGGTCATAGCAGACAGTAATAGCTGTTAGTGTACTGTCCCCACAAGGCACTCATGTGTTCCCGCAGGTATAAAAGCAGCCAGTCCCTTAGAAAACACCTGTCACCTGTTGGAGAATCCCTCACCATACCTTTCCTCCCCAGCCCTAATCCCGGTTCGAGTTCAACTACGGTCACTACATGCTCCAGAAATGGTTTATATGGGTCTTTTCAAACACGGAGGAAGCATCTATGGGCTACTTTAGGTGCCAGGACTTGAAATAACATTCACATAAAAGAAATCATATAAGCAAAACAAAGCAACCAAGCTGCATCTGACTGGGCCAGCCTACTGCTCCTGTGGCGAGCACTCTCATCTAGACTGTAGGCTGGAATGTCCACACATCTACAGTACAAAAAAAGAAAAAAATCAAGAATTTTAACAAACAGGTAAAATTTGAAGATCGGTATCCACCAACAGCAATGTTACTACAATAAAAACAACCATAGTCATAATAAATGTTACTGCTTTAGTGTCGAGAAACACTGTTACTCTAAAGAGCCATGTCCAAATCACTGTATTTGAGCCACATCTGGTCATGCTCAGGGGTGGCTCCTGGCTCTGCATTCCTGGCAATGTTCAGGGAACCATTATGGGATGCTGGGAGTTGAATCCACGTTGGCTGTGCTCTAGCCAAGTGTATTATCGCTGTATTATCTCTCTGGCCCTAAAATCTGTACCCTCACAAAGTGGCCCCAATGCCCCAGAGGGGGCAGGTGAGGGCCCTCCCCACTCCAAGGGACCCAGCCCGGCAGCTGAAAACCTCCAGAACTCAACCACTGCCACGCTCACGGCCGCTCTCCACATGCTCGAGCTGGGCCTCACCCACAAGTGAATCTGCAGAAAACCCAGGTATGCAGGAGTTTGTGACTGAGAACTCTGGGTTCAATAGAACCAGGTATCGGTATCCTCCATCCACTTCCGGTAACTCAGCAGTCACACCCATAAGCCAACGCTGGCTAGCACCAGATAATTTTGTTATCAGCCACATCCAGAGCTGTGTTGTCCTTTTCCAGAAGGGAGCATCACACGACACATACCACAACCATGCCCCATCGGACCCCACACCAGGCTGCTCCATTTGAGGCGCCCCGCAGCAGGGCAGGTGAGGTCCCTCCCCACCCAAGGGACCCAGCCCGGCAGCTGAAAACCTCTAGAACTCAACCACTGACCTGCTCAAGGCCACTCCCCACATGCTCAGGCTAAGCCTCACCCACAAGTGAATGTATTTCTGGACCGCACAGCTGACAACCCATATCTCACACCACCCATGCTCCAAGAGTACTGCACCGCATTTGATGGGGTTTAAAGTAGGAGGCAACCAATCTTAGAGGAAATTTTTTTTTCACAGATACACATATACATATATATTTTATGTATACACACACACAAACACACATATATATGCACACAAGGTTCAACCTTTAACAACTATTAGTGATCTCTTATACAAGGGCTTAATGGCCCCTGGGTGAAATACAACAATCTTCACACTCTTTCTTCTAAGGAAACTTTTTTGGAGCATTTTCAGTGTTTTTTATAACAAACAATACAAAATAAATTATTTCAGTTCTGCTTTGGAGCAGGGGTTGGGGTTCGGGATGAAAACATCTGAAATACGGTTGTGGGATTGGTGTTCAAATATTAAATGCAATCAAATATTGTGACCTACTTCGTTAAAAAAAAAAAAAAGTGGCCCCAAGCCAGTGTTGGTGTGAATAAGGGGAAGAGAACTTTATATTCACTGCTGGCAGGAATGTTGACTGGCTTGGCCTTTTGGAAAACCCATATGAATACTTCTTTAAAAGCTAGGAATTGAGCTCCCATATGACCCAGTAATTCCATTTCTTGGCATCTACTACTAGAACCCAAAAACTACTCAGAAAAGACATTTGCACTCCCATGTTCACTGCAGCACTATTCACAACAGCCAAAATCTGGAAACAGTCCACATGTCCAAGAACAGACGTCTGGGGTCTGGAAAGATAGTACAATGGGTAGGGTGCTTGCCTTGCACATGGCCAACCTGGATTTGATGCCCCAACCCGATATAGTCCAGTTCCCTAAGTCCTGCCAGGAAATGATCCTTGAGCACAGAGCCAGGAGTAAGCACCGAGTATAACCCTGTATGGCCCCAGAAAAAAAACCAAAATGGGGGGAAACCAATTGTTTGTAAACAAACAATCTGGTGAACGGTATGGTATTAAAATGTGTTCTGCACGAGATTCTATTATTAACAGCATTGTAAGCTCTGGTGTCTAAAACTTTTTAAATAAAATATGCTAGGAAAGTATGAAATATGAAAGAGCTTCTGAACTTTCTAGTTTTGAGGCCACATTCAATGGTGCTCAGGGATCACTTGTGGTACTGCAAGGAAAGAGCCCTCCCTGCTGTGCTACTGCTCTGGCCTCACTATGGAAGTGTTTAAAAGAAGTTTCTCACTAAGGTCTTTTAAATTGTGTGGGCTATATTCCCAAGTCTGTTTCCCCCTCCCCCATTATTTGGGGGCCACCCCCACTGTTCCACCCCAGCTCTTGGCCTGTGTTTTTTTCAAATCATAGTTTAGGTCACAGGGCTACAATAGTGTTAAAACATTGATGTACAAAGGTACTGTAGCCCAACACCACCGCTGCCGCCACCAAGGTGTCTGGACCCCACAGACTGGTCTTCACCCCACAAATCTAGTTGTATGGTGAAAGCAATGAGTTGTGGGGCCAGGGCATAGTTACAGTGTGTAGGGGGCTTGCCTTGCTGGCGGCTGACCCGGGTTCGATCCCTGAGCTCCCATATGAATCTGAGACTGCCAAGAGTAATTCCTGAGTATAGAGCCAGGAGTAACTTGGCCCAAAAGCAGGAACAAAACAACAAAACAATAACAAACAAAAAACAAACACTGTCCTGCTGGGGCTGGAGCGATAGCACAGCGGGTAGGGCGTTTGCCTTGCACATGGCCAACCCAAGTTCGATTCCCAGCATCCCATATGGTCCCCTGAGCACCGCCAGGGATAATTCCTGAGTGCAGAGCCAGGAGCGACCACTGTGCATTGCCGGGTGTGACCCAAAAAACAAACAAAAAAACAAACAAAAAAAAACCCAAAAAAACCCCCACTGTCCTCCCGTTGTTCATCGATTTGCTCAAGCACGTCTAGTAACGTCTCCATTTTGAGACTTGTTGTTACTGTGTTTAGCATATTGAATACGTCACAGGTAGCTTGCCAGGCTCTGCCGTGTGGGCGAGATACTCTCGGTAGCTTGCCGGGCTCTCTGAGAGGGGTGGAGGAATCGAACCCGGGTCGGCCGGGTTGGCTGCGCGCAAGGCAAACGCCCTACTGCTGTTCTATCACTCCAGCCCAAAACAATAACAAAAGGAAAGTAATTAGTGAAACTGCATTTTTAAATCAACCTAATAAAAACAGCAGCTGGATATAAATGACAGTCTTCCAGCAATGCCTGCGCTCCCTCAATCTCAAGAACCCTTGCCAGAGGAGCTATATAAATCCTAGATCAACCCTCGATTAACTAGAAAGTGATGAAATCAAACAGCCAGATCGTGCTGATCCAATCACCTTGGACGGGTTTTATTTGTAAGAAAATTCATTCTTTCAGTCCCTAGATAAGCCACTCCCAGACTTCTTTTCAGCAATTAAAAAAGAAAAATAAAACCTCCCAGTGCCCTCCTGGACCTCTCTTCTTTAAGTGGACTCGCAGAAGGCAGCCCAGTTGCACCTGAGGCTACATGCCCCCCCCCCCACCCTTAGCCCTCACTGCCCAGCACCCAAGGGGGAAGGTTCAGTCACTTTGGGCAAGGTGCCCTAGGTCAGCACCAGGAACAGGACAGCAGCTTCTCCTGGCTAGAATGAGGTCTGGCTTGTTTTTTTCCCAAAGATAAAATAGGCCCGTTTTCTTTTCAACCTTCTTGGAACCAAGCATGTCCCCTGGACAGTGATGCAGGGGCTGACTCTCTAGCAGGGGGACCAAGGAGGAGGTGGGTGATGTGATTTCTGTTCCATTTCTATTCTTAGTATTGCTCCCATTTTACACTTCACGCAAGAGGACCAAAATAGACCTGGGTCCTCTGTATGGACCAAGCAGCTGCTGCCAAACTACATCAAGACAGTAACTAAGGGGGCAACAAGCCTGAGCTTCCCAATGTAAGACACATTAACACAGGGGAAGGCCCTCAAATAACATCGTGGCATTTCCTGGGGTCCACAGAATGTACTAGAAGGGAGTACCATGAGATACAGAGAAAAGAGCATCCCTCCAACACAGAGCTTTTCCATGCCCATCTGTGCACTACTTGGGAGGACCTCATGCAGTGCTTGGGATCAAACAGAGGTTGGATGCACGCAAGAAAAGCGCCATACCCGCTACACCGTCTTTCTAGCTGCTTGAGTAGGCACTGTGTGAAAAATGTATTTTGGGACCCGAGTGATAGTACAAGGAGTAGGGCACTTGCCTTGCACACAGTCAACCCAGGTTCAATCCCCAACATCCCACCTGGTCCCTCAAGCATGCTAGGAGTTGCCCGCGAGTGCAGAGTCAGGGGTAAGGTCTGAACGCTACAGCCGTGGCCATCCTATGCTTCAAAAAAGAAAAAAAAAGTATTTTTGAAAACTTGCCAGGATAAGCCCTGAGCACCACCACATATGGCCCCAAAATAAATCCAAACAAAAAAGATCTAGGACATGGGCTGCCCACTAAAGATTTAATTATCCACATATAGCATAACAATAATGTTCTTTTTCTGCATACAAAAGCATTATTTCCCAGGGATGCATCAGAGAGAATTCTTGGTGGCCGTGGATTCAGGACATGCGAGCACACACGAGGAGGCCCCACGGACTCCAAGCTCGGGGCCTGGGGTAACAGAGCACCTAGGGACCCTTTGCAGAAGTATTAACTTTCTGAAATGAGCCTTCTTTCTCTTGCAACCACTAAAAGTAGTAAATGATAAATATTTCTAGTAACATTTCTTAGGTGAATAAGGCGGGAAATAACTTCACAACTATAATTACAAGTGCATGAAAAAACACAGAGAGGCTCGAAGGGAACCTGCAAACCACAAGCAACTTTCAGTCTGGAGGACAATGGCCGATTCCCACTTCTCACCCCACTTCCCAGCGTCTTAGCTCTGCTAGGAACAGTGCTGACTGAAACACGGTTTCACATGGATCTTTGTGTTTTCAAACCAACCCATCAGAGTCCACCAGTCGCCTCTCCCTGCCAGGACCCAAGCCTACCTCCTGTATGGTTATCCTGCCCTGTCTCACTGTGGACACAGCCACGCCTGGCAGTCACTCAGAGACGAGAGCTGGCTCCTGGGGTTCACCCTGGGAACCCCCAGGAAGGTGGATTTGCTGAAACAACACTTTGACGTCATTCCATTTTGTTTCCACTAAATATGTTCATCTTTTCTCAAGGAAGTGAAATCAAGAGTATGCATTATCAGCCCGTAACACACCTACATGACACGGGCAAACCGCCCTTGGGAAACAGGCCACTGCCACACCAGCCTGACTCAGGCTCAGGCTTTCAGAAGTTAACAGAACAGTCTGGATATAAACCAGAGCGTCGAAAAGAACCAGGAGTATTGTTTTATTTATTTATTTTTTTAAACACAAATCTGAAAGCAAACCTAGGCCAATATGCTTAAACCTGCCAAATTCAGAACCATCTCCTGACCACCAAACATCCTCTTAAGATATACTCTGATCAAGTACACCTGATTTAAATCATTAGTCAGGTAGAATACTTATGATCAAAACTGCAGCACACACGGCACTGAAGAGAAGAGTTCTGGGCGATTATGTCTGGCTTATTTTGTATGCTGCATTCAAATATTTTTTTTGGAAGTGAGAAAATAACACTTATAGAGTGGATAACATTCTACCTACCCTACAACATAAGGAATAGTACACAAAATAGTGATTTTTGAAATCCTATGAGGATCATTGGTTTAACTCTCTTAAGAGTGACAGGGAATAAATGCCATAAGAGTTGCAAGTCCTAACCCCAAAGATAAAAATGTTACTTTAACTAAATGGTAAGTGGCACCATAACTAATAATCTATGTTCGGTTTATAGTCAGTAATACTGAGCTGATAATAAACAGTTGCAGTGGCTGCTATATTCTGAGGTCTGCAGTTGCCTTAAATGGGGCACGGAGAACTTTTAGGAGTCAGCTTCTTCTTACTGATCACAACTGGGGAGTTCCTGTGATCACATCATACCACCGACGGTGGCCAGGAGTAATTAATCCCAGACTCTGTGACTTCCGCCTACTAATCTGTACACGTCCAAGTCCTTCAAGAGACTGCTAGGAAGAGGATTCCACCTCACATGCCTACTGCCAACCTTAGTGTGAGTCTGTCACACAAAATGAAAGATACTCTGTGGGAAAGAAACAGGCAGAAAATGGAACGCGAAAATCTCCCCTGAAGAAAGCCAACTATTTTCCAGGACTGAAAGAACGACAGTGGGGTAAAAACCAGGCCCAACAGGCAGAACTTCCACGGCTTCCTCACTCAGGCCGAGGGGAGAAGGGGGCTCGGGGAGCGGACACCCACAGGGCCCACTGAGGGGCTTCTCTGGGCAGCCAGCTTCCTGGAGTGCAGAACCAGCACCAACCTGCCCCAAGTACTCGCAGGGAAGCCCGGCCACATGCCACCATACCTGAGCCAGCTCCTTCACACGCTTCTCCAGGGGCGGGGGCAGGCCTTCAGGAAAGGAAGAGGGCTGCCTGAATTCCTGGTCAAGTCCCACCCCGAGGGAATCACTCTCGTCATCCATGTCATGGAAGGGGCTGCCTTCGGTGCCTTCTGGAGACTCGCTGAGGAGCTGCTCCAAGTCCAGGTCAGTCAGTGAGTCCATGGCAGTGGCTGCCTGCAGCAAGTCGTCAGAAGCGGAGCCAAAGAGAGAGAGCAAGGGGTCTGAGGTGCCCTCCAACTCCCGGAGGCCCTGCGCTTCAGCTGCCGAGACCACCAGGGTCTTGGGATCTTCGTCCCTCTTCTTCTGAGCCTCTTTCTCCTTCTGAAATTTCTTTAGCATCTCTTTCACGCTCAAAGCCCCAGAATATTTCTTTTTCTTCTTCTCCTTACTGGCATTGAGGGCTGTGAAGCTGCAAGGGGAAATTGGTTACTAAGCTGCGGGCCAGCCAGCGCTTGGAGGGGCAGGTCAGAGAGAAGGGATTCCGCCCTGCTCCCAGCGCCACGGTCTCCAGGAACCTCAGTCACAGTCCACCCTGTCATGCCTCCTCCCTCCTCTTGGCATATGGAGCAACTTCTTGCTGAGACCAAAGCTTGAGAGTTAATGCAGGTTAGCAAAACAGTGTCAATAACGCTAAATATCCGATGGGGTCTTAAAAACCACTGCAGGCTGAAATAAAAGATTGCAGAAAAGGGGACAAGAAAACTATTTAAAGGGAGAAAGCAGGAGCAGCAGAAAGCAGCAGCAACTTGAAGGGCAGCTGGGGAGATGGAGGGAGGCAAAAGAAGCAGAGCGGAGAAGACAAAGGGAAACGTAGAGAGAACTGGGGCAGGGCAGGGGTGCCCAAGAGAACAAGAAGCATCAGCAATCACACAGTGACAGAAATAGCTGCCGACACTGACAGTGGGACAGAGACAACGGTGGCTGCCTGACACAGAGATGTGAGGTTGACTAGGCCCACAATGGCCCCGGGGGAGGCCTGGGGGGACTGAGGGCTAGGCCCTGCTGCCTCTTCTGAAGCTGTGAGGAGGGTGAGGCAGCTCCCAGGTGTCCTGCCCTGACTGTTCAGATTTTAGCCTAGCAAAGAAGCTGCTGCCTCTCACCCGGCTTTGGAAAACTTGGACTTTTTCGATTTCTTCTCCTTGTCATAAGTGTCATCTTTTTTCTTCTTCTTTATCTTCTCACCACCTTCCTTCAACTTCCGCTTCTGAGAATCAAAGACAAGGCACAGTTATGCAGTTCCCTAACTCAGGGAGCAAATGCACTCTGCAGCAGTGGCCTTGCTCCACCCGGGGTACATCCTGAGAGCTATTTCCTTCAGGAACAAAAGCTTTCGGATGGGGCCAAAGAGACAGCATGGGGGCAGGGCACTTGTCTTGCCTTGGACACCGCTGACACATGTTCCCAAGTCTGCCAAGAATGATATGAGAGCAGGACCAGGAGTAAACTCTTAAGTACAGCTGGGTTTGGCCCCCAAATTTCAAGTTTTCAGATGGGCCCTTGACTACCCTCCCACAGTAGGTCTACACAGCATTCCCAATGACAGGGTCCCCTAAAACACCTGGGGTGAGGCAGTCCAGGTCCTTATGCAGCCTAAAATCTTTCTACTTTGAAATGAGCTAAGTGTGGGTCCAACCTCTTTGTTTTAAACACACAAGCAGTGGTAGCTTTCAAAAGAAACTTAAAGCAAATATGGTTTCAATAGGGTGCCAGCCCTGGGGACAGAAGTCCTCTATGTATTCACAGAAGAGGCATAACAAGGCAAATTCCTGTCGCTCCATACCCGTCACTGTCCATGTCCCCACCCGGACACCTTGAGAATCAGATCACTGCCAAGCCTGTGGACACACGCGTAGGACACACAATTGAGCCCTCCAAGTTCACATCATCTTGTCATGGCAGAGGTGTGGGGCATGAGTACAGTTCCACCAAGCTCCTACGTCATCCAAAACCATCACACACACTGGCACTCGCCTAGAATCTTACAAGGGCATATCAAAGAGCAGTTCTGAGACCCAAAAGCAAGCAATGTTCTAACCTTTGGAGATTTTTTCTTCTTTTCTTTAATGAAGTCATCCTCAGATTCTGATGCTTGTCTAAACTGCAGAGTTCCCGAATTAATATAAAAGCCTCCGTACTTCGTAGTCAAAGAAGCAGGAACGAGCTCATCATACTGCAGGAAGGAAACAGAGGGTGAGCTCCATGTCTTGGTGCTACGGTGTAAAGGTGCAGGCGGGCATGGACAGAGCAGCAGGCACTCCACTTCTTTGCCCCAACTTGGCATGCTAAGACATCTGTTTGGTCAGTCATGAAAGTCCAACCAAACACTGTCTTGGACCAATCTGGTCAATTTCAGCCGAGAACCAAGGCCCTGATCAAAGACGCCACTGCTTCTTTTCTCACACTGAGGGCATGCCCAGCCCGACCCCCTCCACGCCCTCAGTCATGGTCAGATCCGGGATGGTGGTTCTGACGTGAAGTGCCATTAAGAACGTACCGCCTCAGAGTTATCGATAAAGGAATCAGACTCATCATAGCCATAGCCCATATCAATCAGGTCCTGTAGTCGGTCCTTTCTACGTTTCTTTCCACCCTAAAACGTAAGAGCATTTCGTTTTTAAATCATGTCGAATTCTACCTTTTTAAGCTTAAATTAACATGCTTATTTTTAATACAAAGAGCCCACCACTGCTCTAACTCCACTAGCTAATGACCAAAGACTCACATATATCCCCCGCCTCAAGCCTCCATCCCTGAAGACCTTTGAAACATTAGAGATTTGTGCCTGCATAATTTAACCTAAGACAGAAGAAATAACCAAAGGGCTTCTATGCTTTGTATCAAATAATGATTTTAAGAGGAAACTCTGAGGATAAAAACGGCCCATTCTAATTCACCCATCCATTAAGCACTCCTGCCACATGCACTGTCTGCATATGAACCACTGATCCGTGGACCCGTGGAAACAGGAAACCACTGCCTTCATGCATTTGTTTAATAACTGCATTCTCTTTTCACCAAGCCCTAAACTGGCTTCCACGACAGGGCTGATTAGCTGATTGTCACAGAAGGGACAGGGAATGTCTGGAAGCCTCCCCCACCCAATGAGGCTATTCTGCAGACCAAGAGAGCTTACATATTTTTCTTCAAATTTTCGGGCAAGGGCCTCCACTTTATGCCTTTCCTTTTCTTCGTCATTGAAAGGATCCGAGAGATCTTTCTTCTGTAAAGAGACCATTGCACACACACACAAGTCAAAAAAATTCCCACAATCCTATGACATACTTTTATACACCATTCAATTCCTATAAACTGCATGATAAAAACAAATTCTTTTCAGGAAAAACAAAAATAGAGTTTAAGTCAAGAAAGTAAAGTTTTGGGCTGGAGCAACAGTATAGCGGGAAGGGCATTTGCCTTATACACAACTGCCCTGGGTTCAATCACTGGCATCCCATATGGTCTCCCTGTGCAATGCCAGGAGTGATTCCTGAGTGCAGAGCCAGGAGTAATCCCTGAGCATCGCTGGGTGTGACCCCCCCCAAAAAAAAAAATTTTAAAAAAAGTTTAGAGAGTCTGGAGTGAAAGGTTATTATCTAATTTTTTTTAAACAAGGATCACATATAATAAAAAGAGGTTAAAATAGTCCCAAGAAGCCCCACCAATTGCAGTAGAACTAGATTCAATGTCGATAACACTTAGCAATAACAAAAAGTCTGCCAATAACTACTATTTCCTAAATGTACAAAGACCCAGCTCTGTCCAAACATTGTATCCGGGATGTAAATTCTTTTCTGTCCAAGTCCTCAAGGGCCAATACTTTGGACAGGACTTAAACAATTGCCACATTGTGACCTGTTATAGTGTTGATATAATTCTCCTAAAGTACCTACAAGATAGTAACTCCTTTGAGGCTGGGACAGTACCTTCCGGTGGAAAGAAACACACAGTGAATTAACACACATTTGTGTCAGGTGATATGTACTTTGAACATTAGAGTAGACACAATGATTCAGGTGTTCTGAAGCAAATGTCAGGAGTGAATCCTCCGCCTGAAGCCAGACTTCTCTGCACATGCATCATGTGGGGGAGGGCATTTGTACCCCAAAAAGAAGTGAAATAAAAGCAGTTCTAGTTTCAGCTGACCGACTGGTCTGGTTTGAGCATATGAATAAACACCTTAACCAATCCTTGCTACTTTCTTTTCCTCTTAAGGCAGAGGAGTCGTTCTTGCCTTGGAGAAGGGATTATACATGGCTCTGCAACTCTCTGCTCAAAAGGCAGAAATAGAATGTTTGCACTGCATGCCGACAACCCAGGTTCAACCCAGCATCCCACATGATCCTGAACACCTGTCAGAGGGATTCCCGAGGGCTGGGCCAGGAGAAGCCTCTGAGCACCACCAGGTGTGGCCCAAAAACCAAAAAATAAAAATAAGGGCTGGAACAACAGTACAGCGGGTAGGGCATTTACCTTGCATGCAGCCAACCCAGGTTCGATTCCCAGCATCCCATACGGTCCCCCAGCACTGCCAGGAATAATTCCTGAGTGCAGACCCAGGAGGAACCCCTGAGCATTGCCAGGTGTGACCCAAAAACCAGAAATTAAAATTAAAATAGAAATACTACAAACCGGACATTTACCAATAAATCATAAATTTTAAAACAAAAATTTAAAAAACCTACACAACCCCATATGGAGTCCTTCTGAATGACTCAGTTGAAGAGGGCAGGCTCCAGGGACTGGAGCATCGGATAGCACAGCGGGTAGGGCATTTGCCTAGCACGAGGTTGACATGGGTTCGATTCCCAGCATCCCATATGGTTCCCAGAGCACCGCCAGGAGTAATTCCTGAGTGCACGAGCCAGGAGTAACCCCTGTGTACTGCTGGGTGTCACCCAAAAAGAAAAAAAAAAAAGAGGGCAGACTCCAGAGCACAAATATTTAAATATTTCAAGTGCAGGCTACTAACCTTTCCTCAGAGCCTACCACCACACCTAAAATAATACATCAGTATTAATGCACTTCACCTAGTTCGTATTCTTATGTACAGCTCCATCTACACAAGTGCAAGCCTGCAGAATCAACTGAAACTCGGCAATCAGAGCAGTGGTTACCCTAAGGAACAGGGAATAGGGTGGTAAAAACGGTTTCTGGTGTTGTCGAAAATGCTGTATTTTGTGTCCAGGTTATACAGGTAGGTGTGTTGAAAATGTGCCCAGTGATATGTCTGTTATTCTTCTTTTCATAATTCAGTAAAATAGCGTATGAAAGTTCTACAATGTCAATGAAAGGTACAACTGCAGCAACTGAAGCTGGGGCTGAAGACTTCTTTCTATGTCAATACAACGTACTCGACAATGTATTCAACTGCATGTTGTCTTTTTTCTGTAGAAGTTCGAAAAGTTCTATTCCAAAACAGCAAGCAGGGGCTGGAGCGATAGCACAGCGGGTAGGGCGTTTGCCTTGCACGCAGTCGACCCGGGTTCGATCCCCAGCATCCCATATGGTCCCCTGAGCACCGCCAGGGGTCATTCCTGAGCACAGAGCCAGGAGTGACCCCTGAGAATCACGGGTGTGACCCAAAAAGCAAAAAAAGAAAAAAAAAAAGCAAGCAAATGTGCCAGGAAAATAATAGCTCACTTACAAGAAATTTAAGAGGGAAGATAGCTCAAAGGCCTGGAGCACAAGCCTGCAGTCAAGAGAGCTCAAGTTTGATTCCCCAGAAGCACATAGTTCCTTAAGGAAGCAGGCCTGACCAGCAACGCCAGGAATGGCTCCCAAGCTCCCTGAGCTCTCCCAACCCAAGATTTCATTCTATTTGGCAACACACACACACACACACACACACACACACACACACTTCTATTCTTGCAGGTTTAGAAATCTCCCAAGATTTAGCTTTGTTTAGAGGTGCCATCTGTGTTTTGTGCCTTCCTTTATTTGAGGCAGGAAGACGCCCTCAGAAGAGAGAAATGTCCAGCCTGAACTTCCAGCACTCTTAACAGCTGGTGTCCGGTCACACCCGTAACCTTTGGAGCCCTGACATTAAAAAATGTTTCCTTTATCAATTAGCCACAATTCAAATTAGCCTTAGATATGCCATACGTTTTCTCTGGCGTAAGCCGGGGGAACGGTCCTAGAAAGAGTTCCTTCCTACGAGCAGGGGCAACGGAAGCCCATGAGTACCGCGAACCCTCCGCTAGCCCCACAGGCGCCAGCCCTGCAGGTTAGCCTGGGCTTTGTGACTGTACCTTTTCTCCGGGCTGAAGGCCTTTCACCTTCCCTCGAATGTTCTTCACCAACTCTGGGTAGAAGAACTCCGGGCAACGCTTGTGGTCTGGCTCAAAGAGGGTGAGTGTGATCCGAACAGCTGCTGCGGCTGGTTCAGAGTCCTGATGCTGCTCTGCCCCCCCAACCTCCTCTTTCCGGGACTTCTTCAAAAATGCAGGATTCAAAGAACCTGGGAGCGAGGTGAACTGGACCCTGTGGGGCTCCGACATGGCTACCAAGTCTTGGCAGGTATCACTGCATGACTTCTGTTAACACTGCAAAAAGAAGAGTCGGGGGAGAACAAAACAGAGAGATTTTCTGTACAGTTCACAGATTGAAGTTTAAACGATTTTCATTGCCATGAGGAATCCACTACTTATCTTTGTCTTAATTACCAGTTACTGCTTCTTCGGCTTAAAATACTATTCATCCTAAATATATAAGTTTTCATCAATTTATGAAAATCACCGCAATTCTATCATTCAAAGCTAGTCACTACGCAGCAAACTTCCTCCAGATACTTTGTTCTTGTATTCATTAGAGAATCCCATGCATCTCAACATCCAAGAATTCATATTCTTTCAGGTTTGAAAGAATAGTACAGCGGACAGGGCACCTGCCTTGCACATGGCCAACCTGAGTTCGATCCCCAGCACCCTACAGAGTCCCCTGAACCTGCCAGGAGTAACCCCTGTGCACAGAGTCTGAAGTAAGCCCTGAGCACAGCCAAGTGTGGCCCCAAAACAAAACAAACAAAAATTGCAAAGATCACCAGAACATTTTCATTTGATCTACCCAATACTTTGCTTTTGCTGGCTACAAATAACCCCTTTTGCAACACCGCCAGTTTCTTCTTTCACCTAGGGTAATCTCTGCAAGGAGAGTTTCAGCTCACAGAAGGTACTGCCTACCGCAAGAGGGATTGAGCAGTGTCTCAGGAAGCATGTTTAGGCTCATTTCCTAAAGCATGAATCCCTTACGGTCCAAAATGGGCCTTGGGCAAAGCAGCAAATCATTACAAGACTTCACACTTGCTAGAAAGTGGCTGGACAAACAAACCAGTGCCTACGTAAGGCGCTTGCCTTGCCTGCGGCTGATCCCAGCTCAACCACCTAGCACTGCATATGAGTCCCAAGCACCACAGGGAGTGATCTCTGAGGACAGAAACTAAGCCCTGATCACAACTGAGTGTGGCCCAAAAAGTTGTTTGGGAGAACCAGGGAGCCAGCTCGAAGGGATGAGTGGATGCTTTGCATGTGGCACCCCCAGGTTCAATTCCTTGCACTGCTAAGATGCTTAATTTGCCAGGAGTAGCCCCCTGACCACCACCAGGTGTGGTCTACAAACATAAAGCTAAGTTGCATCACAACGGTCCAAATAGTTTGCATGGACAAACAGTACAGTGGGCAGGGCCTTGCATACATCTGACGGAGGTTCAATCCCCAGCACACGTATGGTACTCGATAACCCCCAGGACTGATCCCTGACCACGGAGCCAGGAGTAAGACCAAATTAAAAAAAAAAAAAAGGCAGGGTTCGGCTGGAGTGATAGTACAGTGGGTCGGGCTTTTGCCTCATATGTGCCAGGTTTGATCCCTAACACCCCATAGAGTTCCCCCTGAGCATCACCAGTGATTTGAAAAGCAAAAACAAACAACAACAAAAAACCATGAAAAAATGCCTTGGTTTGAGTAACCCAAAATTCCAACGGTTTACAGAACATATACAGACAAGTGCCTTATAAGTGCTTCAAGTATAATTTGGGGTTCTCTTCTCTCTCCTTTCAAAGGCATCCCAAGTATGCTGAGAAAGTCTGGGGGCCCACATCAGGCAATACTCAGCCAACTAAGCTGGCACTGTAGTGTTCCCATGCAGTGCTGCTTCAATCACCAGGCCCAGGCCCCGGTGCTCAGGTCCCCAGGACCACACCCGGCTATGCCCAAGAGGCTGTGTGCTGCCAGGGATCAAACCTGTGTGCGCACGTCCTGACTCCTAACCCCACTGCACTTTGATAAAACTCAAATTCCACTGTAAACTTTCTGCCACATGTTAACAAAGATATTCACTAAAGCCTTCTTCTAAAAAGAATTGGAAGCAATCTGAATGTCCAGAATTAAGGAAATAGTTGGGAGGGGAAATGTGGCCTTTTAATTGGGTTTTAGGTGTTACACATTACAAGTATATCTGTCACTGTCACTGTCCTCCCGTTGTTCATCGACTTGCTCAAGTGGGCCCAGTAACATCTCCACTGGGACCATTGTTACTGTGTTTGGCATATCGAATACATCACGGGTAGCTTGCCAGGCTTTGCCGTGCAGGCGAGATCCTCTCGGTAGCTTGCTGGGCTCTCTGAGAGGGGCAGAGGAATCGAACTCGGGTCGACCATGTTGGCTGCGTGCAAGGCAAATGCCCTACCCGCTGTGCTATCGCTCCAGCCCCCTACAGGTATATAATTCCTGTTATCTCTTGTACATCATTGCCTAGTTATTTAGTCTTTTTTGATGTATAAGAAATTTGAACTTTTGGGGCTGGAGAGATAGCACAGCGGGCAGGGCATTTGCCTTGCACGCGGCCGACCCGGGTTCGATTCCCAGCATCCCATATGGTCCCCTGAGCACCGCCAGGAGTAACTCCTGAGTGCAGAGCCAGGAGGAACCCCTGTGCATCGCCAGGTGTGACCCAAAAAGCAAAAAAAAAAAAGTGAACTTTCTATGCAGTTTAAATGAGGCCCTTTTCCCTCAGGACTTACTTAATTTCCTTTAGGCCTAAAATGTCTTCCTCCGAGTAGATCAGTCGTGTAAGAATTTACCCACAATTTTTTTTTTTTTACAGATAATGTATATCATATTGAACTCTCTAGCCCAAACTGAATCTAATGCTAGATAGTTCAAGGTGAGGTTCTAATTGTTTCTTCCCAGTCGAGAATCTTTCTAGGCGCCTGGAATGTCACTAGAAGAGGACCTACCTAGCATGTCTGAGTCCTGAGTTTGGTCCTACCCCTGCACTTGCCCTCACCCAAGAAAAGAAAAAGACATACTCTTCCTGTAGCTGGTGACTTGGCATAAACTGGATAACAACTTGTGAAATCCATTGTTTTATGAATCTAATATTAAAAGATTCTTCAACTCTACACTAATCCTACAAAACTTTATCACTTATTTTAATGCATATCCTGAGTTAAATAAGTTTATTATTTATTCTTTCAAAAGTAACACCCACGGGGCTGGGGAGCTGGCTAAAAGGGCCAACACACATGCTGTAGAGTGGAGACAAGGGTTCAATCCACCGCCCACCCCATGCACTGCACGCTCCCCCAGGCAATGTCCAGCGTGGTCCTTTTGGCATGAGCAACAAGGCAGAATTACCAGACCTTAGCAGCAAACCTTCCAGCTCCTTACAGCCAGGTAAAGTATGGCCTGGAGAGGTCCCCAAACCTCAGTATGGTTTGGGAGGCCCCCAAACAGAAGGATAGCTAGGGGGTGGTAACACAACTTAGTAGTAGAGAACTTGCTTTGCGTGTGTGAGGCCCTAGGTTAGATTCCCAGCACCTCAAATAAATGTCACACTGTGATCTTTAAGAAAGCACAGTAAACATCTGGTAGAAGTCTGGAAAATATATATATATATATATATATATATATATATAATACATGGTGGGCTGGAGCGATAGCACAGCGGGTAGGGCGTTCGCCTTACAAGCGGCCAACATGGCCGACCCGAGTTCGATTCCTCCGCCCCTCTCGGAGAGCCCGGCAAGCTACCGAGAGTATTCGATATGCCAGACACAGTAACAACAAAGTCTCCAATGGAGACGTTACTGGGCCTGCTCGAGCAAATCGATGAACAACGGGAGGACAGTGACACAGTGACAGTGATAATACATGGCAACTTAAGCCTGCTAATTCATAGAATTTTTTGGGGGGAGTGGGGGATGTTTGTGGGCCACACCCAGCAATACTCAGGGCTAAGTTACTCCTGGCTCTGCACTCAGGGAACTATTCCTGAGGTGTTCAGGGGGACCAATTGGGAAGCCAGAGATCAAACCTAAGTTGACCATGTACAAGGCAAGCTTCCTACCTGTTGCACTGTATCTCCATCCCTGATATATCAATTTTAGAATCAATCTGATTAGTCCCCCAAATTTATTGCGTTTTAATAAGCAATCAGGAAGACTGACATATATGTTAAATTTTAATGTGTAACAATAGTATACGTGCAGTATTTATTCCAATACAACAAAATCATAATTTACAATACCAGACAAGTAAAATATCTAAAAATAAAGTGTAAAACTAATTCTAATTAGGCAGCAAAGTAATTAGCAGAAAAACAGGGTTGTTGGTGCAAAAGACCACCAGGTACTGGGGCTGGAGAGATAGCACAGCGGGTAGGGCGTTTGCCTTGCATGCGGCCAACCTGGGTTTGAATCCCAGCATCCCATATGGTCCCCTGAGCACCGCCAGGAGTAATTCCTGAGTGCAGAGCCAGGAAGAACCCCTGAGCATCACTGGGTGTGACCCAAAAAAAACAAACAAACAAAATAACCCACCAGGTACTAAGATACACAAAGTAATTTTCAAGGTCTTGAGGACATGCTGGACACCTTGGGGTGAGAAAAATCAACCTTACCTTAAAGCTTAAAAGTTAGTCCCCCACCAGTCAAAATGGGCATTTTTGCCGTTAATACCTCTAAATTAACCAATGGGCTAAGTGAAGGTTATCCAACAGGATGCAATATGGTGCCTATTCTGGCAACAACTTTTAAAATGTAGCTCTATCTTGGTCCAAATTTTAAACATTGTAACTTCAAGTTTTCCTGGTTGTGTCACTTTTTCAGCCTGAATAAGTTCTCTAAGACCAGAAGGTAAAAAGGTAAAGGTAAAGGCCCTCCCGTTGATCGTCGATTTGCTCGAGCGGGCCCAGTAACGTCTCCATTGGAGACTTTGTTGTTACTGTGTCTGGCATATCGACTACTCTCGGTAGCTTGCCAGGCTCTCCGAGAGGGGCGGAGGAATCGAACTCGGGTCGGCCATGTTGGCTGCGTGCAAGGCAGACGCCCTACCCGCTGTGCTATCGCTCCAGCCCCAGAAGGTAAAGAAAGGAAAGGAAATCTATAATATATCAGATTTTTGGTTGTTTTTACAGTAAGTGATAACCACTGCCTTATTACTAAGTCATTTGAAAAATTTAAGAAAATCAAATTTTATTGGGGCCAGAGAGATGGTACAATGGGTAGAGCACTTGCCTTGCAAGCAGCTGACCAGAGTTTGATTTCCGGCATCCCTTATGGTCCCCCGAGCCCAATAGCCAGATCACTACCAGCTATTTCCCATCCCCATATGCCCCACCCAGCAAAAAAAAAATCAGAAATTATTAATATATCAGTGAATGACATATTAAATTTACTTATTTACTGCATTGCAGGGGATTAAACCCTGGTCCTCACATATGCAAGGAAGGGTTCTATCACTGACAGAAGGGTTTTATCACTGAAGGGTTATATCCCCAATCCTCAGTATCAGTTCAATTTTAATTAATTGGGGGTATAGGGCTAACTGGGATGTTGAGGACTGCTCCCCGGTTCGAGCATGCAAAGCCTGTATCCCAGACCCTTGAGATACTGCTTAGAAAATTTTAAATGCTTACAAAAATAAGTTTAAAATATATGCTTAAAAGAACCTGACTTACACACTTAAAAGACTTGCAGAAGCTATATGTCCCTTGGAAAGGCTTTATACTTTTAATCAGGATTATGAACTTACTGCTTTAAAAGTCTTAAGTAGGGCCAGACAAACAGTATAGCGGGTAATGCACTTGCCTTGAACTCTACCCAGGTTCAATCCACAGAACCACAAATGGTTCCCAAAGCCCCACCAAGACCGATCCCTGAGTACCGAAACAATAAAGAATTAAAAAAAAAAGTCTAAATTACTTAAAAGAACAAGTATACTGAAATGTAAGTGAAATTTAAAACACTTATATTTTTTATTTCATTGAGTTTTTTACTTCGGGAGATTTAATCTGTTGGTGCCTTAATGAAAGGTTTGCCAAGGACTTTTTTTCCGAATATACACATTTTACGATCTGTATAAGGTAAGGTAAAGGCCCTCCCGTTGATCATCGATTTGCTCGAGCGGGCCCAGTAACGTCTCCATCGGAGACTTTGTTGTTACTGTGTCTGGCATATTGAATACTCTCGGCAGCTTGCCGGGCTCTCCGAGAGGGGCGGAGGAATCGAACTCGGGTCGGCCATGTTGGCCGCTTGGAAGGCGAACGCCCTACCCGCTGTGCTATCGCTCCAGCCCGATCTGTATGTAAAACAGAATTTGTGAAATAAACTTAAGCTAAAGAGGGTCAAAGAAACGGCACAGAGGTTAAGATGCTTGCCTTGCACGCAGCTGACCCCAGTTTAATCCCGCGTCCGATCCTCCAAGTGCCTGCAGGAGTGATCCCTGAGCAAACCCAAGAGTAAGTCCTGAGCATCGCCAGGTGTCACCAAAAACAAATCGAGAAAGTTCTCTCAGACCAATCTGTGGCACAACAGAAAAACGCGTTTGTATGAGTTTGTAGACCGTTTACTGAACTTGCTTCAGTCGCTACCCCCACGGCTAGGGGGGTCAGGATCCCATTCAAGATGTGGCTGCCAAAAGAGCTGGACACCCGCCTCAGGGGGGCCCCCGGGGTCTGAACCCAACTTTTCCTGAGGGGTCCAACTACCACCAGCTCCCCACCAAAAAACGGGCTATCCCATCCTTCACAGAAACAGAACTTGTTTTGTTGGGAGGCCACACCCCTGTGGTGGTGCTCTGGGTTGACTCCTGGCCCTGTGCTCAGGATCCCTCCGGGAGGTGTTGGGGAAACTGCAGGACATCCAACGAGGGTCGGCCAAACGTGAGGCAAAGGCCCTGCCTGCTGAGCTATCCCTTTGCCCCGCGTCTCAAAGCTTGTTCTTTTCTTTGTTGTTTCGCGACTTAACAGCACTGGCTGGCACTTCCGGAAAAATAGACATTTGTGTCACCTTCCAGACTGACCTCAGTGCCTGGAGGGCTGGGCACACGGCTAAGGTCTGCGATCCTGCTGGGGACAGGGGTGGAGCAAAGCACAGACATGCCTTACACGAATAAAACCCAAGTTCTACCCATGTCACTGAACAACACCAACAACAACATTTCATTTCATTTCATCATCCTGTTATTCGTCGATTGACTCGAGCAGGCCCCAGTAACATCTCCTTCATCCTAGCCCTGAGATTATGTTCAAGGCTCTTTAGGAGAATGAGACCCATCATTGTTACTGGTATTTGGCATATTGGGTACGCCACGGGGAGTTTGCCAGACTCTGCCGTGTGGGCAGGCTACATGCGATAGCCTGCAAGTTTGTCCAAAGTAGGAATGAGATAGTAAGGTGTCGTAAAAACAACAACAACAAAAGGAAAAAAAAAAACACCCGAATTCATCAAGTCGTTAAAAGAAAAATCACTGGCAGAGTTCTGGCGAGGGACTAAGAAAAAGGGTCAGCCGAAGAGCCCGCGCTGAATTAAAAAAAAGAAAAAAACAAAATTTCCTGGAAGTTTCAACGCGCTCTCAAAGGTCAACCTGCCCCGAGAACAAAAGCGAGCGCGGGTGGGGCGCGGGCGGGGAGCCCGCGGGTTCGAGGCTCCGGGTTCGACCCCCGGCTCTACACGCCCCCCTCGCCCCCGCCCCCGCCCCTCCCAGGTCGGCTCCGAGCAGCCGCCGAGCACAGCCCGGGACCCCGCAAAGCAAAAGCAAAAGCAAACGCCACGCACCGGGCACGGAAGCAGGCGCGGGTGACAGTTCCCGCGGCCGAGCCCCCGGGGACACCCGGGCCCGCCGCCCCGCCGCCGGCTCCCCGCGACCCGGCTCGAACCCTCCCGCCTCCGCGGGACCCACCGCGGGCCAGCGCGCTCCCGAGTCCGAGCCTCACTCGGGACACAGTGCAATCTCGCTTTCCGCGCCTCACTCGGGACACACACAGTGCAATCTCGCTTTCCGCGGCCCGCAGCCGGAGTGCAGTCTCCTTCTGTGCGCGCGGGAACCCCGGACTCCGGCTCTCCCGGCCGGCGCCCAACTTTCCCCGCGGGCGCCGGGCGCCGGGCCCGACCCCCGCACGCACCTTTGTCCGCGGCGCGACGCCGGCTCGGGCCCCGCGGGCCGCTCTCGCCCCTCATGCCGGCCCGGCGCCCGGGCGGCGGCGCTGCTAGCGGCCGGCCCCCGAGCCCCGGCCCCCGGCTCCCGGCCGGCCCGCGCCGCGCGCCATGCCCGGGCGGCGGGGGGCCACGCGCCGGGGCCCCGCCGGTCAGGGCCCGCGCGGACCCCCGGGGCGGGCGCCCTCTCGGGGGCCGCCGTTCCTCGGGGCGCCCCGCGCTGGGCCCTGGGGCCGCGTCCCCGGGGCGCGCGCGGGCTTCCAGGCCGCGCCGAAGTCCGTCGGGCAGCGGCGGGCGCGGGACCGACGGCCCTAGCGGAGGCGCCGGGAGCCGAGGGCCGGGGTCCGAGCGCCGGGGGGCGACTCCCTCGAGCGCTCCCGCCGCCGCCGCCGCCGCCGCCTCAGCCCGCGGGCGCTTCGTTGTCAGCAGCCGGAGGGCGGGGGAAGGCGCCGGAGACTCGGGCCCCGCGCGCGGAGAGCGCGGCGCCCGCGTCACGTGCCTCCCCGCCGGCCAATGGGGCGCGGCCGGCGCGCTGACGTCAGCGCCCCGGCCCGGCCGCTGACAGCCGCCCGTCACGTGACGGCGCGCGCGCCAATGGGCGGCGCCGGGGGCCCCGAGCTTCCCGGCGGCCCGCGCGGCGGCGGTGGTTGGGCGGTAAGATGGCGGCCGTGAGTCTGCGGCTCGGCGACTTGGTGTGGTGAGTCGCGGCGGCCGGGGCCCAGCGAGAGGCGCCGGGGAGCGGCGCCCCGCGCGACGCGAGGCCCGGGGGCGGCCCGGCGCGGCCCGTGGCGGCGCGCCCGTCGGCGGGGAGGCGGCGAGGCGGGCCCGAGGCCGGCGGCGCCGCGGGGCGGAAGGGGCAGCCCGGCCCCGGGGGACGGAGGCCGAGGGGGCCGCCGTGGCCCGACTCCGGGCCCCGGGACAGGGCCGAGGCCCGGCGGCCGGCGCCGCCCGGGGAGGGGACGCGGGGCCGCGGCGCGGGACGGGCTCCCCCTTCCCCTTCCCCTCCCCGCCCTCCCCCTCCCCGCGGGGCGCGGGGGTGGCCGCGTCCGCAGGTGTCGGAGCCCCGCGGGGCGGTGGGCGCCGGGCTGAGCGCGCTCTGCACTCGGCCCGGGCGCGGCGTTTGGGGGGAGGCCTTGCATGCATGCAGGAGGGGTTGCAGGAGGACTGGCCTTTCCCCCGGGGGTCGCTGACTCTCTGTGCTTTCTCTAGGGGGAAACTCGGCCGGTACCCTCCTTGGCCGGGCAAGGTGAGTGGTCCCGGGGGGCGCGCACCCCCGCCGTTTGCAGCGTCGCCTCGAGCCGGTCTCCCGCGACGACGACGACGGCGGGGGCTGCTTTTCCCCTCCGAGTTCGTTTCCCAACGAGCAGACGTAGCGTTTGCGAGTAAGACGGGGGCCTCTGATGCGGAGGACGGACAGGCTGCTTGTTGTCAGAGGGGGCTTCCTGGTGGATCCTTACAGTCCCGGGGGTCCGTCCTAGTTTGACTCGGGCCCCCCATGCGAATCCGACAAAAGCGAGAAGGAAGAACTGCTCCGGGAAGAGGGAGATCTAAATGTAGGTTAGAGAAAAGTCAGAGTATTTTCGGCCCGACTAAGTTTAAATCTTCCCGTGCGGCCATATGTGCAGCTCCAGTGCAGCCCTGCAAGAGTTGGCATTCCAGATTTCGCGTGAGGTGGTCCGTCGTAGCTCCCCAAATGTTCCGTTTTTGATTTTCTGCTTGGAGCCCAGGAAATGTCTCTCGCCTGTCTCTGCAATATGCTATTCCAGTGCCTGTCTTACCTCTCCCTTTGCTGGAGTACTTTTAGGAGTGCCCCCCCCCCCCCCCACGCTGCTTCTTCTTCGGTGGTCAGAAGGTCAACCGAGGAAAAGCATGTTGGTCATCATTTTGACTTTTTATTTTTGGTGGAGCAAGATAGCTTCCTTGAAACTTACTTAGAAAGATGAGGGGAGGAAGAGGGAGACCTGTCCCTGGTGGAAAGAAGCAGATTCAGGCAAGCCAGACTTATGTTGGAGAGCCAGGGCTTGAAGAGCAAGCCAAAGTTCTGCTTTTAAAAGGGAACAGTTGCAGTGGAAGGGATGGTGTATCTTATTATTAAACACTGTTACATATTAGATACAGGGAACGTCTTAAGTATCTGCCTGTTTTCTCTTATAATAAGAGAGAGTTCCAGAGGGGTGAATTCCGGACCCAGGGTTCTTTTTATGGACATGACGTTTTTATTTCAATTTTTTTCTTACCAATTTTGAACTACAGGGGGAAAACCTTTTTTATTTTTATCCCCTAGATTGTTAATCCGCCCAAGGACCTGAAGAAACCACGTGGAAAGAAATGCTTCTTTGTGAAGTTTTTTGGAACAGAAGATCAGTGAGTAGCAGAGCTCACTAGGAGTTGCATGGTACCCTTAGTTTGGCTCTTACCCGGGGTCTGGCAGTCTTTATGGTAACCGAGGGTCTTAGCGGCTCTCACTGGAGCCAGCAGGCTTGCATTTCATTCTGACTTCATGCCCACATATGCAGAGCTGTTCCTGTGACCCAGCTGGACAGCTGTCCTGGGGCCAGTAGCAGTGCTGCTAAAGTGAGAACTGGGCTTCTCCGCCTTCTGAATGTGACCCGCACACTTAGGAGATCATTTCCCACAGCTCATTATCTGGCTCCATCAGCAGATCTGTTGATAAAGGCAACGGTTCAGCTCTTTGTTTTGTTTTGAGACTCTGTTTTGTTTTGAGACCACACCTGGCAGTGCTCAGGACTTCCTCCTGGGTCTGCATTCAGGGATCATTCCTGGCAGGGCTTAGGGAACCCTAGGGGTGCCAAGGCTTGAGCTCAGGTTGGCCATGTGCAAAGCAGGCACTTTACCTGCTGTACTGTCTTTTCAGCTCACAATAAGTTTTTTAGTCAGATCTGACCTTGAAATCAGGACCCTGAACTTGAGATTCCTTGATGGGTCGCGTATCAAAGACAGGAAGGGGCAAGAATGTATACCTGAGTATTTGCAATACGTTTCCCTTTCTCATCCCTGTAACAACTTGATTGTCTGGGCCTACCTGGATGATTTTATTTCTTTAGCTTCATTTCTGTTTTGATTTTTACAGAAAAATGTAGCTTCGGGTTTGAAAAGGTATCTCTGAATTTTCTGATATATCCAATACCCGTAGGTAAAATAAACATTTCCTAGAAAGTGACATATATGGTTCCATGGGAAAACATAAAGTTGGTTCACTCAGGAGTTTCCATTTCAGAGTGCTCTTGCTGGTTTAGATTAGCATAACACATCTCCTTCACTGCACAGGTGTACGTCCCTTTTCTTTGTTGCAAACCAACTTAATGGGTTTTTTGGGGGAGGGGTCATACCCGGCGATGCACAGGGGTTAACTCCTGGCTCTGCTCTCAGGAATCACCCCTGTCGGTGCTCAGGGGACCATATGAGATGCTGGGAATCGAACCTGGGTCTGCAGCGTGCAAGGCAAACGCCCTACCCGCTGTGCTATCACTCCAGCCCAAGCTTAATGATCTTTTCATGGCACTATTTCAAGGAAGTCACTGGCCCAGAGCTGTGAAAAATTTATAAAATGTTTTAAAACAGTTTAAACAAATTAAATAGGACCGTGATTTTATCTTTTTCTGGCGAGGCTTGGCCTTAGTGGAAAGAAGCTGAGAGTGCATCCAGTCCGTCCTGAAGGAACAGTGCTTAGAGATTAGTGCTGAGACAGCTTCAGTATTTTGTCTCAAGGTGAAATCTCCAGGTTGCTGGTTAGCAGCAGATTTCTTTAGGGAAAGCTCCGGGTTTGTTCTAGGCCTGTGGAGATTTCCAGGCCTCCAGATTCTCCTGTGCCTTCTGCACGTCGCCCTCGTCGCCCCAGCACCCTTGGGGCAGCCCGAAAAGCAAAATGCAAAGTTAGTGAAGCAGTGGGTGGCTTTCTTCATAGTCCCTCAGATGTTTCTTTGAGGGGCGTTGTGAGTATGAGAGATGTTGCGTGACTGTGTTTAAGACGTACACAAGTACTTGATACATATTTGTGTAAGAAGCGTTTTATTATTTTTTAAATTTCTTTATTTTGGCTTTTTGGGTCACGCCTGGCAGTGCTCAGTGGCTACTCGTGGCTCTGCACTCAGGAATTACTCCTGGCAGTGCTTGAGGGACCTGATGGGAATCGAACTCCGGTTGGCCGCGTAGAAAGCAAACACTGTACTATTTCCAGCCCTGTGTAAGAGGTGTTTTCGATGAAAACTGCTAATGAACTTTTTAAGAATGGAAGCTGCTTTCCAAGGAGCAAAGCTACAGGCAGCTATGAAGCTCGCAGAAGTCTGCTCCCCTTTAATGCCCGGCATGAGAGCGTGGAGGGTGCTGGCACTGGATGGAGCCTCATGGTTACCAGGCCCCACCTCAGCTGATGGTCTGACCCAGTGGGGCTGTTCCATGTCTGTGAGAATGAGAGTGGGTCAGTTAAAACTGACAGGCTGCTTGCGGGAAATACAGAGCGAGACATTTCTTACATTCGCAAGGACCTTTCATGGAGGTGAGGGGGCATGTACCCGCTGATGGTGTGGGGTGAGAGCGCCTTGTGCCCTGATTGTCGCGCCAGTCCCTGACTTTTGTTTTACACTCATCTCTGGTTTCTGATCCCCCCTCCGCTTTCTTTGGCCGTTGGAATGACCAGGGACCACGTGCTCGCTTGCTTGCCCCAGCGGTTGTGGTGTGCACAGGGTCACATCCTTGGCTCAGTGCTGCACGTCCTGGCTGTCAAGTGCTGAGATGACAGCTGTGTTGTCGGTGTGGGTGTGATGAGTTGACTCTGGCGTGGATCTAGTGAGGAGTGTTAGATTGTGTGATGCCAACATGGTGGAAGGACAAGAAAACCCAGAACTTGGTTGTGCTTCTGGGCTTACACTCAGCAGGTGGGGCGGTGCAGGGAATCGAACTTGCACCTCCAGGCACTCGCCCACTGAACTGTCCTCGGGTCCGAACAGAATGCAGAGAGACAATTCGGTTTGTAGAAATCAAACTTTACTCTCTGCCAAAACATTCAACAGACGTTGGATGGTTGACCTTCTCGGGACAGCTGACTGTGGTGGAAACTGCCCCGAGATGTTTTCAGTTCTGTGGCATGTGTTGGCCTGTTCCCCCAGGTGATGGTCACTTGAGGGGGTCAGCTGCCTGAGCGCCATGTCGAAGGGGGATCTGCTGGCGTGGCGACTGGGTTTGGGATTAAGCCAGATGAGAAGCTGTGATGGCAGAGAGAAGGGGGTGATCTCACAGTGTGGGTGCCCAGAAACTACAAGCACAGCAGGGTGGCAAGGCTGTGGGCAGCCAGCCGCAGAGCGGAAAGGGAGTCTGCCCTGGCGCTTAGTCTTTAAGCAGTCCCCTCCCGCGTCCCCTTCATTGGCGATGCTGCTCTGCTCTGCTGGCTGTGATGTTCCCTGAGGCTTGAACGCCATTCACTGCAGGGATTGAATGTGTCCACAGGGTGGGGCTGCCCATACCCCCCCACCCCCCCCCACTGTGTAGCTGGGAATTACTCGAGAGGCAGGCCAGGGATTGCAGGTTTCAGCGCCACCCCCTCTCACACACGCAAGGCACCCTAGGGTGTGTTGGAGGGTTTTGGTTTCATTTGGGGGCCGCACCTGGCAGTGCTCAGGACTTACTCCTGGCTCTGTAATCAGGGATCATTCCTGGTGGTCTTCGGGAACCCTCTGGGAAGCCAGGGATTGTACCCAGGCAGATGCCTCCCTGCTGCACTGCCAGTCCAGCCCCTGCCCTAGGATTTGAACTCGTGATCAAATATCCAAGGCAGGCTGTCTACCCTGTGCTGCTTCTCTGTGCCCTGGTGCCTATTTTTGTAACAGATTTAGAAACAGGCAGGGGATTTGTGGGTTGAAGGGTAGAATAGTCAGGATCCCAACCTGATATGTTCTATGTCACGCCACGCAAATGGTGGGCCTGAGTAAATACCAAAGGAACTTACAGAAAAACGCACTCCTAACTAGAGGGAAGGTGGGTTGGAGTCATCCGGGCACCCCCTTGTCGTTTTCCCAGGGCTCTCGATCAACTCTACCTAGAGCACTGAGAGTTGGAGCACTGAGCCAAGTGGCTTTTGAGGTCTGCTGCCCCAGGGGTATGGCCAGATGGCCAGCCGCCTCTGCCAGGCTGCAGGGATGGACTCAAGGGCTGGTGTTCTGCACGGAGCTGCAGAAGCTGGTACAGAGGAGCTGGGGCTGAAGAGTGAGCTCAGGGCTGGGCACCCAGTGGCGCCTGAGTAGCTAAACCAAGCTGTCAGGTCCATGTCACCGGTCCAGGTATTCCAGGAGCGACCCTAGGGCCCTGGGAGTTCAGGGAAGCCTCGCGCTCGGGAATGTTCTCAAGCCCTGGAAGCAGGGAGAGCCATCCTCTCTGTGAGTCTCTCAGTGAACATCTGCCGGCCAGCTTTTCGTGAAATTGACCGAGAACAGCTGTTCCTTGTAGTTGTTGGTAGTTTGTGTTTGATTTGTGTTTTGGGGTGTCTTTATTTTGAAAGATAGTCATGGGCCTGCTTCAGTAGTTTAAGAAGAGGCAGGAGGCAGCGAGTATAAAAATCATTTACTAAATGCTTCTCGCCAGACCCAGGCAGAGCAGCCATCCGTGACTTCCGGCTCTGTCCTCTTCTCACTTTCAGACAGAGCCTGTGTTCACTTTGCCACTCTCCGTCCTCCTGCCCGGGCAGAGTCTGAGGTCCGTGTTCAGGCACTGAGGCTAGGGTCTGCCTGGCCTCCCTTCTCAAGCGTGCAGTCACAGGGCCATTAGCACATCTGAGTGGACCCACAGACAAGGAAGTTGTGGGGAACCCTCTGGGGAGCCAGCAGGTGGGGTCCGCGCCAGAGCCTTCATTGTTCCTGGTGATTGGTGGGTTTGGTTTGGTTCTTAAGCTAACATTTGTTTATGGCTCCCCCGCCCCCATAAAGCTGTACACTGTGCAATGATCCCAGTCACCCCATCCCTCTGGGGATACCACGTGCGGCTTTCTTCCTTGGTCTTGGCTGCATGGACACAGGGCTTTGTATCCGTCCTTCCACTTTGCCACGTAGCTTAAAGGCCCCTCTGTCTGCCGCTCACTGATTCCAGTCAGCGTGGCTTCCAGCAGATAGTGTGTAATGAGCTTCCTCTGCAGACAGGCAAAGCCTCCCACTTGAACCTGCAGCTGACAGCACTTGATTTTTCTAACCAGCCACAGCAAGGTGGGTGGGGAAAGGTACAGTTGCAGCCATGCGTTGGAAGGCTCTTAGGAGGGGAAAACACGAGGTAGCCCTGATAGTGAGAATGAAGCAGATGAGCCGTGAGCAGCAGCAGGGAGCGCAGAAATCCCATGATTCCTTCCCGTCAGAGCTTTCACACCACTTAACCCACAGGCCCCAAAACCCAGGGCCCCCTCTGCCAGCCTCACCCCACAACCCCAGCCCGGAAGACATTCTGCCAAGCCTCGCTAAGAGACTCAGCGCTCACCTGTTTCACAGATGCCTCCTCTGGAAGGCAGGGACTCTCTAAAGACTTCGGCTCTGCACTTTGAGTTGTGGGTTTGTTGTTTGTTTGATGGGGGACCATGAGGTGCTGGGAATGAAGCCTAGGCATCCCACAGTCAGCATACACTAGCCCTTTTGGCTCTCCAGCCCAAGGACCATGCAGTCTGGAGAGAAAGTCGCATGTGGCCAGGCTGATTTCTGTTCGGACTGCTTTGGGTAGGGACCTCTCTGGGACCCAGGGCTCATCGACTGCTTTTCCAAAGTGCTGGGGTGCTTTTCCAGCAGAGGGTTCCTTAAGTAGACTGGTATTTCTGGTGTGGAAGTCATACTGTCCCTTCATTCATATACATTACCACTTTCCAAAGATGGTCATGGAACTTTCACTTGATCACTTGACATCCCATTACTCATCTATTTGCTCGAGCGGGCACCATTAACGTCTCCATTCATCCCTTTCGTGTGCGAGTGTAGCCCAATGTCGTCTGCTCGTTCTCGGAACACGAAGAGCCTCAAACCGATCGTTCACCGTCTTGACAAAGAAGTCTGACCGTCTCATAGGTGGGCGGCCACATGATCTTTTGACGTCCCGTGGAATCCGGTCGGTAATGGCTTTAGTCCAGCGGTCATCTCCAGATCTCATTACGTGTCCAGTCCAGTTTCATTTTAGGATCTCAAATGCCAGTCTTTAGGATGAACGGGATTCCATCTGTACTATTCCCCGTCTGGCAAAAAATCAGTAATGTGCTTTCAGAGTGCTTCAAAGAGGAGGCTGCTTCCTCGCCAAAGTCCTCAGCTTTCCACTTTCTCTGGATCCAAGGTTTGGGGGGCACCAGGGCCAGAATCAGATTCTTAAGGTCTGTTGCCCAAGGCCTCTGTCTCCCAGGGGATTTGTGGAGCTTCAGCTCTGAAGCTGGGGGGTCCTGAGCCTGAGCCTTGGCTTTGTGTTCAGTTCTCACATGCTTTGAACTCTGCCGCTGCATTTCGCAGCTTCACTTGTTTCGCCAAGCTTGTTGCTGATGGCTCTGGTCTGTCCTTGGAAACTCAGTGAACGAATGGGGCCAGAGCGATAGCACAGCGGGGAGGGCGTTTGCCTTGCCTGCGGCCAACCCGGGTTCGATCCCCAGCATCCCAAATGGTCCCTGAGCGTCGCCAGATATGACCAAAAAAGAAAGAAATTCAGTGACTGCTCTGATGTGTCAACTTTAAAGATAAATAGTTCATGCCAGGAATGACCTAAGCACAGTAACCCTGAACTCTGCCAGGTGTAGCCCCCAGAAAAAACAAACACGAATATATTTGGGGGGGGGCTGGGCACACCCAGTTGTGCTTAAGACTCACTTTTGGCTCTGCTCAGAATCACTCCTGATAAGGCTTGGGGGACCATATGGGGCACTGGAGAACGAACCCTGGTCAGCCTTCCCTGCCGTCCTGCCACTCCGACCCCTGTTTGTAATGTTCGTTAGCTTCTCTGAAGGAGAGAATCCTGTTATTACGGTATACAGGCCAGTTTTTATATTCTTAACCTGACCCACTTTTCCTGAAGGTTCTACATGAAAGCTATATCACAGGGCAGAACACACGAATTAACTGTTGCCTTGCCAAACTATAAACTTCTCTCCTTTATACGGGGTTGTGTGAACTGAACATCTGTGGCTTCGCAGGAGCAGCCGGGGCAGGTGTTCGGTTGTCTGGTGTGCCTGCTATTCCAGAGCTGACAGCTTGTTTCCTCTTTCATGTTACTTGTTAATCGAAGGGATTAAAAGTCAAATAGCACGGGAGTATATGTGCCTTTACTCACAAGGAGATACTTGCTTTCAAAGCCCTCCTTTGGTGACTGTCCCTCGTTCCAAACGGCGTGTCCCGTGTTTGTGTGGTTGTAGCCATGACTACAGTCATTTGCAAATCACTGCAGGCTCCCTGCTGTAGGTAGCCAAGATGAAGAGGATGTGGCTCAGCTGTTGTGGACTCAGGTTATTGCCGGGTAGTGCTGCAGCTTGGGGGATGCTGCTGACAGGTATCTTGATTCCTGGGCTTCGTGGGTGGCCTTCTGTGCGCTGGTAAGACTAGACGAGCAGGCTGCAGGAGGTGTGGTTCAGCGCGGAAGGCACGGGAAGAAGACCAGAGACAGCCTGGAACAGCCATTTCAGTCATAGCATGTTCTCCTTTGGGGGGCTTGTGTCATTCCCCTTCACGTCTCTCAGGAACATGCACTTAGATGCTCAGGGTTGGGGTGGGGAGAACTGGCAGGCCTGTGTGATCATTGATACCCGCCTTGGCACATGCAGTGCGCTTATGCCCCTTTTGTGTGCCCTCTCCGCTAGCGCCTGGATCAAAGTAGAGCAGCTAAAGCCATATCATGCACACAAGGAGGAAATGATCAAGATAAACAAGGGTAAACGCTTCCAGCAAGCTGTGGACGCCGTGGAAGAGTTCCTCAGGAGAGCCAAGGGCAAGGACCAGGTGAGAGACTGACCCTCACTCTAAACCGCCGGGCCAGCTCTTTGCCTGGTATCTAGCAGATTAAATGCCACCAAGACTTGAAGTCATGTCCTTAGGAAATGCCAGTGGAGCGGGAGAGCAGTTCCCAGCTAAAGTGTCAGCTGGAACTTTCTGGGCTCTTAGTACCTCGGCCTCTGAGCACAGCACAGCTGAGAGTGCCTACCTGCCCCTGGGGAATGAGTCCTCTTGGCTTGGGGGCAGTGGGCATGTCACTTAATGTGTTTTGTTTTGGGTTTTTTGGGTTTGTTTGGTTGGTTTTTTTGGGTTTTTTTTTTTTTTTTTTTGCCTTTTGGGTCACACCTGGCTCTGCACTCAGGACTTACTCCTGCCAGTGCTCAGGGGACCATGTGGGATGCTGGGAATCGAACCCGGGTCAGCCGCGTGCAAGGCAAACGCCCTCCCCGCTGTGCTAGTCCTCTAGCCCCTTGTGTTTCGATTCGTCAGCAGAACCCGCTGGGGGTGTGGGGGTGACGCATGTGAAACACTTGGCTCTGGGTGTGGCGCGCGTGCAGGGTCAGCGCAGCAGCCGGGGATGGTCATCGTTACTGCCTTTCGACTTTCAGGCATCATCCCACAGCTCTGATGACAAGAATCGACGTAACTCCAGCGAGGAGCGAAGTAGGCCCAGCTCAGGGGATGAGAAGCGCAAGCTCAGCCTGTGTGAGGGGAAGGTGAAAAAGGGCGCAGGAGAAGGGAAGAAGAGGGTCTCCTCGGGGCCCTCCGAGAGAAGCTCCAAGTCCCCGCTGAAGAGAGCCCAGGAGCAAAGCCCCCGGAAGCGGGGTCGGCCCCCGAAGGACGAGAAGGTCAGTCTGCTCTCAGCTCTTCTATCTGACTGCAGAGGCCTGTGTTAAGGGCGGCCCCGAAGCTCCCTCAGGCGAAGGCCTGAGCACCTTGGCAATGGACGGGGAGCAGGACAACGGAGAATTGTCGTTCCATCCCAGTGGCAGGCCTGGTGTGCAGGCCGGAAGGAGGGCAGCCGCGAGAGAAGGCACAGCCCGCGGGAACTCGGTTCGGTGCCAGGCAGGGAGAGGAGAGAGAAAAGGAGATTGTCGCTGGATGGTGGGCAGCTGGGAGGTCCCCCAGCAGTGTGGCATGGCCCAGAGTCCACGGGAGCCACCAGGGTGTTCGAGCTGGAGGGACAAGCTGCCAAGGCCGCGGGGCAGAGCTGAGAGGCTTCTCAGAGCGTGGCCCTGCTGGTGCCAGGGCTGCGCGAGGGGCAGGGAGGAGGTAACCCTGTGCCGTCTCAGAGCAGAGGATCGCAGGGGCTGGCTCTGTGGGATGGGGTCAGTCTCGGGGGACGCCTCTGTGCCAGAGAGTCTCTGAGTACCATGGGCGGAGATGAAGAGGGCGGCCGAAACGGGAGAGGCTCTGGGGTCTCTCAGTCCGGGTGGGTTTGTCCTGGAGAAGGTGAGGAGAGGAAGCCAGCTTGACCTTACAAAGAGGATGCTCAGAGTTAAGAGTTGGGGGCGACTGAATGAGAAATGGTAACAACAGATCTTTCACCTTCTGGAAAGTTCCGGCACAAGGGGCCAGAGCAGTAGTATAGCGGGGAGGGCATTTGCCTTGCATGCATCTGACCTGAGTTCAATCCCTGACATCCCCTAGGGCCCCCCAAGCACCGCCAGGAGTGATTCTTCAGCGTAGAGCCAGGAGTAACCCCGGAGCCTCACCGGGTCTGGCCTAAAAATCAAAAAGGGGAAAGAAAAAAAAATTTTTGGCACATGCCTTAGAACTAGTCGAGGAAGGAGGAGTGGTATGCAGGGAAATCCTGAAAGCAGGAGTCAAGGGGAGCCAGATGGCAGGCTGGACTTCAGGTCTAGACACCAGCTGGACAGGCAGGGCATGGAGCCAGACGAGGGCGCTGGCCTTCCACTCCGCCAGCCTGGGTCCATCCCCGGCATCTCATGTGATTCCCCCATGCTCCAGCAGGGGAGATCCCCGTGATTCCCCCATACTCCAGCAGGGGAGATCCCCGAGCACAGAGCCAGGAGTCAGCCCTGAGCAAGATCAAAAATAAAGGCAGAAATGGCGATCTTCTCTCCCCCTGGCTCCTCTGTGGGAATGGCGGCTGGTGGTCCAGGGCCTCAGGCTCTGCTCGGGGGACTTCCGCCTGCTGTGACCATCATCTGTTTTTTTCTGGCGAAAAGCTGGAATGAGAGGCTTCTGGAGAATGTTCGCGTTGCAGAGTGGAGGCTGTTGGACCCACATCCTGCTCTGTGCTCAGGGCAGCGTATGCAGTCCCAGGGCTCAAACCAGGGTCTGCCGCATGTACGACAAGACCTTATGCCACCTCTTTGGCCCTAGAATGTCCTTATTTTAAACGTTAGGAGATAGCACAGCAGGTAGGGCGTTTGCCTTACACACTGCCAACCCCGGAAGGAGGCTGGTGCTGGCTTGTGCTCGGACACCTGCGAGTGACATCAGAGCAGCACTTGGTGCTGACCATCTGACGAGTGTCGCACAGTGCTGACTTTCCCATCACCAGTGGGACCCCGATGGTCTTGAGCTCGCCCCAAGGCAACCCTCACTGAGAGGTTGCCCACAGTGGAAAGAAGTTAGTCCTTGGGTCCAAGGGCTCCCCGTGGGTGCAGGTGCATTTCTGTCCCTGTTCTCGGAGCCTCGTCTCAGGCCTCATGCAGCCCAGGAGCTCCCCACACCTGCCTGTGTGGTTTCAGTTTGGCGCAGGACCAGGGCAGAAGCAGTGGTTGTGGTTCTGATCAGTGAATCCCCTGAACTCAGACCTGGGGTTCCATCTCTGTCTCTGTCTGTCTGTCTCGCTCGCTCCATGATTCCACCTCATTCTCCAGTGTGAAACAGGCAGTGTTGCTCTTGTGTTTTCTGTTTGGTGAGCACTGCAAAGGCAGCAGTGACCACAGGGTATTCTTGGACAGAGCCCAGATGGCGCCTTCTGCACCATCATCGCCTGAGGACCGACAGGAAGATAGCCTCAGTGCTAGGATGTCAGGTCCACACGGGCAGGCCAGGCACACGCCCACCCTCTGTAGGTCCAGAGTGGCTCCAATCAGCTCTGGACCCCACACTCGCAAGTGGAGCGTCAGCTGGCTCTCCTGAGGTTGGGGCTTGCTAAGCAAGGGTGTGGACACACACCTTGGGCCGGTCCTGGAGGCCATGGTGTGTGCTGCCTCAGCCCTGCTCTTCTGTTGTCCTTGTGGCCCAGGGCAGGTCTCTAGGCTTCAAGTAGAATTCAGTGTCTCAGACCAGTCGTGTGAGAGCTTCCAAAACCACGTGACTCAAGGCTGCCTTCGGTGGCTTGGTGTGTCCGTCTCTGCAGCAGTCTGCACTGCCCTGGGCCGCTTCATGAAGGGCATAGACCTGGACCAGGCTCTCTGCTTCTTCGGAAACATCCAGCACCGTCTATGTGCCAGGCCCGATTGGCATGGGATATAGAAAAACAAAATGAGCGACTTTGGTGCTTTCATGAACCTCATATACTTCCCTGGGTTTCTGTTTTATTTACACACTGATGATTAGCTCTGAAGGCCACTTAAACTCTCCTCCACGGTTTTCTGTGGTGCGCTCTCAGACGTCACATGAGCATGCAGTGCTTCCAGAGCTGTGGATGCCCGCAGGCTCGGGGTGGGCTCCTGCTGCCTCTGCCCGCTGCTCAGAAGGCGTCTGCCGTCTTTGCCGCGCAGCTCACATTGTACTGGGGAGAGAGATGACATGGCGTCTCCAGGGGGAACGTCAGGGTGTGAGCTTGTGAGCCAGAGACAGCTGGGGGGAGTTCCGGGGAGCCACACACAACAGAGACTGCCACGTTTGGTGCCTTTGGAAGCAGGGGTCCCTGGAGGGAGCTAAGGAGTGCGGGAGGCGGGAAGTAGGCCGAAGGTGGGCGACTGGCACAGAGCAGGGTCGAATTTGCGAGGCCTGGCCCGTGGTGCTCCCTAGAGCCCCTGCTCGCCCTCTGTGGGACAGGCTGGCTCGGACAGGCTGTGCCAGGCTGCTCTGACTGATCACTCTACTTGTCAAGCAGGGAGATTGACCTTGTTGCAGATCAAGTGACAAGTGGCAGTGACCCGAGCTTGGGTGTGGGTGGTATGGAGGGTTGACACGGGTGTTCGGTTCCTAGAAGAGGAGGGTGGCAGCACCAAGGGCTCCTTGAGCCTCGGCCTCGAGATAGCACCGTGATTTTCCGATCCCAGGAAACTGCAGGTGTCGGGCTGCCGGCAAGACACACCCAGAGTCCCTGTAGATCCTCTATGGAGAAATGTCCAGTGGCCGCCCGAAAGGTAGCAAGTAGGTCAGGGGTGCTGCCAGCGGGAAACTGAGGTTGGTGCCGTGAACAGGAAGCAGCCATCACCAGGCTGGACAAGCCCTTTGCCGCCCACTCCACTGGGTCCTCGTGGAAGGAAAGGGGGGCCTTGGACTACCGCCCTCCGGGCTTGAACTTGGACTGTCACTCAGCAGCTGTCAGGTGTCATTGGCACCATGAGTGACTTCTGGGTCCGGGCAGCTCCTTCAGAGCCAGGGCTATTGATGCCCGTAGGCTCAGGGTGGGCTCCTACCGCCTCTGCCCGCCGTCCCTCAGAAGGGAAGCTGTGCCGAAATGGGGGGTAAGGGGGGCAGTGAGGTGCCCCCCACGGGGCCTGGCCCTGACACTGTGCTTCTCCTCCAGGATCTCACAGTCCCCGAGTCCAGCACTGTGAAGGGCATGATGGCCGGCTCCATGGCCGCCTTCCAGTGGCGGCCGACCGGGAGCGAGGTAAGGGCTGCCCTCCCGGCCGCCAGCGGGGATGTTCTTTGCTAGTTCATTTGCACGGCAGGATGGCGATGAGTGGGTGGGATGGTGTCCGCCCGAGTGCGCACTCCTTCTACCAGGGCCCCTGCTCGGCCTGGCCCCCAGCGGGAACGTGAGCTCTGCCCTACGTGGCCCCTGACTCCTCACGCTGCCCTGCCTGGCCCCGCGCTGCGGCGGAAAGGCCTCCAGATCCTGCATCACCACCGCTGGCGAGCCTCACCTGCCTGAACGACCCGACCCTGCAGGAAAGACCTAGGAGCTAGGCTCTCCAGAGTGACTGGCCGCTGCTGGACTGTAAAAAAGCACAGTGGCCAGAGACGTGGCCCAAGCGGGCCCAGGATTCACCCCCACACTGTACGGCCCCAAAAACAAAAGGTGGAAACATGGGTCTGCTTCAGTGTTTCCCCACGGCGGGGATGGGAGCATTTGTACCAGTTACTCTCCCCTGGAGCCAGCTGTCCCCTGGTAGGCACAGGATTGTGCACCAACGCCCTCGCCCGTGGTGGGGAGAGCCCTGAGCGTGGGACGGCTCGCAGAGAGCTCAGGCCAGCAGGCCAGGCCCCGGCTGCCCCTGAAGGAAGGTGACTGGTTTCTGCACGGCCTTCTGCTTTCAGCCTGTCAAAGATGCCGACCCACATTTTCATCACTTCCTGCTCAGCCAGACAGAGAAGGTGAGTGCTGGTTTGCGGTGCTTGATCTTTGGCCGGGGACTGGCCAAAGGGGCGAGTGCTGCTTCCTTAGGACTCCCCTATCCCCAAATCGATCTGGAATGTTGGCTGCTACCTTTCCATTACCCAGCTCACCTGGACAAGGTGGACCACTTTCAGGGTGGCCGGGGACTGCCCAGCACGGCTAGTTCAGAAGTCTCCTGGGGACCTGTCCATGATCAAACATATTTCAGCTTCAAATTCAGCCCTTTGTAGAGTTGGACTTTTGTGGCAGCCTCCAGCGTCTAGGGCAGGAACCAGCCCCTGCACGTCTTGCCACCCCGGAATCATCTCTGCTATGCTGCCGGGGATTCTTCTCAGACCTGGGGCCAACGCGTTTCCGGAGCCTTCGGGATTCCCATCTCTGGGGAGGCGCAGCCTTCCAGGACCTGCAGCTTGGATGTGGCTCGGTTCCGCCGACCGCCTGGAGTTCTGGGCACAAAATTCCTGTCTCTCACTATCGCTGTCCTCTTCAGCAAGAGCAGGACATGGAGAATTTTTTTGTGTGGAAAACCTAAAGGAAGTAGCATTAGTTCCCCGGTGGGCCATTTGGAGTTCACCGAACTGGGTACCAGCAAAATTTTCGGCGCTGGTTCTGCGGGAGGCCCGATCTTCTAGGTGGTTTCCAGGAGTGAGGGCCAGCCCTGGTTCTGTCGGTGCTTTCTGTATTTGGTTGAACCACTCTGAGTGGTTTTCCTGAAATAAATTCTGTTCTTTTTTTCTCTCTTCTAGCCAGCTGTCTGTTACCAGGCAATCACAAAGAAGTTGAAGATCTGTGAAGAGGTTCGTAGTTGCACCCCTCCCTTGGATCTGTCACCTAAGGCCTGGCTGCGGGTGGACTGCTCTTGAGGGTTTCTGCTCCTTTCCCTAGGAGACTGGGTCCACCTCCATCCAGGCAGCGGACAGCACAGCCGTGAACGGAAGCATCACGCCCACAGACAAAAAGTAGGTCCTGGGGCCTCAGCGATAGTACAGCAGCGAGGGCGTTTGCCTTGCACGCGGCCAACCTGGGTTCGATCGCCAGCATCCCATATCGTCCCCTGAGCACCGCCAGTTGTAATTCCTGAGTGCAGAGCCAAGAGTAATCCCTGAGCATTGCCGGGTGTGACCCAAAAAGGAAAGAAAAAAAAAAGTAGGTCCTTCTGTGAAAGCTTCCTGTGATGCTGAGCTTAGGGCTGTGAGCATCCCCGGAGGTTCCTGGTTTGCCTCAGGATGCTGCTCACTGAGCACTGTTTGGCCCTTCCCCAGAGTTTCTCGGTGGGTCTGAGAAGGACCTTGAGATCTGTGGATGAGTTTCCAGGTGTGCTGCTCTTAGACAGTCATGTGACCAGCGGCTTAGCCAATCAAGACAGACACTGAGCGTTGACTCGGAATAGAGCCTGTGGGTCCTTCCGTTCATCAGCTTGCTGCGCCCACACTTGCCCGGGCTGACAGACGCCATTGCTGAAAGGGTCTCTTCATCCCAGGCAAGGATCCTGCTTCTGAATGGATGAGCCACGCCTCCGTTTTCGTAGTCTTCAACTGAAGGCAGTTCTGCTTCTGCTTTATTGTATGTTTTGTATTGGAGCTGCCAATTTGGACTTCATGTTCCCAGTTACTTTATCTGAGTTCCTTTCATAGAGTGGAGGCGATGGGTTACATCCTACTAAAAGGGAAGATGGGTGTCAACCATTAATTAGCAAGGACTGTGTTGAGTTTTGCCAGGGATCGGTCTAGGTTGGCCAGATGCAAGACAAATGCCCTCCCCACTGTCCTGGCGCTCCAGCCCCAGGGCTGTGTTGGTTTTAGAACAAGGGACTTGGCTGGAGGCCGAGCTGGGCTCTGTGCTCTCCCGTGAGCCTCCCTGTAGCTCAGCCCATGTCCATATGAAGGAGCGGGAAGCCGCGCGAGATGCAGCAGCTCAGCAGTGCTCCTCCCAGCCTGGTTGGGACGCCAAGACGGACTGTTGTCAGGTCACAGAGCCAGAAACTTCACCCCGATCTGCTGGGTCCAAGAACACCACGTGAAAACAAGAGCAGCCAAGGCATGATGAGAATCGGAGGCAAAGCTTGTATTCACGCATTCACCAAGAAAGGACTTCATTAGCCTTTCAGGCTCTGTCCCTGAGAGCTCATGGTGCCGTCTGGTGGGGACAGTGCTGTCCTCCCATTTCCAACAGCTGAGAAGAGACTGTCTGCAGAGGACGGAGACGCAAGGGACTGAAGGACACAGGCGTCGGTGGAGATGCTCCCTCTGCACCACGGTGAAGAGAAAATTGAGCTGAGAACCGAGAGGATGTAATGAGAACGAGAACTGACATTGTAGTGGACATTCCGATCTGCTCTCATACTGGCCCCAGGGCACATGGCCAGGGTCCACATTGACTAGGTCATCGTGTCGATCCGCACCAAGCTGCAGCACTGGGAGCATGTGGTTGAGGCTCTGCGTCGCACCAGGGCCGGCTTTCCCAGCCGCCAGGCGCTCCCCATCTCCACGCTGAACGGGAAGAGTGGGAAGAGCTCATCCCACCTGGCTGTGGGGGCAGGCGCAGCTCTCTCTGGACGCAGGCAGCCCCTGTGCGCGGAGAGCCTCAGAGCTGCCTGCCTCACCTAGCCCTGTCCCGCCTCACCACAAGGAATCCTGCTTCTTGACCAAAGAAAGAATTGAAGGAACATACTCTAGCCATGTCACGTACCAAGCGAAGATAAATAAGTCCGGGTACTCAGAAAAGACATTTATTCAAGATCAGACCATCTGGGGCCGAAGCGGTCGTACAGCGGGGAAGGCATTTGCTTGGCACGTGGCTGACCCGAGTTTGATCCGTGGCATTGTAAATGGTCCCCCGAGCACCGCCAGGAGTAATTCCTGAGTGCAGAGCCAGGAGGAACCCCTGAGCATCGCCGGGTGTGACCCCCAAAGCAAAAAAATAAAAGATCAAATCGTCTGTAAAAGCTTGTAGAAACTTCAGTGATTAATAATAGTCCCTGAGCAGGAAGGAGTGACTCTGGGAAGTGGTGAATAGCAGAACAGCCAGGGGTCTCCGGACAGTAGCAAGACTGTGATGCTGAAAAACAGGGGACAGCAGTGGGCTGAGGGTAGAGCCCTTGGACCATTCACTACAAACTCAGGCAGAGCTCTGGGGACAGGAAAGGCCCACTTAGGCCCACTTTGAGAGCTGGGCGTACCACAGGGCTGAGGACACATGCTGCTTCCCCCCGGCCACCAGGAAGGACCGGGGAAACTTCTGTCCACCACGGTCAGATTTTATTCTGTGGCAGGCAGGGCATTTGCCTTGCACGCAGCTGGCCCAGGTTCAGTCCCCAGCACCACACTTGGTCCCCTGGGCCCCTTCCAGAGCCAGGAGCAGAAATGCCCCCTTTAGTTAGGGGTGCTTGTGGGCAGTGGCACAACGAGAAGGTACCCTGATGCCCCCTGTCCTGCTGGGTCGGATGAACCTGAGGCTCGGGAGGAAGCCCCCCTGGCGCCTCGGACGCCTCTGCCGCTCAGCGCTGACTGCTGCCCCTCTCTTTCAGGATAGGGTTTTTGGGCCTTGGCCTCATGGGAAGTGGTATCGTCTCCAACTTGCTAAAAATGGGTCATACGGTGACTGTCTGGAACCGGACTGCAGAGAAAGTAAGTTTCACTGATGGTGCTTGCCAGGAGGGAGGGAGAAAAGGAGGGAGGGAGGGGAAGAGACAGCCCGGCCCGTGGGGGTGGGTGAGGAAGGGCAAGGGGTGGCCTTCCCAGTCTGCACTGGGCACTTGCAGGCAGTAGAGAGGAGCTCAGGCAGGTGGAGATGAAGAACGCCGGGTGATGCGACAAAGTGTTGGAAAACACCCGGGCGGGGGCAGAGGACCTGGCGCCTCACAGACATGGGTCCTGGCACTGCAAAGAAAAACATACCAGGGGTAGGAAATGAAGTGACCCAAAAGCCAAAACCAGAAAGATTGAAGATCAAAGTCCTTTAGGGGAGAAGTGACTCACATAACTCTAGGCTAGAGTGCATCTTGTATATTTTGTATGCCCAAGGCCCTAGGTTTGGTCCCTCACATTGGGGCGGGGGGGGGGGGGGGGCTGCAGGTATTTGAGCCACACCTGGCTCTAGGTTATTGTTGGTGGTGCCCTGAACGCAGCTGGTCCGGTCAGTCTCTGGCCCCACATGGTCTCCACGCTGCTGGCAGTGCCCAGCTCTGGCCCGGGTACAAGCTGCTCGATGTCCTCGGGCCATGTCAGTCAAGAGCACCTTGGAGCCTCCCCCTCCCCCCAACTCATCTCCTACCACTGGGAGTTGATCAGGTGTATTTATGGAAATGCATCTGTTGGGGTTTGGGTTTGGGGGTTGTTTTTTTTGTCGGTTTTGAGTTTGGGGGTTTTTATTGTTATTGTTTGGCTTTTGGCCACACCCAGTGATGCTCAGGGCTGCTTCTGACCCTGCGCTCAGCAGTTACTCCCAGCAGTGCTCAGGAGACCACCTGGGGTGCCGGGTATCGAACCCAGATGGCCACGTGCAAGGCAAGCGCCCTCCCCACTGTACTATCATCCGGCTCCACATTTGATGTTTTTAATATGTGTGTGTTGCTGGTGATCTGAGATCTCGTTGCTGGCACCATTACAGTGACAGCCTGCGGACAGGCTGTCGCCTGCATTTATAGAGCTTTAAGGCTGCATTTATAGAACTTTAAAGCTGTAGCCTGTTCTAGTTAAGGAGACCTAAATTCAGTACATAAGGGAGATAGAGTCATAGATTTCTTTTCTCGGAGCCAGTAATAGATAAAGGTGAAATCACACCAGCGATCAGGCTGCAGAGGAGCTGTCAAATAGGTTCAATTGTACTTTCATGGGATATCCTATCACCATCTATGAGAAATGAAACCAATGCGGGCCAGAGCCGTAGTAGCCCTCCAGCGGGAGGGCTCTAGCCTTGCCCGTGGCCGACCTGGGTTTGACCCCTGGCATCAGTGCCGAGCCAAGAGTAATCCCTGAGCATCGGGTGTGGCCCAGGGTTAAAAACAAATGAAACCAAAAAAGCGATACTGAAAATTGAAGGGACATGGAGAAAGGCAAGTCCACACAGAAAGCTGATGAGTAATCCTTTCGAGCTATTCCGATTTTGTTGCATTTGAAAAGGGAAATAACCAAGATATTAATGACATGGTTCGTTACGGGATGTCCTGGGTAACTTTCATTCTCTGAAAGGCTGGTGCCGGGAGACCCCAGAGACACCTCCTGGCCTCAGCTCGGTGGTTCGGCCCTCCGTGGCCGGGAGCTGCAGCCCCGTGTGACTGAGGGGGGCGCCTCTGTCACGGGGCTGCAAGGACACGATGGTCCTTACGGAGCCTCGTCTACCTTCCCAGGTGCCCGCTGCCCTCTGGAGTCTCTGGCCCCTGCCTTGGCAGTGAGGCCAGGAGGACTGGGCGCCGTGCCTCCGGCCTGCCTCTCTGTGTACTGCGTGCAGCTCACGTTAGGATCTGTGACTTTTGCAGTGTGATTTGTTCATCCAGGAGGGGGCCCGCCTAGGAAGAACCCCCGCTGAAGTCGTTTCGACTTGTGACATCACCTTTGCCTGCGTGTCGGATCCAAAGGCAGCCAAGGATGTAAGGATCCCCTCCCTCCCCTCAGCGCCTCAGGGTGTAGCCAGGAAAGCTGACTGGCCGCCTTCCCTCCCCTGCACACGGAGTGAGTCTGCATGGGGGCTGCATTTCCCATCGGGCCATTCCCACCGCAGGGCCTTGCGTAAGTCAGAACAGACCTTGTACTCGGGACGGGGCGAGCCCCTGCGTCCCCCCAATCTGCAGAAGTGACTTCCCAAGGCTCGTGTATCGCTGAATCGAAGGCTTCAGACTCAGTGCGCCTTTGCCCCCGTTCCAGGGCCCTGCCCAGCTGTCACTGTATTTGTAACATTTAGAAAATTTTCTTGTATGCTTGGATTACTTAGCCTAACATGTAGCTCCTAAAATGGCCCCCGAGGCTGGAGTGATAGCACAGTGGGTAGGGCGTTTGCCTTGCACGTGACCGACCCAGGTTCAATTCCCAGCATCCCATATGGTTCCCCAAGCACGGCCAGGAGTGATTCCTGAGTGCAGAGCCAGGAGGGACCCCTGAGCATCGCTGGGTGTGACCCCAAAAGCAAAAAAAAAAAAACGTTAAAAAGGCCCCAGAGTAAACACTGAGCTTCCATCTTTCATTTATTTTATTCCGTTTTTGGGGCCCCCGACAGTGCTGGGGGTCCCTCCCGGCGGCTCCTGACCGCAAAGCCTGTGCACCAGCTCTCTGAGCATCTCCCAGTCCCCTGGAGTTCCAGCTCCGGCGGGTGGGTGTGAGGCACGGGGGCTTCCAACTCTGCATGTAGTTGCCCTGGCATTGTTTGGGACCATGTATGGTGTGGGGTGTGAGCTGGGGTCCCGCACGCAGAGCCTGCAACAACTCCCTGCCTCCGGGTTCAATTATCCCATACGGTCCCCCCCAGCACTGCCAGGAGTGACCCCTGAGCATCGCTGGGTGTGGCCCCCAGACCCGTATTCTGTCTAGTTGGGGCGGGGGTAAATGGAGTCTTTTGCAGGTGTGGCTCTCCCCTTGCCCCTGGTGGTCCCTGGTTGGGAGGAGCCAAAGCAGCGGGCTGGCGGCTCCAGGCCCTGCAGCGTGGCAGGAACCTGGGCTGTTGCTTCTCCCTGTGTCTCCACAGCTGGTGCTGGGCCCCAGCGGCGTGCTGCAGGGGATCCGTCCCGGGAAGTGCTACGTGGACATGTCTACAGTGGACGCGGACACAGTCACCGAGCTAGCCCAGGTAGTCGCCTCGTTGGGGCTGGCCCTCCGGCGTCGGATGGGTTGGGGCAGAAGCCCCAGCTGCACCCCGAGTGTAGGCAGCTTGGCCGCTGGCGGTGGGGGCCGGTCTCCTCTCCACGCAGCTGCCTGCAGGGCTCACATGGCACCTCTGCTCGGGCTGGAGGGACGTGCCCTCGGCCCGGCCGTTGGGTCTGAGGCCTTGGGTCTTTGCAAGAGGTTCGGGCTGAAAGGAGCCGAGAAGCCCAAGTCCGTCTGCAACGCCTGGCACAGTCTTGTCTGTGAGCCTCACAGCCCTGGTGCAGCTTCCCTACGACAAGGACACCCCGTCCCACCCGAGGCCCTCCAGCAGCTGTGCCCTCTCTTTGCAGGTGATCGTGTCCAGGGGGGGCCGCTTTCTAGAAGCCCCCGTCTCCGGGAACCAGCAGCTGTCTAACGACGGGATGCTGGTGATCTTGGCAGCTGGGGACAGGGGCTTGTATGAGGACTGCAGCAGCTGCTTCCAGGCCATGGGGAAGACCTCCTTCTTCCTAGGTACGCCTGCCCGCGGCGGGGGCCGCAGCCTCTGCCCGCAGCTCCCGGAAAGGAGGAGCCCGAGGGTCAGAGCCAGCTCGGGAGGGGGCAGATGAATGGGGCTGGCGCGAGGTCTAGAGGTGGGTGTGAGCAGGGCGAGAGGGGCAGTCAGCGCCTGCCTGCCGGTCGCCGGGAGAGTGACCACGACTCTTTGCCCGGGCAGGTGAGGTTGGCAACGCGGCCAAGATGATGTTGATCGTGAACATGGTGCAGGGGAGCTTCATGGCCACCATTGCTGAGGGGCTGACCCTGGCCCAGGTGACAGGCCAGTCCCAGCAGACACTCTTGGACATCCTCAATCAGGGACAGTTGGCCAGCATCTTCCTGGACCAGAAGTGCCAAAGTAGGTTTGCCGTGTCGCGTGTCTTGCATTCACTCCACTTTTGATGAGAGCTGGGGATGGGCCAGACAGGGCTGCAGAACAGCCTGTCACGCGCTCCTTCCCCCAGTCAGGGGGTCCTGAGACATACCTGAGGGTTGAGGAACAGCACGGAGCCTGGGTGTCTAAGGCGGGAAGTGCTTGTGCTCAGCGACGGGACTGCAGGCGGTTTCCGTTCTTCTGATGGCAGCTTCCCTCCTCAGATATCCTGCAAGGAAACTTCAAGCCCGATTTCTACCTGAAGTACATCCAGAAGGATCTCCGGCTGGCCATCGCACTGGGCGACGCAGTCAACCACCCCACACCCATGGCAGCTGCAGCCAACGAGGTGACCGCAGGCACTGCCCCTCTGCCTCTCCCCTGCCCCAATCCCTGGCTGGGCCTTTCCTGGCAGGCCCTCCCAGAACCTGCCGTCCTCTCTGCTATTGTCTTTTGCCCATGCATTACTTCAGTTTTTGCAGTGCTTGGGTTCTGGATATTCGATTTTCCACATTTCTTTGGTATCAGTATTGCTCTAGGCCCTTAACTTCTCGCCTGCTCTGAGTTCCTTTGTCCTCTTCCCACGTAACACCTGATGCATTGCCATTCCCTCCTTCGTGCTTCATGGCAGGACTTCTTACCCTGTGCCCTCCTGGCGTTTCGTGGAGGCCCCCGTGCCTTGCAGGACAGTTAGCAGAATCCTGTCCTCTGCCCACAGGTGCCCGCAGCCCCCTCAATTGATAGGAAATGTCTCCGGGCATTCCCGAGTCCCCAGGGCTGAGCCCCTGGCTTTCGCGTGGCAGATGTCCCTGCTGCATCTGCCGTGGACAGTGTGGGAATGTTTTGCTCTAAGGGGTCATGTGATGTAAAGAAATTCAGAGGAAATTGCTCAGCTGCCGTTCGCCTTATCCGCTCCTTCCTGGGCTACCGGGTCTCTCCAGGCTCCTTTCAGCGGAGTAACTTGGCTGCCATTTGCTGTCACACGGGTCCGTCGTGACCATCCGTTTCCCTTGATCTCATTACTTGGCATTCTTGCTGACGGACATTCTCCCCCATCCTGATGGGTCAGGCCACTGCCCTGGGGCTCAGACTGGGCCTTTGAACCTTCCTCTTGCCTACCCAGGCCCGGGCGCACAGTGGAGGTGCTGGGGTTGTGTCTCCCCTGTGGAACCCAGGCGAACTGGGAGGAGGACTCTGAAAAGCCTCAAGGGTTGGGTTGGCTGCGACTCCTCCCAGCTTGGTGCTGGCGCCATCCCGGCAGCTCTCGGGCGCTACGCCTGAACATTTAACCCACTGCCCATCAGAGACGAGACTCCTGCGAGAGAGAAGAGCAGGGAGCTCTGGCTTCGGGAATGCCTTGAGTAGAAGCCCACAGGCAGCGGGGGCGGTGTCCAGGAGAAGCACGGTCATCACACTCAGCACTGGGCCTTGGTGCGGTCCCCTTTAGTCCCCCCCGTCACCCCCCAGGGCAGGAAGCAGCCACCCCAGGGCTCTGAGATGTAAATTTAAGAGGTGGGGAGAGGCGTGCAGCAGGAAGGCGCTTGCCAAGCAGCATCCCACCCCAGTTCAGTCCCCAGTCCCCGGTGTGGTCCCTCAAGCCCCGAACACACTGGCTGGATTCTGTTCGGTGTGGACCATCCGGGCACGCAGGATTCACAGCCCGGACTCTGCACGCCCCTGCTTCCCACAGGCAGAGACCTGCCTCCCAGTCGCGGCGGTGGCAGCTGTGTCAAAAACTGAGCCTTTATCTGTCCTCTTGTTCCAGGTGTACAAAAGAGCCAAGGCCCTGGACCAGTCGGACAATGACATGTCCGCCGTGTACCGAGCCTATATACACTAAGCCGCCTGCCCCGCCCTGTCTTCCCTCCGACCCCTCCTCCCGGCGTGGGGCTGGGGTCCCGGGACTCAACTCTGGACCAGACCACCTGTCTCCATCTTTTATACAGACTGAGACTTGTCATCAGCACAGCACACGGCATCGTTCCTCCCCCAGAGGGCTGGGGGCGGGGGAAACGCCCGAGCTCACATCGCCCCGGACTCGGCGGCTGTGTTCTCTCTCTCTCTCTCTCTCACACACACACACACACGCCCCTCACACACTGGCTCGAGCCCGGGACGGAAGCTCCCGGGAACTGCTGCCTCTTGGTTCCTTTTCCTCCTTCCCAGCTTGTCATATCTCAGACCTTGCAGTTGCAGGAAGTCGATTGTCAGTGAGAGTGCAGCCTCCCCAGTGCTTCCCTCGGAGCCAAGTGGCTGTGGTCATGTCCACGTTCTCCACTGGATCCCCATGGAGAGGCCTGGGCCATGCTGAGCCAGCACAGACTCTTAAAAGTGTGGGGCAGCCACCCTCAGGTGATCGGCTGACCAGTGAGGATTGTCACGTGAAGCTCTCGATGTGCAGCCAAGTCCCTAACCACCTTTGAGAACCAAGGAGAGAGTGGCCGTGTCGGGGGCAGGAGCGCCATGGACGCTGGTGTGGGCCAGCCCAAGAGCCATCTGCGGAGCCCTGGGCCACGGGGCACTCCCCTGCCTCACCAAGCTTTGCATTCCAGCTCTCAGGAAGGGGTCCTGAGGGCCAGCAGTGAGGTGTGAGGGGAAGGAGCCCCACTCTGCACCTGGCCCCTGGTAGCAGCCCTACACCGACCCCTGCATGCCCCACACCCCCTCCTCTCCTGGAGACAGTATTTCTGTGTGGCTGGCCTTGTGGCCGAGACCCGCCTGACCAGCAGTGACCATTTCTCAGGCTTGCCTCAGAAAATGTTCGACTTCTCAGCCCACAGCTTGGTCCTGGGTCCCTCTTGGGCCTTGGCTTCTGTGGGGAGGGAAGGAGAGCTGTGCCTGAGGGGTGCCCAGCCACGGGGGAGGTGGGGGGTGAGCAGCAGCAGAGGCCCTTGCCGTCCTCCTTGGCTGGGGGTCCCGGAAGGCCACCCAAAGGATGCAGTGCCCTGCCGCGTTGTCCGCTACAGGGCAGACAGTCCAGGTCGGTGGGGAGAGGAGTACAAGACCCCTGCTGATGGAGAGGCCTCTCCTCACAGCTGGGCCCTTGTCGCTGATCAGAGCCCAGCTTAGGGAGTCTCAGAAGGGGTGGGGAGGGATGCCCGTGGGGGTTGGGCACAGTTCAGTTCACTGGGAGTTTGAGTTCTTTCTGTCTGAACACGGAGCCTGTTCTAGTCCTGGCTGGACACTGGGGGTGGGGGGTGGGGAAGACGCTGTAATGAAACTGGTTAGTTAATGTTGTCTTAATATTGTTGACAATTCTGTAAAGTTCCTTTTTATGAATATTTCTGTTTAAGCTATTTCACCTCTATTTTGAAACCCTTCCCTTTTAAGGAGAAAATGTGACACTTGTGAAAAAGCTTGTAAGAAAGCCCCTTGTCCACCATCCCTTTTTTTTTTCCTTTAAACCTTTAAATGACAAATCTTCTAGTAATTAAGGTTGTGAATTTTTATTTTTGCTTTGTTTTTAATGAACATTTGTCTTTCGGAATAGGATTGTGTGATAATGTTTAAAAGGCAAAAAAAAAAACGAAACATGATTTTGTGCAATTAACAAGCTACTGCAAGCAAAATAAACCGTTTCTTGGTAACACAACTGCGACTACTCGCCTCTGCGGTTGTCTGCCGCCTGGGGTCTGGGGGGTTGGGGGTCTCGACGCGTGAGCCGGAGTGGCCAATGGCGAGGGCGAGCGGGCGCAGGCGGCCCCGACGGCCAATCGGAGTGTGAAGGCGGGGCGGGCGCCCAATCGGGGCCTGGGGGCGGGGCTCGCGCGGGGCGGGGCGGTGAGCGTCGGCCAATCGCCGGCTCCGCGCTGGCCCGGGGCGGGGCGAGCGGGCGCGCGGCCAATCTGCTGTCGCGGGGCGGGGCCCCGGGGCCGGGCTGGATCCGCTCCGCCAATCGGCGGGGCTCTGGCCCCACGGTGCGCGCGGGCCGCGGGAGGTCGTCCTGCGGGTGACAGTCGCGGAGCTGCGAGCGACGGCCATGGCGGCGGCGATGGCAGCGACCACGGCGGAGCGGGCGGTGCTGGTGAGCGGCGCGGGCGGCCGGGCGGGCGGGCGCGCGGGCGGGCGCGCGGCCGAGAGGTGACCGCGGCGGCTGTCCCCGCAGGAGGAGGAGTTCCGCTGGCTGCTGCACGACGAGGTGCACGCCGTGCTCCGGCAGCTGCAAGACATCCTCAAGGTAGCGGGGCCCGGGCCGCCTGCCTTCTCGCGCGGAGGTGGAGAGGGGCCGCCTCGGAGGGCGGCCGTGAGGAGCAGGAGCGCCCAGCCACGGCCTGGCCGGCCCCTGGGGTCCGGGATCCAGTGCCGGGCGGGGAGGGCGTCTCTGCTGCGAGTGCCCGGATCGGGGGCATGGCCGCGGGCACGACCAGGAGCAGGTGGACGCAGCAGCAGCCCTTGGGGATGCGGGAGCCTCAAAGGCCCCCGGGAGCCTGGGCGGGTGGGTTGTCGAGGCCATCGGAGCCTGCCTGGTGATGGGCTCCTAGCAGGGCCACTAAGGCCCACCGCGGCCGTTGCCCGCCTCCTCCTCCCGCCCGCAGGAGGCGTCGATCCGCTTCACCTTCCCAGGCACAGGTGCCGAGGGGCCCGCCAAGCAGGAGAACTTCATCCTGGGCAGCTCGGGGTGAGCCTGGGCTGCGCGGGTATCGGGGCAGGGATCTCCTTGGGAGGAGGGCAGGGATCTCCTTGGGAGGAGGGATGTCAGGGACGCCCTCTCCAGAGAGAGGCACAGCTGGCCCGTGCGGAGAGTTCAAAGGAGCAGGGTGGGAAACCGGGGTTGTACCAATTCAGGGCTGGGCTGGGGCTGCGGTAACCATTCTGACCCCCACGTGTTACAGCACAGACCAGGTGAAGGGCGTGCTGACTCTGCAAGGGGATGCGCTGAGCCAGGCGGTGAGTCCTGGGCCCCTGCTGAAGGAGCCAGCAGCAACAGCTGTGTGACACAGGGCAGGGCCCTTGGCCTCTCTGGGCTTGGCCCTTGTCGGTGAACTGCCAGCATCCCCCTTCTCAGGGCACCGGTGCTCCATTTCTGGGGAGATGGGCAGGAGCGGGTGCTTCACACGGGGCCGGTGACACGTGGACCTCCCTGACACGAGACTGGTCCTGACCAGAGCCGAATCATCCACGCAGCATAGTGAGGGGGACGCAGCCGGTTCCCCTTTCTCGGGCACTTTCCCCTTTCTTTGTGGCTCTCGCCGGACTTCCTGCTCCTGAGCTGCCCGTTCATGGGCGATTGCCCCAGGGTGTGGCTGCCTAAAGCAGGAGGAGGTCCCTGGGTCCCGGTGACCCCAGCTCCCCCACCCGCCCGGCAGGATGTGAACCTTAAGATGCCCCGGAATAACCAGCTGCTGCACTTTGCTTTCCGGGAGGACAAGCAGTGGAAGCTGCAGCAGGTAACCGGCCCCAGGGCCTCGGGCGAGGCCTCAGGGGATCCTCAGGGCAGCGAGCCTGGGAGGGAGACTGTTTCCCTGCCCGCATGCAGGGGATCCTGGGCACAGCTAGAGGCAGCAGAGAACTTGTCCCCAGGGCCCCCCTGTGCCTGGCCCTCCCTGCCCAGAGCCTCCCGGGGAGTTCCCAAGGCTCTCGGGGACCAGCGATGCTCCCGCCCTCACTTGCCACGGAGCCCCACCCCCACCCGCTGGTTCCCCAGCCAAGCTTCGCCGGCTCTCCGCTCAGGCTGGAGCCAGTGACCCCCAGCCCAAGAGCCGCCCCTCCCTGCAGGACGAAACCCCCCACCGGGACGGGCCCTGTACTGGAGCCGGGCGTGACATGCACAGGGCCACTGTTTTCAGATCCAGGATGCCCGGAATCACGTGAGCCAAGCCATGTACCTCCTAAGCAGCCGGGAGGAGAGCTACCAGTTCCGCACTGGAGCCGAGGTCCTCAAGGTGAGCAGCCTGAGTCTGGGCGGGACCCCTGCCCCCGTGGCCTCAGGCTCTGCTGAGGTGACCATTCACCTCTCACCTTCTACACGCCCCCAACCACTGACTCCGCCCAGCCTGGAAAAATCCCAGCGGGTCTCCAGGGCCTGCCCCAGGCACTTGTCCACCCTAGCTCTCATTCCGCACCACCCGGCCCAGCTGCAGTGGCTCGTGCAGGTGAGGGGCAGAAGGAAAAGCCCTCGGGCGATGTGAGCAGCTGGTGGGGGTCCCAGGCCGGCAAGCAATTTGTTTTCCCAGTTTACAAGGGAATTCGGTGGGGCTGGGCCAGCTCTGCGCTCAGGCTTCAGCTCCACCAGGGCCGCTGTGTGTTCTCCGGAGCTTCACCTGCCCTCTCTGATCTCTAGCGCCCCAGTCGAAAACTTGGAACCAGGAGAGCTCAGGTTCCCTCCTAGAACTGAACACCACGCAAAGGGAAGGGAGTGGACATCACGCCACCACCCCCCACCATTCCCCCAGCGCCTCAGCCCCCCTCCCTTCCCTGGGAGCCAGGCCATTTCACTTCCACTGGGGCTCCGGAGAGTTTAGGCAGGGCTATGTTCTCCTGGTGAGGGAAATGACCGCTTTCTAGATGGTTCCAGCACTCACTAGCAGCACCACGATACTCCTTGGTTTTCCCCACCTCTGAGCAGGAACTGTTGCCAAAATTCAGTCACCCTGTGGCCTCTTCCGGGAAGCCCTCAGCGGCCCCCTGTCCCAAGCTGGACTCGGGGCCCTGCTAAGCGCCTTCACTGCCTGCACCCCCGCGGGCAAAGCCCTCTGGCCGCGGACCCTGTGTGCCGCTGGGCCTGGAGCCACACTGTCCTCCTGAGTGCTCCCCTGCCCCTTCAGGCTGGAACCATAATGTTCTCCACAGCCTGCAGAGGGTGCAGGGGTGGGGCTGGAGTCATAGTACAGCGGGGAGGACATTTGCCTTGCACGCGGCCGACCCGGGTTTGATTCCCAACATCCCATATGGTCTCCGGAGCACCGCCAGGAGCGACCCCCGTGCATCGCCGGGAGTGACCCAACAAGAAAAAAAAAAAGAGGGTGCAGGGGAGACCCTGACCAGAAGAGGGCAGGAGTGGGAGCGGCCTGAGCTTTGAAGCTGGCGGTGGGGGAGTGGGGGAGACACGCCCACCCGCTGCCCGGCAGCAACGATGACGCCCCTTCCCGCAGCTGATGGACGCGGTGATGCTGCAGCTGAGCCGGGCCCGCAACCGCCTCACCACCCCGGCCACCCTCACCCTGCCTGAGATTGCCGCCAGCGGCCTCACGGTCAGTGCCCAGGGTCACCGCTCTGTGTCCGCGGGGTCCGTGCACACTTTCTACAACGGGGTTCACGGCTTGCATCCTGCACCCCCCAAATTTGTCAGTGGTTCTTGTGCCTGCGGGGGCGCCGGGGGGCGGGTCCCCGACTCTGGCCAGGCCCTCATCCTCGCCCCCGCCGACCACGCAGCGGATGTTCGCGCCCGCCCTGCCCGCCGACCTGCTGGTCAACGTGTACATCAACCTCAACAAGCTCTGCCTCACCGTGTACCAGCTGCAGGCGCTGCAGCCGAACTCCACCAAGGTGGGTGCGGCCCGGCCCTCTAGGCGCGACCACGCCCCACGCCCCGACCTGCCCTGGCATTGGCCCCGCTGCGGCAGGCCCCGCCCCCGCTGGCTGGCCCCGCCCCGGGCTGACCCCGCCCACCGTGTGCTGCCTCCTAGAACTTCCGGCCGGCGGGAGGCGCTGTGCTGCACAGCCCCGGGGCCATGTTGTAAGTACCACCTCCCCGAGCCCCCTCGGCGCCCCCCTCCTCCGGGAGGTCTTCAGGAGCCCCCTGCCCTCCCGCAGCGAGTGGGGACCCCAGCGCCTGGAAGTGAGCCACGTGCACAAGGTGGAATGCGTGGTCCCGTGGCTCAACGACGCCCTGGTCTTCTTCACCGTCTCCCTGCAGCTGTGCCAGCAGCTCAAGGACAAGGTGGGCGCGTGCTCGCGGGCCGTGGGGAGCTCCCCGGGGCCCCTGCCACGCCTCCCGGGTGACCCCCGCCCCCCCACGCCCCAGATCTCTGTCTTCTCCAGCTACTGGAGCTACCGGCCCTTCTGAGCGGACACCCCAGGAGCAGAGCCCACCCCCCGGAAGCAGCGCCCACCCACCCCTCGCCCCTGGGGCTGGCACTGGGCACTATTGGTTTCCCTTTTTTGTTTTTTGTTGGGGGGGGATACCCGGCGGCGCTCAGGGGCTACACAAGGGTTGCTCCTGGGCGTGTGGGAGGGAACTGGCATGAACCCCGTATTTATTTCCCTCTTCCTCCCCTCCTGCTGGCTCCTCCCCGCGGGGGGCTGACCTGAAGGGCCCTGTGGACAACGGACCATGGACCCGGTTTGCGATTTCTTTGGGACTGGGGGGTCAGGAAGGTGGGGCCCAGGGAGGCCCACATTCCAAACCCTCCCTTCCACCCGGGACCTTTGTCCTCAGGGTGCAGCTGGGTCCGGGGTGCCCCTTCCTCCCCACACACCCGGGATGTGGCAGGGCCCCTTGACAGCTCTGCCACTGGATGGGGTGGTGGGTGGTGCCCCGAGCTGTGAGCTGTGGGCGCGTGGCGAGGGACAGCTACCCCGCCCTCCCTGCATTCCTCCAGGAAATAAAGCTCCCCAACCAGCCTGGAGCCCCTTGTCTGTCTGGAGAGGGTCCTCACAGCTTCCCCTCCCGCACACAGACTGGGGGTCCACCAGGAGTCAGCCAGGGCTCTCCCCCCACGCGCACACGTGCAGAGACACACAGCAGACAGGCTCAGAGCAGGCCAGCGTTGTTGATGGTTTCTGCAGCCCGCAGGACCAGGCAGGGGTGCCGAGGGGCCGGGGCTGGGCCAGGCTAAGGCTCCATGGCCAGGTTGTCCACGCCCCACTGTTTCTTCTGCAAGAGAAGTGGGGCAGGGCCAGGTGGGCATGAGCCTCGCCTTCTGCCCTTGGGCCGCCCCCGCCGCGCCTGGGCTCACCTGCTGCGGTCTGGACTGAGGGGGCCGGCGGCGGCAGCAGCAGCAGCAGCAGCAGCAACAGCGGATCAGAACCAGCAGCAGCAGAAACAGCACCGTACCTGGAGGGCACAGTTCATGCGGGGGTGCCCTGGGGGCAGGGCGGGGCTCGGGGGCATCGGGACGTGGCCCCAGCAGAAGCACACTCACAGGTGAAGATGAGGAAAATGGCAAAGGCCGCCTTGTCCCAGGACGTCTGAAACAACTCCTTGGTCTTCAGCGTCGCCAGCATGTCATGGGCCAGGGCCTCCATGTCCCCCATCTCGGCCGGCGTGTGTGAGGGGAATCACCTGCCCCTGCCCCCAGGACACAGCTCAAGTCCCTTTTAGGTCTTCCCTGCCCACCAGGGCTTGGCCAGCCTCTTTCCCAGTCCCGGCAGCCCCCTCTCCTGCCCTCAGCTGCCACCCACCTGGCTCGGAGTACCCCAAGTTTCTGGGTCCCGGCCTCAGGAGCACGCGCTTCCTGCTTCCGGGTCCCTACCTCTGGGTACCTTGGCAGCCGGCCCAGAGGGCAGCAGGGAGGCCTCCGGAGGAGCAGGGAGCCTGCTGTGGGCAGGTGGCAGGCCTCCCTCTGTGCTCACAGGGACAGCGGGGCCAGGCTGAGGTGTATCCCCGCCAGCGCGGATGTGCCCCAGGCCCTCGGACAATTTGGGGTCCTGCTGTCGCACATTTCCTTCAAGGTGCCACTAGGATACCTCAGGGGTGCTGCCGAGGTGCCCCCTTCTCCCTCCCTCCCTCCCTGCAGCTCTGGTCCTGGTGCTTAGGACCCTGCACACACACACCAAGGCCACAGCGTGGACATGCCGCCCGAGACATGGGGTTTCCAGCAATTTTCTTACACCTGGGGGGTGGGGGTCTGTTCCTTCTAAAGTTTCCACAAGGAGTCCAGAGACCCCCTCATTCCTCCGCCCATTCCTGTGTCCCTGCTCTGACCCCCTCAGGCTTAGTCCCAAGGGGTACAGTGACCCAGAAGACTTCGGGGCACAGTTTCAACCCTCTGTGGCACCTCTGCTTTGACCTTGCTCACCAGGACTGGCCCCTGCAGGAGACTGTCCACATCAAAATCATTCATCAGGGGGGCTGGAGAGAGCACAGCGGGTAGGGCGTTTGCCTTGCACGCGGCCGACTCGGGTTCGATTCCCAGCATCCCATATGGTCTTCCAAGCACGGCCAGGAGTAATTCCTGAGTGCATGAACCAGGAGTAACCCCTGTGCATCGCTGGGTGTGACCCAAAAAAGCAAAAAAAAAAAAAAATCATTCATCAGAAGCTTGAAGAGATAGGACAGCAGGCCAGGCACTTGTGTTGCACCTGGGCTTGATCCCTGAGCCTGCCAGGAGTGACACCCAAGCACGGTCACGGTCACGGTCCTCCCATTGTTCGTCGATTTGCTCGAGCGGGCCCAGTAACGTCTCCATTGGAGACTTTGTTGTTACTGTGTTTGGCATATCGAATACGTCACGGGGAGCTTGCCAGGCTCTGCCGTACGGGCGAGATACTCTTGGTAGCTTGCCGGGCTCTCGGAGAGGGGCGGAGGAATCGAACTCAGGTCGGCCAAGCTGGCTGCGTGCAAGGCAAACGCCCTACCGCTGTGCTATCGCTCCAGCCGGACACCCAAGCACAGCTAGGATTAAGCCCTGAGCACCACTAGGTGTAGCACCCAAATGCAGCCCTCCCACCCCCTGCCAAAAAAAAAAAAAAGATTCACAAGGGCTGGGAATGTGGCCACAAGGGAGCATGTGCTTTGCATGCAAGCGCTGGCACTGCGTGGGCGTGGCAACAAGCAGAGTGGAGGGCCAGCACTCGCCTTGCATGCAGTAGGCCTCGGTTCGATCCCCGACACCGCGTACGATCCCCCAGGCCCCGCCAGGAATGATGGTCCCTGAGCACCGCCAAGTGTGACTCCAAAACCAAAAGGGAAAAAGAAGAAAAACATGGACCTTCCTCGCATCTGCGGAGCACCTGTGACAGGGACAGGCGCTCAAGTACAGGCTGCAGCATCTGCGTGGGGACATCTTTGGGGGCCAGCATCCACCCTGTCCTGGGATGCCTTCAGGAAGCACTCGCACTCGAAGATATTCCTGCCGTGGGTCAGGCCAGCTGAGAGCCCAGGGCAGAGCCCGCCTCTGCCAGGTTCCCTGTGGATGCCCCGGAGGGCAGGGTCCACCCGAACCCACTTTACCTCCCAAATGAAGGTTTGGTTCTTCTGGGGTTCGGAGGAGCCGGGAGACATACCTGGCAGTTCTCATGGGTCACTCCTGACAAGGCTCCAGTGTCATATGGTGTCATGCTTGGGATTGACCCAGGTCCGGCTGCATGCAAGGTGCACGTCCTGCCCAGTACTACCTCTCCGGCCCCTTTGTTTCTTGCCTAATTTGGGGGCCACAGTAGGTGGCACTCAGGCTACTCCCAGCTCTGTGCTTGGGCACCAGGATGGCAGTCCGGGCCCCTGCATGCAGAGCCATGCAGAGCCGGGCTCAGCTGCTCTCTGGACCCTGACCTCCCGGGCACACCTTCGCCTCAGCCTCCCACGTGGAGTCCCTGGCCAGGGTCCAGGTGACGGGGCCTCCAGGGTCCCGTCTGGAAGGGACCAGGCAGTTTCCCTGTCCCTGCCAGGCCCCTCAGATTCTTCAGTTAACTGCCGTCCTCCCCTCCCCCTCAGCACACCTGAGGGGTCAGAGCAGGCTGCCCCGCCGAGCTTCCACGGGACGCAGGGCCACCAGGTGCCACAGGAGACTGCCCCCATCTCGATGCGCCCGCAGCCAGCCCCACACTCTGCCCAGGCCAGTCGGGCCTCACCCAGCTGTTGGGAGTCAGAGTTAGGTGGAGGTGGGTGGGACGCTGGCACGGGCAAGGGGCAGAGCCCTAGGCCTGGCATGCCTCAGCGTGGGGTTCAGCTCCCAGATCCCTCTTAGCGCATCCCTGCTGGAGAGCTGGGGGGACAGCGAGGAGCCTGGGAGAGCTGGGCGTAGAGCAACATGGGTCAGGATTCAGGGCTGAGGACCTTGGTGACCCCCGTGCCCACCCGGATGGCAGGCATCACGTGTTGTCGGCGCCATGGAGGCCTGGAGATGCTCGCTGTCCCCCTGCCCCTCCTCCCGGCCCTCCAGCCCCGGCTCTCCACCCTGTGAGTTGCAGAGGGATGTGGGCATTGAGGCCGTGCTGGACCAACTGAAGATCAAGGCCATGAAAATGGGGTTCGAGTTCAACATCATGGTGGTGGGTGAGTGAGTGGTGGGCCCTGCCAGGCCTGCAAGCACATAGTGGGTGTAGGAGGAAGAGAGGCGACCCCAGCTCAGTTCCTGCGCTTGGCCTTTGACCCTTCAGTCGGATACTCGGGGCAATTCCCAACCCCATTATAGGCTGTCCAGACTTGGCTTATCTGAGGTCACTTTGGTGTTGGGGGTTTGGGTTTGTTTTGTTGTTGGTGGTGGTGGTGGTTGGTTTGGGGGCCACACCCCAAGATACTCAGGAGTTAGTCCTGACTCTGTGCTCAAGGGTCATTCCTGGCGGGCTTTGGGGACCGAAAGAGATGCCAAGAATCAAACCCGAGTCGGCCATGTGCAAGGCAAGCGCCCTCCCTGCTGTGCTCTCCAGCCTCAGGTTATTATATAGAATAACTCTGTCGATAGCACAGCGGTAGGGCGTTCGCCTTACAAGCGGCCAACATGGCCGACCCGAGTTCGATTCCTCCGCCCCTCTCCGCCCGGCAAGCTACCAAGAGTATTCGATATGCCAGACACAGTAACAACAAAGTCTCCAATGGAGACGTTACTGGGCCCGCTCGAGCAAATCGACGATCAACGGGAGGGCCTTTACCTTTAATAACTCTGTGGATTTACTAAACAGGCAAACAATATTAAAGTCAGCCAAGGCCATGACATATGCAACCCCAGGTTTGATACACACACACACACACCCCCCAGGCACACACCCCCTCTCCCCCCCGCCCCCGCAAGTATGGCCCAGTGGCCCCAGCACCTGGCCCAGCTGCCAAAGGCCGTGCTCAGCTGTGAGAAGAATAACAGGCTTAGGGCTTAGGGATGGCTCTGATGCCTGGGGCTCGGGCTGCATCAGAGTGCTACAGGGTATGCCCTGGGCAACACACACACACACACACACACACACACACACACACACACACACACCAGAAAAAGAGAAAGAAAAGGAATGACGCTGATACCCCATGCATGACATGGGTGAGCCCCGAAAACACGATCCGAACAGAGGGAGCCAGAAACAAAGGACTTGGGTGTCCTTGGAACGTCTGGAACAGAAAAACCAGACAGGAAGTGGCCTCGAGGCCTCCAGGCACACACACACGGCTTCTGGGTGATGCGTGTTTGGGGGCTGCACGCGCCATGACCATGAGCCTCAGACGGGCTGAGGTTGGACTTAGCAGGCCCTTGTCTACGGCCCAGGCTCAGCTTCCCCCTTCCCAGCCCTCCGCGGGGGCTGCTGTTGAGCTGGTGGGACGGCACTGGGCACTGTGTCCCACCGACACGCGCCATGGACTGCGAGGGCAAGGGGCACCTGGAGCCTGTACCTCACTGAACCAATCCTCGCCTCCCAAACCATTTTTATTTTCCTTTTTTTTTTTCTTTTTGGGTCACACCCAGCAATGCTAAGGGATTACTCCTGGCTCTGCACTCAAATTACTCCTGGTGGTGCTCAGGGAACATACGGGATGCCGAGGATTGAACTCGGGTCAGCTGCCTGCAAGGCAAACACCCTACCCTAGCAGCTCCGGCCTTTCCGGCCCCTTTTCCTTAAATTTTTTTTTTTTTTTTGCTTTTTGGGTCACACTGGCGATGCACAGGGGTTACTCCTGGCTCTGTACTCAGGAATTACTCCTGGCGGTGCTCGGGGGACCATATGGGATGCTGGGAATCGAACCCGGGTTGGCCGTGCAAGGCAAACGCCCTACCCGCTGTGCTATTGCTCCAGCCCCCTTTTCCTTAAATTTTTGAGCCGCTCCCAGTGGTGCTTGGGGACCATGTGGTGCTGGTTTGAGTCCAGCGCTCCCAAATGCCAAGCTGAGCTCAGCCCTTTGAGGACAATTTTCTATTGTGTGAATTTTGCCTTTGTTGTGGTTGTTATGGCGAGAAAGAAGTTTACTTTGTTTTGGATTTGGGGCCACACCCAGCAGTGCCCAGGGCTTACTCCTGGCTCTGTGCTAGGGGTCGCTCCTGGCGGGACTTGGGGGAACCCTATGGGAGGCCAGGGATGGAACTCAGGTGGGCCGCGTGCCACTACACTGTCTCTTGAGCGCAGCAGTTCAGCCTTTGAACCGTCAGGCTTGCCATCCAACAACGGCTGCAGGAAGGAGGCCTCCATCGCCCCAACCCCCACCACTGACCACAGTATCTGCTCCCTCAGGGCAGAGCGGGTTGGGCAAGTCGACCATGATGAACACCCTCTTCAAGTCCAAGGTCTGGAGGACCCCCCTGACGGGCGTGGAGATGACCACCGCCCAGACCCTGAAGCTACAGTCCATGACCCACAGTGAGTGTGCCCTCCTCCACCCCGTACCCCCCCCCCAGCCAGCCCCCAGCCCCTCGAGACCACCCTCTCCACTCTCCCCTGCAGTCATAGAGGAGAAGGGCGTAAAACTCAGGCTGACGGTGACAGACACACCGGGCTTCGGGGACCAGATCAACAACGACAAGTGGTGGGTATCCAGGGTGGGGACTCTGGCTTGGGGCCACGCCGGACTGAAGTGCGAGTGGACTGAGGGGTCCTTCTCCGGGGCCCCGGCTGAGGCTCTGCGGGCCCCTCCTGCCACATAGCTGGGAGCCCATCCTGGGCTACATCCACCAGCAGTACGAACAGTACCTCCAGGAAGAGCTGCTCATCACACGCCAGCGCCACATCCCTGACACACGCGTGCACTGTTGCATCTACTTCGTGCCGCCCACCGGGCACTGGTGAGGGCAACAGCCCGGGCTCCGCGGGGAGGAGGGCAAGGACACTACCCTGGTTCCGGCACTCGCCACTGTCCTTCCGAGCAGCCTGCGGCCCCTGGACATTGAGTTCCTGCAGCGGCTGTGCCGCACGGTGAATGTCGTGCCCGTGATCGCTCGTGCCGACAGCCTGACCCTGGAAGAGCGGGACTCCTTCAGGCGCAGGGTGATCAGGGCACCCTGGGCGGGGGGGCGGGAGGGGTGGTCCCCAGGAAGAGGTGAGTGAGCCAGGCCAGGCGGACTGAGGCTCCCTCTGTGCGTGACCAGATCCAGCAGAACCTGCAGACTTACCGCATCGAAGTGTACCCCCAGAAGTGCTTAGACGAGGATTTCAACGACAAGATTCTCAACAGCAAGATCCGGGTAGGGCGAGGGAAAGAAAGGACTCAGTGACAGAGGCTGCATCTTGCAGGATTCTGAAATGTCTGAAGAGGAGAGATGCGCAGTGACCACCTGGGGAGGGAGGCGGAAATAGATTCTTAAGGTTTCTTCTGGGAAAGATGAAAGATGGAATTAGATAGTGGTGGTATTTGCGCCATCTTCTGAAAACGTGGAAACACTCTAAAAGGGGGAGTTGGGGCCAGAGCAGTAGTACAGCGAGTAGGTGCTGACCTCAACCATGGTCAGCCCGGTTCCATCCCCAGCACCCCAGACCTGAGGTCAGACGCTGGGGTAAGTCCTAAGTACTGCTGGATTTGGGGGGAGAGAGAGAGGGAGGAGGAGGAAAAGAGGGGAACAGAGAGAGAGAATGAAAATTAAGGCAGGAAGGGAGGAAAGAAGGAATAGAAGAAGGGAGGAAAGACCACCACCAGCATTTTCATTCTCTCTAAATCCAGGGCATCGTGCTTGCTGCCATGCTCTGGTGGCACTCGTGTCGGTCTGGGTGGCATGAGTCTGGGTGTGCCTGGCATTCGCCATCTACAGACCCAGGTTTCAGCCTCCCTGACTCCCCCAGGACTCTCTCTGTCAGCCTCTGCATTTCTTTTTTGTTTTGTTTTGGGCCACACCTGGTGGTACTCAGGGCTCTGCGGGGTGCATGCTGGGATCACTCCTGGTGGGCTCCTGGGACCATATGAGATGCCAGGAACCACCCTGGGTCAGCCACATGCAAGGCAAACACCCTCCCCATTGTCTGGTCTCTCAGGGCCCAGAGTCTGCTGCTTTTGCATGAGCTAGAAAAAGGAAGCAGTGGTAGGAGAGGTGAACAGGCACTCGCCTCGCCTCGCAGCCCGCCCAGCTGGGGTTCAGTCCCCGCGCCATAAAGGGTCCCAGGAGCTCAGAGGTAGAGAGTAGTGGGGTCTGTCTCTGGGCCAGCGTGCTCGGCGACTGTGACCCAGCCCCAGCCTGCCGTGCTCTGAGCCCATATCCAGTCCTTGCCCACAGGGCCAGGACCCTGTCACAGGCAACAAGGATCAGCAGGGGGACAGCAGTAACACCAGCTGTTCCTCAGCTTCACGGCACTGCTAACCCTTAAGTAGGCCTGGAAGCTTCCAGAACAAGAATACCTTTTAACACTCCCTTTCACAGCCGGGAAACCGAGGCACCGAGTGTGCTCTGTATCTTATTGCCTTAGGTGCCTGCCCTCTTGCCACTTTGAGGGTTTGCCTCTCTTTGCTTTTGGTTTTTGAGGCAGGCCCCACCCAGTGGTGCTCAGGGCTTCCTCCTGGCTTTGTGCTCAGGGGAGACCCCATGGGCGCGGGGGATGAAACCCGGGTCAGATGCAGGTAGGCAAGTACCTTCCCCTCTGTGCTTTGTCGCGTGCCACTCCCTCCCCCTTCCTGGGTGCCGCTCCAGCCGCCTGCCAGCCCCCCTCTGTCTGGCTTCCGACCTCCCAACAGGAACGGATCCCCTTTGCCGTGGTGGGGGCTGACCGGGAGCACATGGTGAACGGCAAGTGTGTCCTGGGCCGGAAGACGCGGTGGGGCATCATTGAAGGTCAGTCCGAGAGCCTCCCCCCAACGCCTCTGCTGTCCTTCTGGTGTAGGCAGCCCGGGGTCCGCAAAGTTATGCCCAGGTCCACACCCCATGGGCAGAGACATGACCCTTGGCAGCCTCGCACAGTGCCGGAGCCCCTGATGGGGCACAGTGGGTGTAGGGCCAGTGTGGCCCCACTGAGCAGATGACAGAGGATGAAGGAAATGGTGGGGGGGGGGGCAAGGGCTGAGGGAAGGAAGCAATGAGGAAGCCGGAGGGGGAGCGGGTGGGCTGAACCCCAGGCCATGGGGCCTGTGTCTTGCAGTGGAGAACATGGCGCACTGCGAGTTCCCCCTGTTGCGCGACCTGCTCATCCGGTAGGTGGGGGCCCCGGGAGGCAGGGGGTGCCGAGGGGCCGCGGGGCTGACCTGCTCCCCCCGCAGCTCCCACTTCCAAGACCTCAAAGACATCACCCACAACGTGCACTACGAGAACTACCGCGTGTGCCGGCTCAACGAGAGCCACCTGCTGCCTCGGGGACCCGGCTGGGTGAACCTGACGCCGCCCGCGCAGGCCTCCCCGGGCGCCTCCCCGGGCACCTCCCCGGGCGCCTCCCCCGCTGTCTCCCGCTACGCCCCTGCCCGCGCCCTTGCCCGCGCCCCTTCCCGCACCCCTTCCCGCGCCCCTTCCCAGGCCCCTGCCCGAGTCCCTTCCCGTTCCCCATCCTGCTCCCCTCCCCACTCCCCTACCCGCGCCCTTTCCCTGACCCCTGACCGTGTCCCTTCCCGGTCCCCTTCCCGCTCCCCTTCCCGTTCCCCTTCTGGGTCCCCTGCCCGCGCCCCTTCCCGCGCTCCTTCCCGCGCTCCTTCCCGCGCTCCTTCCCGCGCCCCTTCCCGCGCCCCTTCCCGTGCCCATTCCCACCCATCTTCCCACCCCACCAGCCCCCGCACTGCCAGGCCCACCAAGCCCCACGTGCGTGCTCCCACGGGTGCTCCCGTGGATTCTGAGGAGGATGAATTCTGAGCCTGCTGGAGCTCGGACCCACAGCCGCTGCTATGGGTCTGTGTGCTAGAGCACGTGTCAAGGGCAGCTTTGCTTCTGGTGAAAAGACTTTGGTAAATGTCTCCTGAGTCTGATTTCTGCCTCCCCGGTCTGATTCTTTTTTAAGGTACTGCTGAGTGGCGGGAGGCCCAGGAGGGGACCAGGAGCCCTGTCCTGTCCTGTCTGCCCCCCTCAACGCTGACCCGGGAACGGGCTCAGGCCCTGGCACCAGAAACACTTTAAAACTGCCCTCTCGGGCCAGAGTGATACAGGACAGCAGGCAAGGTGTTTACCTTGCACATAGTCCATCCAGGTTCCATCCCCCGCATCCCATTGGATCCCCTGAGCACCACCAGGAGTGATTCCTGAATGCAGAGCTAGAAGTAACTCCTGACCACCACCAAGTGGCATCAAAACAAAAAAATCCCTTCTCTCCTCAAGGGACCAGAGACTAGGACAATGTGGAGCCCCTGGCCTTATACACGTCCAGCCCAGGTTAGATCCCCAGCACCGCATATGATCCCTGAGTCAGGCAGGAGTGATCCCTGAAAACGGAGCCAGGAGGAAACCAGATGTGCCCCCCCCCTTAAAAAAAAAGATGTGATCTCTGAGCACAGAGCTAGGAGTAAGCCCTGAACACTGCTATGTATGGCCCCCAAACCAAAATAATAATAATAATAACAAAGTTCCCAAAGGTGTGTGTGTGTGTGTGTGTGTGTGTGTGTGTGTGTGTGGAGAGAGAGAGAGAGAGAGAGAGAGAGAGAGAGGCAGGCCGGGGTGGGGGAGGGGTGATGGGAGGGAAACGGGAGACACTGGTGGTGCTGGGAGATGTAGACTGTTGGAGGGTTGGATTTTGGAACACTGTATGAATGAAACCTAATCATGTAAGGGTCTATCACAATGATTCAATTTAAAAAATCTGTTAAAAAAGAAAAAGTAAAGCTAAAAGGCCAAGAGCTATTACAGAGTAGGCGCCCAGGACCCACTGTTGCCATATGGTCCCCCCATCACCAAAAGGGGTGAGTATAGAGCTCGGATTAGCCCCTGACCACTGAAGAGTGTGGCCCCAAAATAAAAATTAAATCAAGGGTCCCAAGAGACAGTACAGTGGGAAAGGCAATTGCCTTGCACACAGCTGACCCAGGGTTGATTCCTGGCACCCCATATGGTCCCCTGAGCCTGCCGGTAATGAACTCTGAGCACAGAGCCATAAGTAATCCCTGAGCACTGTGTGCAAACTGCCCCCTGAAAAAAATTAAGGAAAAAACCAAGAATGCGAGGTGGAGCCTGGGAAGATAGTACAGGGGTTAGGGTGCCCCAGAGTAACCCTGGTCCTCCATCCCCAGCACAGCCAGTGTGGCCTCTGTGGTCCCCATCTCTGTAGAAACCCATATGGAATCTCTGATCCTGTAGAGAATCCCTGAGGCTAGGGGCCCCTCCACCCCGCCACTCTGAGCAACCAACTAGGAGGTCCCCAATGACTCCTCTGGAATAAAAAAAATAAAAACCCAGAGATGCACTCAAAATGATCAGTGAATCCACTTATAAAAGTGGAAACTGGGGGGGTTATGGTGCCGCCAGCAGGTCAATCTGTACCTGTGAGGCAAGTGCATTAGCAGCCTGATGGCGCCTCCAGACTTCCAGATACCCCAAAATTGCTGCTGTGCCTTTGGCCAGACCCCAAAAACTTGGGGCAAAGTTTACCAAGAAAGTAAACGGCCAGAAGTTAGGTATGTGGGAAACACACCCACAAACCACCTCTGGCCCAGCTATATAATTGGAGGCAAGGCCTCTTTGGTTCCTGATTGAACTGCTTAATGGCCATGATCCCAGAAACTCAGAAAAAAATCTTAAAACCCAGCAGCTTTTGGCAGAAATGTGTTTGGTCCCTGCTGTAGGTTACCGGTGCTGGGCCAACCCAGGTGGGAATAGGTTTCGTGCCTTGGTCTGTTCCCCCTGGAGGCCTGGTGGCCGCCATCCTCCAGAGGCCACTGGACAGTCAGGTTTGGGCCCGCAGTGACGAGACATTTTGGGCCTCACGGGATGGGGGTGAAGCCAGTCCTGTCCGCCCCACCCCAACAAGACCCCAAGTCATCGCCCATGAACGGCCTCTCTGGCTCCTGATCAGTCTGCTTAATGGCCAAGATCCCAGAGACTCAGAAACAAATCTTGAAACCCAGTGGCTTTTGGCAGAAATGCATCCGGACCCCACAGTAGGTTACTGTCGCCGGGCCACCCTAGGGGGGAAAGGGTGTTGTCCCTCCGCCTGCTCCCCCTTGGTGGCTCGGTGGCTGTCATCCTCCAGAGGCCATTGGACAGTCAGGCTTGGGCCCTCAGTGACAAACTTGTTGGGCCTCACGGGATGGGGGTGGAACCGGTTCTGTCTTCCCTGTCCCAACGAGACCCCAAGTCATTGCCCACGAATGGCCTCTCTGGCTCCTGATCAAGCTGCTTAATGGCCATGATCCCAGAGACTCAGAAACAAATCTCGAAACCCAGCAGCTTTTGACAGAAATCCGTTCGGACCCCGCAGTAGGTTACTGTCACCGGGCCACCACAGGGGGGAAAGGGTGTTGTCCCTCCGCCTGCTCCACCTTGGCGGCTCGGTGGCCGCCATCCTCCAGAGGCCATTGGACAGTCAGGTTTGAGCCCTCAGTGACATGACATGTTGGGCCCTATGGGATGGAGGTGGAGCCGGTCCTGTCCTCCCCACTCCAACGAGACCCCAAGTCATTGCCCACGAACGGCTTTTCTGGCTCCTTAACGGCCATGATCCCAGAGACTCAGGAGCAAATCTCGGAACCCAGCAGGTTTTGGCAGAAATCCCTCCAGATATGTGTTAAAATTTTGAAATTTCAAAATCGTACGGCCACTACTGCAGCCATGAGACATCATATGTTATTCATAACCAGCAATAGAAAGCAAATTGTCTGTTGCCTTTTCAGCAGATCTGAGTGTTGGGGTAAAATCTCAAATAATAATGGTGGGTCTGGTGTCAAAATATTGAACGTGATCAAAGTAGAGAGAGAGTAATGTGGAAATCATCTGCCCCACGGGTAGGGGGAGGGTGTGGGATGGGGGTATACTGGGGTTGTTGTGGGTGGAGAATGGGCACTGGTGAAGGTAGGGGTGTTTCATTGTATGACCGAGACAGACCCGAAAGCTTTGTAACTGCTCTCATGGTGATTCAATAAATAAAATTATAAAAAATGAAAAAAAAAGTAAGGTGGAGTTCATGCACAATTCAATCAGTTAATCAGTGACTGAATAAATAGCAGTACTCCTACATAAAAAAAAAATGTGGAAACTGGGGCTGGAGGGATAACACAGCAGGTAGGGCGGGTAGGGCGTTTGCGTTGCACACGGCCAACCCTGGGTTCTATTCCCAGCATCCCATATGGTCCCCCGCGCACCGCCAGGAGTAATTCCTGAGTGCAAAGCCAGGAGTAACCCCCTGTTGCATCGCCGGGTGTAACCCAAAAAGGTAAAAAAAAAAAGTGGAAACTGAGGCTCAGAAGGTGCGAGTAACCTGCCCTTAAACTCCGCAGACAGGCCAGGAAGGGAACCGCAGAGGTGGTGCACAGCACTCCACTCTGGAAAATGTAGTCTGGTCAAGCTCTCTGGAGCCGGTTGACGTCACACCCTCGCCTGCCCGCGTCCTGGGGAGGGGGGAAGGGGTCAGCTGTCTGGGTGCAGAAGTCTTGGCACTCCCACTTTCCTAGCAGCGGGAACTCCGGCCAACCCCTGAGCCTCAGTTTACCCCTCGGAAACTTGAGCCATAGTATAAATCTGCACGAACTGCCCATACACAGGTTTTGACAGCTGCTGACTCTGAAGTGGTTCAGTGGAATTAGTTAAATCACTTGACTTGTCTTGAGTCATTGCTTCTCGGTCATGAGGGCATGGGGAAATTGCTACCAAACTCCCCCGGACTTTTTTAGCACCTGACCTGAGACCGGTTCCCCGTCCTCATTATGCACTAAGCGTCCTGAGCCAACGGCTGCCCACTGTCTCGCCAGGGGCTGTGTGGCGGTTTACCAGCTTCCCTGAGGGGGGGCACTTGAAGGCCGTTTCTTTTTTTACCTGGGGGGCACACCCTGCAGTGCAGGGGTGGGGGTGCTCGGGGTCAAACCTGGGGCTCCCACATCAAAGCCTGTGCTCAGTCCTCAGTGCCATAAGCCCGACCCTTGAAGGTCATCTGAAGGACGAACGGGACCGCAGCCACCACAAACCCGTCTGTGGGAAACGCTCTGGTGAGGCAGCGTCGGGTGAAGTGTGTGTGTGCGGACGGAGAAACGCCAGAAAAACGCCTCTCGGGACTCGGACGTGACACTGCACCCTCCGTGGCGGGGCCCCCCGGGTCCCGGGGCAGCGGCGGGCCGTGCAGCCGGCCAGGACAGCTGACAGTGAGCGACGGTAAGGCTCACAGACGGAGCCTCCCCGGCCCGGGTTCGACTGCACGGGTGTGGGTGCACGTCAGTGGAGGCCCAAGAAAGAGCAGAGCGGGCAAGGCGCTTCCCTTGCACAGCCTCTACCTGGGCACCGTTCCTGACACCTCAGAGGGTCTCCCAGAGGGCACAGGAGCCAGGCCTGAGGTCCCCCAGGTGTGGCCCCACACACAACTCTGGAGGTTGTTTCAACGACGTCATTCCGCAAAGCCCTTATAACTGCTTGGCACGCCCAGGGTTCGAAGTAACCGAAAATGAACTGTTCAGGCGCCGCTGCCCAGTGGGCAGCCCGGGCGGGCAGCGGGCAGGCGGGGAGCCCGGCTGAGCCGCACCCCGGCTCCGGCGCTCGCGCATGCTCACTGGAGGCGCAGGCGGGCCCGCCTACTCGGGCTCATTCCACGTGACGCGACAGTCGGCTTAGCCAATGGCGCGAGGACTACGCTATCCGCTGCCCCCAAGAAGCCCGCCCTTTTCTGATTGACAGCTATATCAGCCAATGAAGCGAGAACGACCTTTACCACAATAAAGCCCGCGGCCCGCCTCCTTGTTCCTCCGCCCTTCCACGGTCCCTCTCAGGACTCCCGACCTCCACCTCCCCCAGCATCCTCACTGCTCCCCCTACCCGCAGGAGCTTTTCCAGCAGTCTTCCAGTCTGGGGACCCCTGGGCATCACCCACCATGAATGGGCCTGGGGTGGTTCAGGGCTTGGGCGCTCCCCGATGCCATAAGCTCAGCAGCCAGCCCTGTGCCCTGGTGCTTCTGACTCCCAGGCACTTCCTGGTCAGGCTCACGCCACCACCAGGCAGTACTCAGGGATTGTGTGCTCTCATGGCAGAGCTGCGGGTGCTGGCCCAGGAAGGAGAACAGGCCCGGGAGCAGGGCACAGCCCCCTCCACGGCGCGGGCCCAATGCTGCCGTTGGCCCGTGGCAGCAGGGCCACGGCAGGAAGAAGTCACACACGTCTGCATAAGGGCTTCGGGAAGACTTCGTATCTGGCCAAGCACCAGCGCGCACACGGGCTAGCGGCCCTGCGAACAGCACGCACCGGGGCACGCAGTCGGGGGAGCCGCCTTCCACGGGGCACCGACCTGCACAAGCATCGGCGCTCCCCAGAGGCTCGGGTCTGTGCCCTGGGGGACAGCGGGCCCTCCCTTCCAGGGAGCCACTTTTGTGACCAGAGACCCTTTTGTTCCTAACCAACCCCCCTGATGGGCTCATGACAGCCTCAGGCTGTTTGTCCGGGGGTACAGGGTGCAACATGGGGACCTTGGTGGCTGGGTCTCTGTCCCTGGCCGCTGCACATGACCAGCCCATCCACCCTGGTCCCAGTGCCCTCTTCTCCGACAATTGAGGCACCCACAAGTCGCAGGTGGGTGGTGATTGCCCCATATTCCCAGCTGCTGGCACCGTTCAGCTAGTGGTTGCCTTGTCCAACCTGGATCCCCAAGACGTTCCTCCCACTGTGGGGATGTGGGGCTTAGGCTCCTCCACTCCTCTGTTACCTTAACTGGTGACATCTTCAAAGACCCCATTTGGAAATCCTGTCTCATGTAGGGTTCCGGTAGGCAGGAAACGGGGCACTTCCCACACACCAGGGGGAGCCCCAGAATCTGGCTGTCTACACTGTCCACCAGCCTTGCCAACTTGCCTGGGGGCTGTGTCTGTGCCCAGTGTTGTCAGCAGGCAAATGGTGTGAACTGGGGTCACCAACACAGGTCCTCGGCCGCTCTGTGGCACAGATGTGGCCAGTCAAGAACTGTTTCCCTAGATCCCACTGTCTGCACCTCCCCCACCAGAGCCTGTCTGGCGCCCCTGAATCTGATTGGCCTTGATGCTGCCCCCTGGGCCAGGCTCCAGGGCTGCCCCTTGACTTTTGGAATCAGGGACCACACCAGCTGCCTGGGGACCATGTGCTCCATCCGTGGGGCCAGCGTCCCTCTATCTCTGAGTTGAGTGCACCTCTGGCCTGTCCACTGTCAGCTGAGTGTGACCAGGGAGTAGCTGGGTCCCCGTTAACTCCACCGGGGTTAGCTTCTGAGTCATGAGGTGCTGGAAGAGGCAAGACCAGTGGCTGGGAGCCCTGTAGCTGGGGAGCCCCACGCCTGGGAGCCCCGGCACTGAGGCTCTCATTTGGCGGGACCACTGATTGTCCCCCCTTTCACCTGACTCTGTCCTCCCTGCCACCAGCCTGTTCCCACAAAAAGTGGCGTCCATCCTGGCCTTGTTCTCTGCCTGTCAGCAGCCTCAGTGGGGCGAGGGCCAGGGGACAACTTGGAACAGGTATTCACCCGCTGTGAAGATCCTCCTATGGGAATGTGTCCGCTTGGTCTCAGAACAGCCACGGCCAGGGACCCAGAGACCAGCCGAGCCTCTCCCAGATGTGTTCCACCTGGAAATATCTCGCTCCATTTACTCCAGTTTGTGGCAATGTTTAAAAGCCCGCGGGCAGAAGCAGTAGATGCAGGTCAGAAAGGGGTGGGAAGGGAGGGGGTGGGCAGCTCGAGCCCAGCACAGAGCCCCTGCCCCAACGACTGCCCTTACGAGTGTGTAGCCAGTGTTCGACAGTCATGGTGTGCGGGTGGAAAGGGACAGTGTGGGGACCTCTGGTCCTGTGTGAGCGTATGTGGGTGTGGAGAACCCACCGGCCTGTCACCTCAGCTCCCTTCGTGGGGGGGCTCCAGAGGCAGCCCCAGGGCCCCCTTCGCCACCCCAAGTTCAGGAGGCTCCCCCAGGGCCCCGGTGTTCCGCCTCCAAGCTGCGGATCTGGATGTGTGTGCTGGAGCCTGACCCTTCTGGCCTCCAGGACCTCCAGGACCTCCAGGGGCGGGCAGCACAGGTGGAGGCAGCCCCTGGCGGAAGGCCCTGAGCTGCTGGAGCAGCTGACTTTTGCCGGTGCGGTCCCTGCAATCCGAGAGAAGGCGCCTCAGCCCCGGCCATGCCCGGGCCCAAATCCCCAACTCTGCGGTTCAGCCAGGATGCAATGGAGCACGTGCCCTACCACCCGGCTGTCCAGCCCTCTCCCCCCCATGCTTCCTGCTCACCACCCCCAGACACAGCACAGTGAGACCCAGGACCTACCCCCCTTTGCTGTGTCCCCAAGGGCTCCCTCCTGGCTAAGGGAGGCCGCCCTTTACCATAGCCCTCCGGGGTCCTGCTGGTCTCCTTCAGGTGCTGCTGACTCCTCGTCCTCATCATCCTCGTCGTTCCCATCCAAGGAGCTAGAGCTGGAGCTGTGGAGGATGACCAGGCTCACACGGCCAGACCAGCGCCCAGACCTGGCATCCTGCAGACCCTTCCCACCTGCCCCCTGCTGCGCCACTCCTGTACCTTTCCTCTGTCGCCTGGGCTGGGGGCTCCGGGACTCTCAGATCCATGAAGACCGTGGGGGGCTCCACTTCACTCTTCGGCCTCATGCCCTGGACCCCTGGGGCGTCCAGCTCCCCGGAGGACCGTCTGAGCAGAGAGACCAAGGATGGGGGCCATTTCAGGGGGCAGGACCCTGAGGTGGGACTTTCGGGCGGGCTGTCCGAGAGAACGTTCCATGCGATTCCAAGGCTTTTTATCTGTGTCCCAAAACACGAGCCACTGGCCACACGAAACTGCCTCAACTGTCAGTTCATCTCATTCAGTGACACGAATCTGAGGAACTGCCAGGCTCTTGGTTGTGCAAGATACACTTCAAGGCCCTAGTAGCCACTCGTGGCCCAGTGGCTTCCGTGTAAGTGCGGCCTGGACATTTCTGCTGGACACTGTGGGCCACCAGGGACACACATGCACTTCAGTTAGCTCAGGGAGAAAAGGGGTTCCCCAGCACTCAGCTTCCCCCAAAGGTGGCAAACAATGTGGAAAGGGCTCTTCCACGGTCTTTGACCCCACGGGTGTGAAAAGGAGCAGTGCTCTGTGGGTGGATCCCGGTTCCGCCTGGCATGGTCTGGCCGTGTCAACCTGAGCGCCTCAGTCTTCCAAGCGGTACAATGGGGATAATCATGGCACTGACTGAAATAGAAAATCTACACCCCAGGGACCCAGGGAATGCTCTGGGCTGAAATGCAGTCCCACCTGGTGGTGGCCTCCAGGGGCCTGCTGTCCGGCGGGCTGGCAGCAGGCACATTCCAGGCAGACGCATAGGCCCGGGACTGTGAGGCGCACAGGAGGACCAGCCGCTCCATGAGCCTGTCGTGGGCGCTGTGCTCAGTGTCAGCTGTGGGGTGGGGGCACAGCTGAGCTGCTTGAGCTTCCTGGGGCCTGGGCAGGTGCCTCCACTGGATCGTGGAGCGGGAGAGTGTAGGGGAGACTGTTTGTGAAATGAGTGCCTGCTTGGAGGAGGGCGAGGGGCTCCTAACTGCATTCTGCTCCCTGGGATCGGCCCAACGAGTCAGAGGGGCTCCCAGGAACAGCTCTACAGGCAACCACACGGCCACCGCATGCTTGACTGAAAGTGCCTGAGCCTTAGAGAGGATAAATTCTTCCCTGCTGTCCCCCCTAAAGGGGGGCCCTGTGACCCCCAACCTCTGCAGCGAGAGCATGGAGGACTGCTTGGGGGGGTCCTCTGACCTTGGTGCTGGAGGCGGTCGCTGGCCTGCCACGGGGCTCCCGGGGTGCGGTCCGGCCCGGCCAATCTCTGCAGGAGGCCGTCCAGATCTGACTCCTCCAGTTGCTGGAACAGGGAGGGCCGGGCTGACGGCTGCTCCACGTCCCCACCCTCGCAGGCCCATCGTGGACATGTAGGGCTGTTTCTCCCCATGTCCTCCTTCACTTTTCTGGGCAACAACTTTTGTGGGTTTTTTGAGGGGGTGGGGGCCTTACTCCCGGCTCTGAGCTCAGGAATCAGTCCTGGTGGACTCAGGGAACCACATAGGGTGCCAGGAATTGAACTCAGGTTGGCCGTGTGAAAGACCAATGCCCTACCCACTGTACTATGGCTCCAGCCCCAATGCTTTCGTATTTTGCACAAAGACATGGATTAACTTGAGGAAACCCCATGTCATTTTAAAGAAAAAAAAAGAGGTTCATGTAAGTTTAAACATCTGGAGGGGCTGGAGGGCAGGCTTGCAAGCAAGGGGCCGACGTGTCCCTGACACCAGTAGGAGGGACCCCGAGAGCCCCAAAGGAGTAGATCCTGGGTTTCTCTTGATGGGCCCGGTGCCATGGGCCACAGGTCTGTCATGGCCGCGTCCCTACAAAACTCAGCTGTTGGAGTTTTACAAGGAAAAGGGTTTGGAGGCAGGCCTTTGTGAGGTGGCTGGGTGGTGAAGCTAGAGCCCTGGAGAGCTTAGGAAAGAGACGGGGCAGGAGAGACAGGACAGCAGGGAGGGCACTTGCCTTGCATGTGGCTGACCCAGGTTTGGTTTCCGGCACCTCATATGGTCCCCTGAGCCCACAAAGAGTGCAGATCCAGAGATAAGCCCTGAGGCTTGAGTATGACCCTAAACTTACGAGAGAGAGAGAGAGAGAGAGAGAGAGAGGAGAGAAGAGCCCCCCAAGCTCCAGCCCCAGCTGGGTCAGAGGTTCTGTGGGGTGTCCTGGCCCTGTGGCCACAGGAGACCTGCAGGTGGGCCGCCTACCTGGAGCGACAGCGTGGGTGGGCCTTTCTGGGGCTCCTGGCGGGGAGGCAGGGGTGCTGGCGCACTGCCCGGAGCACAGGCCTCCCAGGACACTCTGTGGAGCACGTCCTTCTCTATCATCCTCCTCCTCTCCCTGCGCAGGGCCTGGCGGCGGGCACAGTTGGGGTCCTCGCCCCCGTGAGGGGCAGGTCTCTGGGACTCTGCGTCCAGGCCTCTTTTAAGGGGCGCAAAGGTGGCTTCTCCTTTCGGCCCTTTGGGAAGACTCAGGGCTCCTCTGGCTTTGGAGGTTGTGACTGCTAGGTCGCCTTCCTGCCACCTGGGGGTGTCTTCGGGCACCCCAGGAGAAGAGCTGGCCTTACCATGGCCTGCCAGAGGGCTCCCTGGGTCCTTTCCTTCTGGGGAGCCCCGGCGCCCCGTCTGCGCATTCCACTCGCTCCAAGGCTCCTCACCGAAGCCCACAGGCACCAGCCCTGCCTATGAGGAAAGGGGGTCCCCATTAGATGTTGGGGAGCCTCCCGTGGGCGAGAGGCCTGGCCTAGGCCGAGAGGCTGAGCTCCATCCTGAGGCTGGTTAGAACCCCTTGTTTCTGGCAGCATGTCCGTTCTGGGTTCTGCCTTGGAGGTATGGCCAGGCCACACGGCTGCTGGGGAAAGCAGCGGATAGCCAGGCCCCAAGCGCAGGCCTCGGTCTCAATCCCAGACTCTCCCTTCCCAGGCCCAAGACCACAGAGATGCAGCAGGCCTGACACAGCCCACCTGCACGAGCGCAGGACCCCTTGAGATGATTCCCTTGACCTGGTTCCAGGTGCACTTTTCAGCACGGCTAGTCTTGGCGGTGGGGACTGGACCCTCTGGTTCCAGAAGACAAGCCCTGTCCGTGGGCACTGAGAACTATGGAGCCTCCAGACACCCCACAGTGATTAAATGCCTTTCTAGGAGGGTGCCAGCACCCCCTTCACTGCAGGACAGTCTGTCCAGAACTTGCGGCAGTTCCCTCGTACCCCCTTTCTGAGGGTTTCTGCTAAAAAGGCCTAGAACTGTGTGCACTGCGAGAGCCTGTGCCCTGTCACCCCCCGCCTCGTCCCCCTCCCCCTGTCCCCATGCTCGGGTTCCACCCACACTGTGGCCTCTGAGCCTTACTCCTCACTGCTCCCCATCACCTGCCCCTTCCTCCCTTCCTCGCTCCCTCTCTCTCCCTCCCTCCCTCTCCCCTCCCTCCACCCCCTTCCTTTTGCTTTTGGGTCACATCCAATCCAGCACTGTTTAGGGGCCACTCCTGGTTTGTAGGGGGGTGGGGTGAGCTGCTCCTGGTGAAACTTGGGGGACCAGGTGGTGCTAGGTTCTGAACTCAGGCCTCTGCCATGCAAAGCTTGCACTGAGCCATCCTCTGGCCCCATGGTTTGACCATTTTGGAGCTACTATGAGCTCTGGAGCACCCAGCACCCAATCTGCCCACGGAGCCCAGCTCTGGGGTCCCTGCAGCCTGCCTCCCACTCACCGCTGGTGGAGAACTGTGGGCTACCATGTCCCAGGACCCAGCAGGCTCCTCGGCCAGCTCTTCGGACAAGTCTGGAATCAGGGCGGGGTGATTTCGCTGGAAGATGAACAGTTCCTCCTCCCCGAAGTCCGACTGTGGAAAAGGGACAGGGCTGTGGGACTGAGTAATCTCGGGGGCCAGGAGGATGTCAGCCTCACTGCCCTGATGCTCGGAAGCAGACTGGTGACATCAGTGGCCCCTAGAGGGACTGGCCAGGCCCGGTTTCTCTCACTGGTATACAAGTGGGCCTCACACACCAGCTAGTGGAGGTGAGGCCAGGGCCCCTGGTCCTGCAGATTGCTCACGCCCCGAGGTCTCACCTCCAGCAGGAGTTTAGAGCCGAGGAGTCCCTCCCTGGACCCAGTCCCCACTCAGAGCCTGGGGCTGTTACCTCTGAGGATCCGGTGGGCAATGAAGCCGGCTGATACAGCGCCTCAATAACTTGTGATACAGCTTTTCACCACTCTTAGTATGGGGACACACGTGGCAGTACTCAGGGATCACTCCTGGATCTGTACTGAGGGACCACTTCCGCTGGGGCTTGGGGGACCATATGGGATGCTGGGGGATCGAACCCAGATTGGCCTCATGCCAGGAGAGCGCCCTCCCCACTGTACTATTGCTCTGACGTGGTTTACCACTCTTGTCCTCCAGAGGGCAGGAGTCAGTCGGTGCTAGGGCTGGGTGCTTCGGGTCACTCCACACCTCGAGTTCTGGCCCAGGCAGGCATTTCACACAGAGAAGCCCCTGTGTGCCCCGGAGAATGGTCTGTTCTGCAGCCAGTACTCAGAGACCAACCCTGGGGTCGTGACCACTCCCAGGTGCCATGGTCAGTCGGTACCTGAGCAGGGACGCATGCCTGGTGCCTACTCTTCTCCCTCTGGGGCTGTGCTGGGTGAGGTCGGAACCAGGGCCACCAGAAGGGTGGCAGCCAGCTCAGTGCATGGTGGTGAGCCGTGAAGGGATTCACCAGTGTTTTGCGCTCCCTGAAATGGCCTGCAAGGATGCTGGGCATGAAGAGGCACATGCAGAGAACGAAAGCAGTGACTGTGACTGAGCGGAGACACTGCTATCCAAAGTAGTTCTGGGTTGGCATCAAGGTTGCCATGTCACAGGCGTAGCTGGGGTCCAGGGAGGAGTGGGCAGGCTGAAGGAAGGTGTTGGGCTTGGGGCTGATTTACCAGCGAGGAGTCCGAGTCCAGAGACGGGAGCTGCTCCCTGACGGCCTGGAGGATGGAGGCCCAGGCAGAGCCAGGTGAGGACCCCACATCTTTATCTGGAGATGCCATAGCGGGGGCTCAGGAATGCTTCTTGGTGAGCCTCCACTCACCCAAGAGGCCCTGCAAGGACATGGAGGTAGGTGAGAGGGTCAGTGACCCAGTGCCAAGGCATTGGGGGTGGGAGGCTGCATTTTCCAAGCACCTCCCGCCTGTGGGGAGGAAATCTATTTGCACACCTCCTGGCCTGGCTACTCCTACTACTAGGTTCCTGTTACCGAGGACAGGTGCTGTGTCCCATACTGTGTCCCAGCATGAAGCTGGCCGACTATGGACCTAATCTGAGATCATGTACATGACCTGTTCACACTCGAGGTGATATATGTTCTGCTGGACACAGCGGTGGAATAGGCATGTGTGAGACCTGGGTTCCGTCCCTGGTATTGCACAAAGGAGAGATGCAGTTACATGATCAGGAGGTATATGCTCATGAAATTCAGAAAGGCACACGGGTGAGAGGAACTTGGAAACTACATGTGTATATGGCTCACATAACACAGACAACAATACCTCTCCTAAACTCAGAGATGTTACATTGTCAGAAAATGGGAAGACAGAGGAGATTGGAAGCCCATTGACTCCCCCACTTCGTTTTTTTGGGGGGGTAACACCCGGCAGTGCACAGGGGTTAATTCTGGCTCATGCACTCAGGAACTACTCCTGGCGGTGCACAGGGAACCACATGGGAAGCTGGGAACTGAACCTGGGTCGGTCGTGTGCAAGGCAAACGCTCTACCCACTGTGCTATTGCTCCAGCCCGACTCTCCCATTTTTAAAAACTGGGTACTTTTGTTTGTTTGTTTGTTTGGGGGCCACACCTAGCAGTGCTCAAGGTTTATTCCTGGCTCGGTGCTCAGGGATCACTCCTGTCTGGCTCAGGGTGCCAGGGATCCAACAAGGGCCAGTTGCGTGCAAGGCAAGCACTCTATTATGCTACCGCCCCAGGTCCTGTCTCCCCCATTTTCATCGTTTAAACTGTTTAGGGCCAGAGCCTTGGCACAGCAGATCGGGCACTTGCCTTGCAAGCAGCGAACTCGGGCTCCATCCCTGGCATCCCAAGTGGTCCCCTGAGGACCGCTAGGAGTAAGTCAGAGCAAGTTAGGAGAAAGTTAACCCGGGAGCATCACTGGGTGTGACCCCAAAACCAAACCAAACCAAAAATCTGATGTGGGGTCCACACCTGGCGGGGCTTAGGCCCAACAGCTGGGGTCACCTGAGCCACTACTCAGAGGTGCTACTCAGGGGGAAAGGGTGCTGGGGACTCATCGAGGTCGCAGCGGAGACCTGGCCTGGGGGGGCTTCTCGGATCTACGCTCCCAGGAGGGGCGGGGCAGGAGAGGCGGCTGGCACTCGCGTCCTTGGGACGGGCCGACCACAGCGCGGCGGAGGGGGCGGCGTGGGTCGCGACGTTTCCGGCGAGGGACGGGCCTGACGGCGGGTGGCTGGAGGATGCGGCGAAAGCGGCCCCGGGGCTGCAGGTCCGCGGCCGCCGGGGGTCCGGGGAGGGCTTGGCCAGGCCGACTCCGCCGCCACGCGCGCCCTCGGCCGCCGCCAGTTGGCCCCGCCCCGGCCCCGCCCACCGCGGGCGCCGGTTGCCATGACCACGAGACGCCAACCGCCTCCCGCGCCAGGCTTTCCGGTTCCGAAGCGGGGGCTCGGGGGAGCCCGCTGCTGGTCCCCGGGCCGCCACCAGCCCGTCCCGGCCCCTTCGCCGGCTGCCCCCGTTTCTGATCCGAGGTGTCAGCCGAGGCCGCTCACCTCAGCCTCGCCCAGCCTCCCTGCCCTGCGGTCCTGGTAGGACCCTACGCTCCTCCAGCGCGTCCTTCCGACCGCGTCCAAGCCTCCCTGGCGCGGACACCGAGGCCGTCACTCCTGGGGGGCGTCCCCCCCGCGGAGGTCTCCTCTCGGCGAGCCGGCCGGCCGCGCTCCCGGCTCCTGAGTCGCGCTCGGCGCGTCCCGACGCCCGCGTCACGCGATTGGTTGTCGTGCGGCGAAGGGGCGGGGCAGAGAGGGTTCTCCTCGCCCATTGGTCGCTGCGGGCGACGCCCAGCCACTGGGGACGCGGAGTGCGGAACTGACCCACGAGAGTCACGTCCCGGCGTGCTCCGCGCTCCCCGGCAACAACTTCCGGGGCGGGGCGGGGTCGTGGGCTCGGCCGCTGAGGCGGCAGCGGGGCGCAGACACCCGGGCCGGGCGGAGGGTCGCGGCGACGGCGGTGGCCTGAGGTCGGCCCGAGACCCCCGCGCAGGTAGGTTCCGCGCCCCGCGGGGCAGCGGCCAGTGCCCCTCGCCGGGTCGCGTCCTGGGGAGCGGCGGTCAGCGGCGTCCGGCGGGGTCGCCGGGGCCCCGGCACGTGCAGGCCGCCCTTGGGTGCCCGCCGGCCACTGACTTCTGTCCTCGGTTACAAATGTTGCCCTGCAAAGTGGCGGTCCCCGGCCCCGGGCCGCGCGCGCCCTTGCCGCGTCTTCGGGGGCTCCGTGCAGGGCGCGTTTCCCGGCCCGTGGGGGTCGCAGCGGCTCGTGCGGGGGGCTGGGGGACCGGCCGCGCGGCCAGCGCCACCCGGGGCCGTGAGGGGGGTCCAGGGGGTCTCGGGGCCCGGCTGACGCGGAGCTCGTCTGGGTGCTTGTCCGGGGGATGCCAGCCGGTGCTGTTGGGGGCTGGGGGTGCTGCTGCTCCTGTTTCCGCCTCCGTGGTTGGCTTGTGTGTGTTTCGGGGCCCACCGGAGGTGGTCAGCGGCCCAGGGGAGCTCCCGGCCCTGCACCCAGGAATCCCTGCTCGAGTGGGTCCGGGGAGCCCGAAGGGACAGCGGAGATCCAGCCCTGAGCGCGGCCAGTGCCCTCCCCGCTGGACCGTTGCTTGGCCCCTTCCCCCCTTTTGTCAGGGGCCTCTCTGAGCTCGGTCACGCCATGCCAGGGGCCACACCTGGACCTCCTGCCCGCATGCCTGGCTTCACAGCGCTGGGTTTCCATCCCCAGGGCCAGGGTGAGGGCCCACCAGTGTGCAGACGGGGTGTGCCCGCCAGCAGGCTCTGCTCGGCCTTCCCCTGCTCACATTCCCCGGACACGAGCCTGTGCATTTTTCTTTCTTTTTTGCGGTGCTGGTGGTGGGACCCACAGCCTCACACGGACAGGGCAAGTGACGAATTGCAGATCTGCACGCCCGGCCCGGGCCGGCAAACTCATTGATTCCCAGACTGACTTGGAGGGATGCCTGAAGCATCTGTGAACGGGCATGGGACCAGCAGCCTCCTGAGCAGACACGAGCGTCTCTCTTTTCCTCTCTCCTCATCACCTTGTTCTGCCACACCCAGGGTGGACCAAAAGCAAATACCAATCCTGAACTGATTGGGTTGTATTGGGGAGCTCGTGACTTTGCCTGGATTTGGTCAGGAGACCCTCTAGTCACCAGGTGGGGTCCCCATCTTGGGGGCAGTGTCACCCTGCACAGTTACTGGACCCCTCACCTTCCCCACCTGCAAGGCGTGTATGTCGTGAAGAAACTGTCCTTGGCTGAGGAGGGTCTCGGTGCAGTGGGTGGGCTGCAGCCGCACAAGTGGGTGCCCGGCCAGGTGCCGCCCTATGTGGGAAAGTGGGTGGGCGCCTTCTGGGTTTGATCACAGTGAGTCTTGTCTGCGGGGCTGCGACCCCCAGCTGCCTGCTGCCCTGCATGATGGGGGCTGACAGGTAGCCCCACATGCCTTGGAACCTCCAGGGAAAGACCTCCCACCTGCTCCTCTCTCCTCAGCCATGTCGGAGCTCAGCGATGAAGCCAGCGAGCCTGAACTCCTGAACCGCAGCCTGTCCATGTGGCACGGACTGGGCGCGCAGGTCAGCTGCGAGGAGCTGACCGTCCCTTTGGATCTTCACACGGCGGCATCCATCGGCCAGTATGACGTGGTGAAGGAATGTGTGCTGCGGTAAGAGGCAGCAGTGGGACTTGCTCCTTCCTCACTTTCTGTACACGGGCTCTGTAGCTGCTGGTTTGCGGAGCGTCTCCACCAGCACCCGGGCCCGCAGTCTCGTCGAGCTGTGTGGCTCGGGTTAACTGTGCCAGTGATGGGGGTGCTGGTCACCAAGGGAGAGAGCAGCTCCTTCCCTGTTCTGGCCAGAGCCAGAGTTCAGCAGGGAGGGAGCTTGCTTTGCGCATGGCTGACCTGGGTTCGATCTGCTGGACCCCAAGGGTCCCCTAAGGCCCCTCCAGGGGTGATTTCCAAGTGCAGAGGGAAGAAGAAGCCCTGAGCACTTCTGGGCGTGGCCCCAAAACTAAAACTGAATGAATGAAATGTTGTTCATGACTGAGAGACAGTTGGGAGACACTTTAACCAGAGTGACTGTCTGGTTTCCGGTCCTTTCCCTGATGCTCGAGTAGCCTAGCAGAAGGTGCTTAACCAGAGTCAAAGTTTGTGGTTTCAAGTTACAGTTGTGGTTTCTAGTACTTTCTGAAATGCTCGGATGCTCGGAGTAACACAGCAAAGGCACACAGTTGTGCTCTGTGGTCGTTCCCTGAAGGGTTTGTTTTATTTTATTTTTTCAGAGGGACCACATCTGGCCATGTTGGGCTGGCTACCCTGGCCACATGCTCGGTGTTTTGGGAAGTGGGGACATGCTGGATTCAAACTTGGGGTGTTTTGCATACTGGGTTTAGGAACTACCCCTGCAGCTGTTCACTGGCCCTCAGAGGGGTTGTTTATTTTACTTTTTTTGGGGGGGTAGTACACCCATCAATGCTCAGAAGCTACTCCTGGAAGTGCTTAGGGGACCAGGCAGTGCGGGGGATTAAGCATGGGGCTTCTGCATGTCCTCCTCTTCATCTTGCTCTTCATCTTGCTTCTGCTTGCAAGCTGTGGTATTTGGAGGAGTGGCCCTGGCCCCTGGCCCCCACCCACTAGCCCATTTTACTAGTCCCAGTCGTCTCTGATGCCCAGTGCACAGCAGTGGCCCTCACTGGCACCTAGCAGTATTTGGTACAAGGGGTGCTTTGTGTGGCCTGTCTCACACCTCTGCTGGTGAGTATCCACAAGTCTGATGCCCACTACTCACAGTCCCCGCCCATGACCACTTCACATGTGCCTTTTCCTGTTCCTGGGAAGCCGAGCACAGGCTTGCCGAAGGCCCAGGTCTGGGTTTCCGGGCAGTGACATCGTGTGTGGGTGTCTGGCCAGCGAAGGACCAGGGCAGTCTGCAGTGGCCCTTCTGGTGGTGGACTGTGACAGGTGTGTAGCCTCACCCCTCTGCATGCCCACTTCACATAGGCCTGGGGACCCCAGTCAGAGTCTGCGTCCTCAGTTCTGGGATTTTGCGTCTCTGGGTGCTGTGAGGATGTACAGAGAGCTCCCCGGGTGCCTGTGCTGAGCTGGGGCAGTGCGGGGAGCCCAGGCTCTGGTGGAGGGTGGGCAGAGGCAGCTTCGGAGAAGTGCTCTGTCCAAGGTCAGTCGCCTTTCTCTTTGTGGACTGGGTGCTCCCAGGGCTGAGGTCAGGGTGGGCCGGGTTCTGCTTGGGACACGGCTCCTCCCCGCTCTCCCTCTTAGTGACTGCTTCCTGGGTAAGCACCTTCGGAGTGGCTTCCGGGCACGCTCAGAGCTGGTGAGTGAGGAGCAGCCCCGAGGGGCGCTGGACACAATTCTGGGCGTGTTTCCAGACTCCAGTGCAGACGCTGGGCCTGTGGGAGATGCACTAGCCAGAGCTTTAGGGGAGAGAGTGACACAGGCAGCCTTTTTTGGGTAGTGCTTGGGGACCAGTGGGTGCCATGTGCAGGGCCCATGCCCTCCCGGCGGACCTGTTTGGTCTGGTCATGGGTTTGCAAGAGTGTTCATGCAGCTGAGGTGACAGAAGCCACCCACAGTGGGCGTGCCGTGAGAGCCCGTCCTTAGCCTCTGGCCACGCAGCTTGGTGGAGGGTGCAGGGCTCAGTTCAGGTTGCACACTGACCATCGGGGCAGCTGTTCCTGGTGGCCTGAATGACCAGGCCCTCCTGCTGCTCTGCCAGCATCCTGGGCCCTGCCAGAAAGACTCTTGTTCCCTCTCAGGGTGGCTGTGTCAGTGTCCCAGCCACAGAGACCTGCAGGCCTCACGGTGTGGCCCCTGCAGCCCTCCTGAGGCAGGTGGGAGCAGAGAAAAGATTTGACGCCAGTGGCCTTGGAGGAGGGGCCAGAGGAGAGCATGACATCAGGGTGTCCTCTAGGGCTCTCCAGAGGTGACTGTGCCAGTGATGCCTCCTTCCTGCCTGAGGGCCCCCACCACCTCCCGGCAGCCCTTCTTGCTTTTTCCCCGGCCTGCTTCAGTGACCCCCGGTGAGCCTGTCTAGTTTGTCTTGCGTTTGTTTAGGAGGGAGGTGGACCTGAATCAGAAGAACGGCGGCGGCTGGACCCCACTGATGTACGCCTCCTACATCGGCCATGACACCATCGTGCACGCGCTGCTGGAGGCGGGGGTGAGTGTGAACGTGCCGACCCCGGAGGGGCAGACTCCGCTGATGCTGGCATCCAGCTGTGGCAATGAGAGCATCGCCTACTTCCTCCTGCAGGTGAGCCCCTGGGGAACCCTGCCACCCTGCGAGCGCTCTGTACAGATGCCCTGACACACATTCTGTGTCTTCTTGAAGCAAGGTGCAGAGCTGGAGATGAAAGACATCCAGGGCTGGACCGCCCTCTTCCACTGCACAAGCGCTGGGCACCAGCAGATGGTCAAGTTCCTTCTGGACAGCGGCGCGAATGCAGACGTGAGGTGATTTTCAGCTGAGCGACCCCATGGGCATCTTTCCCTGGCTGCGGGGAGCACTGGAGCTAAGGCCCGGCTAGGCCTCCACACCGCCTGGCCTGACTTCTCGGTGACTTGGGGGCAGCACTCGGGTGCTCTGCAACTCAGTCTCTTCCTTCGAAAATGGGATGTCTGTGCCCAGGTCGCGGCATTGTTGGGAGACGCCCGTAGCCTTTTAGTGGACGCGTCTGAGTCATGCCTGTCTGGCCGCACTCCGGGCTGTTCCTCTCTCCTTCCTGTGTCTGCCCGGTGAGGCAGATTCTGGAACATCAGGTTTCATCAGTGGCTAAAGCCTGTCGGCTGCTGCTGTTCCCTCAGCATAGGAGTCATCTGCTCGCCTGATGCACATAGCGCTCCCTGGGGCTCCCGCATCAAGGATGGATGTGGCTTTTTTTTTTCTTTTTTGCTTTTTGGGTCACACCTGGCAATGCATAGGGGTCACTCATGGCTCTGCACTCAGAAATCACTCCTGGCAGTGTTCAGGAAACCATATGGGATGCTGGGAATCGAACCCGGGTCGGCTGCATGCAAGGCAAACACCCTATCCGCTGTGCTATTGCTCCAGCCCCGGATGTGGCTTTTAAGGAAACCAGTAATGTTTGAGGAGCCCGTTTCTTTCTCACCAACATGATCATGAATGATGTTGATGGCAGCTGTCTGTAAGAGCTTCATAGTGTTTTAAACTTTTTTTTTTGCTTTTTTTTGGGGGTCACACCTGGTGATGTACAGGGGTCACTCCTGGCTCTGCACTCAGGAATCACTCCTGGTGGTGCTCAGGGGACCATATGGGATGCTGGGAATCGAACCCGGGTCGGCCACGTGCAAGGCAAACGCCCTACCTGCTGTGCTATCTCTCCAGCCCCATAAACTGTTTTGTTTTGGGAGCACACTCAGCGGTGCTCAGGACTAACTCCTGACTTGGCATTCAGGGATCATTCCTGGTGGTGCTGAGAATCATATGGTATGTCAGGAATCAAACCGGGGTAGGCTACATGCAAGGCAAGTGCCCTACCTGCTATTCTTCTTCTTTGGCACATAAGGTAACAAGGTAACAGTTTCATAGCCCCAAAGGAGAGAAAATGCTACTGATGAAATACACCTTGCCTAGTCATTTCTGGGGGAAGGGATCTTTTGGCTTATCCCTGGCAGTGCTGGGGCCTCCCCAGCTCAGGGGTGGAGTGGGGTATAGCTTCCAGGTATATTCAGGAGACAATGAGGTGTCGAGGATGAACCGAGCGTCTAGGGTCCAAGACATAAGGGCCAGCTGGGACTTGACCTGGTCTCACCTTGTTTCATGGCATATTCTGACTTCACAGATGTTGAGGTGTGAAAACGTATGTCTTAGGGTGGATGGAAGCTGTCCTTAGCTTGGTTCTTGTCTCTTCAACCGGAATTTCTTAGACTTTTTCCACTGTGACCCTTTGCTGCCTGAAACACACAGTGTGGGTGGACACTGTCCCAAACTCCTCGGTTCATTAGGCGGTTGATTTGGAGTTCATATTTGGTGGTTGTGCATTCAGAAGCCGTTCCTATAGGTGACTTTCACACCCCCCACATTCAGTTGCGTGACCCCTGTGGGCTTGCAACCCCCGGGTCAGAAGGGGCTAATGTCTCACAGCCTGTTTGGAGCGCTGTGGAGGCAGCACTGCAGCCCGTAAGCCTCAGCTGTGTGCTGTCATGGGCCGGGCTGATGGCCAGTCCCGAGCTGCAGAGGTGGACAGACAGGGCTCTCTGGGGGTGGAGACCGAGGGGAGCAAGGGGAGGGAGCGGCGGCAGGTGGCGAGGAGAGCCGGGACGTGGGCTGGGCGGAGTGTGTTACCTGACTGCGGTCTCTGCACAGGGAGCCCGTGTACGGGTTCACGCCTCTGATGGAAGCAGCGGCAGCCGGCCACGAGATCATCGTGCAGTGCTTTCTGAACCACGTAAGTGAGTGTCACGGCAGGTGGGGTCACCGGGCTAGCAGCTGCGACAGAGCTTGCTTCTGACGGAAGTTTGTGCCACCACCCACCTGTGCGGCACCTTCTCGCAGGCCGGAGCTGCAGGCAGTGCTTGGGCATTAGAGGTTTGGTGGCGAGTGAAAATAGCCAAGCTGGGGGCTGCCAGGCAGGGTGGAGCGTAAGGTGCTTGCCTTGCGTGCAGCCAGCTCCAGTTCGTCCCCGGGCTCCTGACCCAGCCTCCCCAGGAGAGAGCTTGGGCTGGAGCACATGGTCTGCCAGGAGGTCTTCACTGAGAGAGCTGGCCTCTAGCTCTGCTAGACCCCTGGGCACAGCCAGGCGCAGCTGCCAAGCATCAGTGTGGGACTAGTTCCCAGCACTTCTCCTCGCCCCACAATTAGCAGATATGGGGGCCAGAGCAGTAGTACTGAATGTCGGGTGCTTGCATTACATGGTTTGCATGCAACTTGGATCCCGGGCACCCCATTTGTTCCCCATGTATGGAGCACCACTAGGAGTGATCCCTGAGTAGGGCCAGGGGTAAGCCCTAAGCATGACTGGGTATGCCCCACAAACCACCATCACTCCATTGCCACAATGAGCGTGAAGGTAGAGTAGCTCGCCCCTTCCTGGTCACCCGCCCCTCCCTCCCCAGCACACCCACAGCTTTTTTGGGAAGGGGCCACACTCAGCAGTGCTCAGGGCTTACTCCTGTCTCTGCACTCAGGGATCACTCCCGGTGGGCCTGGGGCCCATCTGGGGTGCCTGGGTTGAACCCCAGTCAGCCACGTGCAAGGCAGGTGCCTCCCCGGTGTGCCATTGCTCCAGCCCACCTGCTGCTTTCATTTTGGGTTTTCGTGCTTTGGGAGTTTTTGGGTCACACTCCACACTGTTCAGGACATACTCTTGGATCTGTGCGCAGGGATCACTCCTGGCAGGGCTTCTAGGACCATAAGGGATGCTGTGAATCGAACCCAAGTTGACTGTGTGCACAAGCCCTTCCCATTGTCCTGCTGCTCCAACCACACTCCTATTATGCTAGAGACCCAGCACTTTTCCAGGAGAAAGGGGTATCCCTGCCTGAACAACCAGCATGGGCACTGGGGCCCAAGAGATAGCACAGCGGAGAGGGTGTTTGTCTTGTACACAGCTGACCAGGTTCCATCCCCGGCATCCCAGATGGTCCTCCAAGCACTGTCAGGAGTAATTTCTGAATGCAGAGCCAGGAGTAACACCTGAGCATTGCTGAGTGTGACCCAAAAAGCAAAACAACAAAACAAAACATGGGATACAATCATACATTTACTCGTCATCTTTTAAAAGTGATTTAACATGCCATGAGTAGTTTAGTCTTGTACTGTGTTCCATTCAAAAGGTAAAGGCCCTCCCGTTGATCGTCGATTTGCTCGAGCGGGCCCAGTAACGTCTCCATTGGAGACTTTGTTGTTACTGTGTCTGGCATATTGAATACTCTCGGTAGCTTGCCGGGCTCTCCGAGAGGGGCGGAGGAATCGAACTTGGGTCGGCCATGTTGGCTGCGTGCAAGGCAAACGCCCTACCGCTGTGCTATCGCTCCAGCCCTTGTTCCATTCAAAATCAGTCAAAATTAGTTTGTTATCTTCTTAGTAGGAAAATTTAGGTTTTCAACATTTTGCAGTTTAAAAAGTACTTTAGGAACTATCTGGCACACAGTTTTAGTGTACCTACAGTTATTTCTGTGTTTCTGCAAGCAGGATAGTTGGTGCTCATGATTTTAACTTATTAATAAAAAGTTCAATTGAAAGATGGGCAAAGGGGGCTGGAGAGAGAGCGCGGCAGGTAGGATGTTTGCCTTGCACGCAGCTGACCGGGTTCGATTCCCAGCATCCCATATGGTCCTCTGAGCACCGCCAGGAGTAACTCCTGAGTGCAGAGCCAGGAGGAACCTCTGTGCTTCGCCGGGTGTGACCCAAAAAGAAAAAAAAAAAAAAGAATGATACCTTAGTACAGAATCAGGAGTAAGCCCTGAGTGCTACCAGGAGTAATTCCTGAGCAAAAAGCCGGAGGGAGTAAGCCCTGAACACATCTGGGTTGGACCCCTCGCAACAAAAGTGAAGAAGGAAAAAAAGGGAGAGGAAGGGAAAAAGAAGCTGGCTCCCTCTTGGGATTGGAAAAAGTGAGTCACGCTGACTTGGTCTGCAGCCTTGGGACACGCTCGGGGTGGCAGAGCACTGGGTGCTGGTCTGTGTCAGTCCTGTCCCGGCTCTGTGCTCGTGTCACCTGTGATGTGCAGATGCAGTGAGCAGGCTGACAGGAGCATCATACTGAGCATGCGCACCTGCGCGGGTGAGTCCCGGAAGGCAGGGTGCCGGGATGGTGCTCAGTGGGGAGGCCGCTCTCTGGGCCTAAAGGATAAATCGCCTCCTTCCTCAGGAACCGTCTCCGTTACTGCTAGCTCCCCCTGCCCTGAGGAGTGGGACAGGACTGGCCTTTCCCGCTCAGCGTGTAACACTAAGGCCGCCTTCCAGCTCCCTGTGGCACTTCCGACGAGACGGACTGCTGTACCTACTGGGCTTTTCCTGGGTCCAGACAAACGGAAATAGGGGTCACGCTTGACTTCTTAGCCCAGTGTGGGGCCAGAGTCTGGCACTCAGCCCGGTGCTCAGGGGTGCGGCTGCTGGCTTGGCCTCAGGTTCACCCAGTGCAGGCTTGTGTGCTGCCCGGGAGCCATATCCCTGGCCTCCTGGAAGTCTGAGAGGGCCTCCTGAGCAGTCCTGGCGTGACTGAGGTCTGTTGACAACACTCAGCCAGTGGGGCAGTCGGTGGGAGGGTCCCGCAGTGTCGGGGATTCACCTCGGGGCCTCAAGGTTTCTACCCTGCCCCTGGGCTCTTCCTGTGAACCTAGATATGATCCCTTGTCTATTTCCTCTTTTCATCCGTGTGGGTCCTGCACTCAGGAATTACTCTTAGTGGTGTTCAGGAGACCCTGTGGAATGCTAGTGATCAAACTTGGGTCAGCCACGTGCAAGGCAAGTGCCCTCCCCACTGGGCTATCGCTCTGGTCTCTGTTTCCTCCTTTTGGACTACACTCAGCAGCCCCCCCCCCCCCCCCCAGGGCCCAAGGAGCTCTGCACCTTGGCGCGAGCATTTGTCTTCGTGTCTCCTGGGACCTGGGAGCACACTTGGGAGGCACCCCAGTACCCCAAAAAATACCGGAAATGGGAAGATGAGGCAGATTCTTGTTCTTCACCTGCACACAATGACAGCAGGAAGATAATTGTTCTGTTCGGGGGTCACACCTGGTAGTACCTGCGGCCCATTGGTACCAGGATGGCACCCAGGCTCCTGCCTATAAAGCCTGTGCCCACTGAGCATCTGCCTGAGGCCAGGGCCGCACAGTCCTAGGGGGCTTCTGACCCTGCCGCCAACTCCACAGGGAGTCCAAGTGGACACGAGGGACCACAGCGGGGCCACTGCCCGCATGCTGGCTAGGCAGTATGGACACATGAAGATCGTGAGCCTGATTGATGCGCACTCGCCCGCTCTGCCCAAGAGCCTCTTCTGGGGCCCAGGTACCGCCTCGGGGTTCACTTCTCCCTCCTGCCTGGCACTGCCCTCCCCGGACACACTCCCGACTCACGCCTTTGCTCATGCCTTGGGTCACTGCAATTCCTGCTGTCGCTAGATCAGCTTCTGTGTCTCGGGTCTGAGTGGCAGGAGTTCTTTCCTGCGTCTTGCTGGACAGGAAGTGCCCGTACCTGCCTTGTGCTTCTCTGGTTTCACAGGGTCACTCGCACTTTGTTTTCTCCCTGGTTCTGAGGTGCGCTTCTCTCCACTGGTGGCCCGTGTCCATTCTGTGTCATCCAGTAGCCGCATTGGCCGGACGATGGGTGCCCTTTGGTGCCCGAGCTGTCTGGACTTCCTGTGTGCCTGGGGCTGCCAGTCATAGCTTTTGCAACAGGTCTTGCTCTCCTCTGAAATCCCCTTTAGCAGTTTCCTGTTGCTTGGTGCGCCCCAGCGTCTCACCTGGCACACCCCTGGAAACAGGCTTTTCTTAGAGTGGGCTGACCAGCACTCATGACTTTCCTCTGGGTCACTGTCACCAGCTCTTCATTTTGGCCCTTGACCCACAGAGCAGTACCAGGATCTGAGCTCTTCAGATGAGTCGTGCCCCGCCCCGCAGAGGCAGCGGCCCTTTCGGAAGAAGGGCCTTAGCATCCACGAGGGTCCTCGTGCCCTGGCCAGGATCACAGCCATCGGCCTGGGGGCCAAGACCCAGCAGCCTCGCTACGGTGAGCAGGACAGTGGCTCAGGGAGGGATTCGGAATGGTGACAGTCCCTGCCTTGGTCTAGCTCCTTGGACTCTCCTTTGCCTGGGTTACAGTGACAGCACTTCCTCTCCCGAGGCAGAAGTGCGCATCGCGGCGTAGGTCACTCGCGCAGAACTGAGGCAGAGGATTCGGCTTCCTGTCTGCCTGGTTCCTGTCCCCCTCCCCCCATGTCCCTGGGGGGGGGGCTCCCTGCAGGCCCGCGCCTTCCCTTGCCTCAGGGTGTCTTCCTGCCGCCTCTGTCCACAGAGCAGGCGCCTCCGCGGGGCTATGTCACCTTCACCAGCAGTGACGAGAACCCTCTGGACGCAGGAAGCCTCCGCTACAGGGACGTCACCTCCCCCATCAACGACAGGGACGTGGAAAGCAGCAGCAGCAGTAGCCGTGGTAAGCACGCCTCCGCAGCCCCTTGCACTCCTCATTCCACCCTGCCTGCCCTGCACCCCTGCACGGTGCCACGCGAGCGGACTCTGACGTGGGGCCGCCGTGTCGCCGCCCTCCAGCTCCATGTGGTGCTGGCCCTGTGATGCCTCCATCCAGTGGTGCGGGCGGGCAGAATGCAGAAGAGCAGGTTCCAGTGGGTTGCTGGGGTCACCTGTTGTGTCCGCTTCAGCGACAGGCCGCCCCGCCGGCTCCACAGAGATTCAGTGGACAGCCCCGCCCCGCCCAGGGATGGGGCAGTGCGGGCATGGCTGCAGGCTCAGGGTCCCCTGTCCCCTGTCCCGCCGTCTCCAGAGGAATGCGCCTTCCGTGCGGACTGCGGCGTCGCGCGGAGCAGCAGCAGCGAGGGGCTGGCCCGAGCCCCGGGCCTCAGCAGCGAGGGCTCCTTGGAAAGCAACGAGGTACCCATCCCCCGGGAGACTGGCAAGTGGGAAGAGCTTCGTGCCAGCGCTGCCCACTGAGGTCAGGTGGGGACGGCGGGGCCCTCCGGGGTGACGGGAAATGCATCCTCATGCTCCAGGATTCGGACCCTGTGCGTAAGAGCCCCGCTCGCAGACAGGCGAGAAGCTACGTGAAAGTTAAGAACCGCCACGGCAGCAGCGACAGCCAGTGGCCCCCCAGCCCCGGGCCCCTGGGGGCAGCCTGCTCCCCTGTGTCTGGCCCCCAGGTTGAGAAACCCGCCTCATCAGGACCCCAGGTGAGACCCCGCTGGGGATGATGGGGTGACACTTGGGGGGCTCTCTGGGCCAGGCCTGAAGAACAGGCGTGCACACGGTCCCCCAGAAGACCCGTTGTCCTGCCCACCTGGTGCCTTGGGAGTCTGAGCCCCTGGCACTGGCGGGCTGCAGGTGGCTTCTGGGTCCCGTATTCATTTCTACACCTGGGGCAGAAAACTCCATCTCTGGGGCCTGCAGTGAGGGCAGCGCAGAGCACATGCTCTGGGAGCACTGCCTTCCGCCTGCCACCTGAGGGCAGTGCAGCAGTGCTCAGAGAGCACTGCCTTCCGCCTTCTACCCGAGCGAGGGCAGCACAGAGCACAAGCTCAGGCAGCACTGCCTTCCACCTCGCACCCGAGTGAGGCTGAGGGCAGCAATGACAGCTCCTTGCTTCACTGGCATTCGTGGTAACGAGGGCGTGAGGGGCACCACGGGAGCAGCTTTCTCGGCTCTGCTCTCCAAGCTACTGGCAGCTTCCCCGCAGGGAGCTCTCCTGGGTCCCCCATTTGGGGGTGAATGCTGGCACCTGTAGCTTTCTGCTGGCTGGTTATTTTGGGGGGGGGCACACCCAATGATGCTCGGGGGGTTACTCCTGGCTCTGTGCTCAGGAATTACTCCTGGAGGTGCTCGGGTACCAAATGGTCAGTCACGTGTAAAGCCTTACCCGCTGTACTACTGCTCTGGCCCCTTTTTTCTTCTTTGGCTTTCTGGATTACACCTGGTGGTACCCAGTGTCTACTCTGTTGCTCTTTTTTTGTTGTGGGACCACACCTGGCAGTGCTCAGGGCTTACTCCAGGTAGGCCTGGGGGACCACATGGAATGACTGCAGGGGAAGTCCCCTTCCCACTGTCCTGTAACTCCAGCCTCAGCAACTGTCTCGATGCTGAGAGGAGCCTGGGCCTCCAGTCTGCGGAAACGGAGCCTCTCCCTGAGCCGTTCCTGGCCCTGGGTCTTCGGGGCCAGGACGGGGCGGGAATCTGCTTCTTTACCCAGACCTAATGGTGGGGCTGACTGTTTGCAGGACTCTAGCACTCACGGAGACCTGTTCTTCGTGGGGCAGCACCGGGTTCTCGCTGGGTCTCAGCTGTGGGGGAGCCGCTTCCTGGCAAGTGGGGAGACCCCAGCTGCTGAAAGTCCCCGCAGGGAGTCACCCTGTTTACTGGGGGGCTGGATGGGCTCAGTTGCTCCTGGCTTTGCGCACAGGAATGATCCTCGCTGAGTGGGGCCAACTGCCGCCCCTCTGGAGGGTCACCTGCAGCCGAAGGAAGACCTGCGGTCACTGCCCGGCCCGAGGCACAGGAAATAGCAAAGGCGGTTCTTCAGAGCAGCAGCATGTCCATGGCCTGGGGTCTCGGTTGGACCAGGACGACTCCACCCAGAATGGAGTCGGGGGGCAGGGCCTCTGCTTTACCCCGGAGGGCACCGAGTGCCACCTCCGATCAAAGCAGAGCCCTCTCTGGCCGCACCCCTTCTTGAGATGAGGGCACGGGGCAGGGGCCGCCTGTGGCCAGCTTGGGGACTCGGGGTTACGTCACAAGAGGGAGACTGTGGGCTGGTGCTGCAAAGGTGTCCACGTCCAAGTCCTCTCCGTGTGACTGAAGAACTGAAGCCAGTTGGGGTGAGGCCACAGGGCCGCCCCTGGGACACAGGACTCAGGCCCTGCCCTCCCCCCCAGGACCTTGCCACGCTGCTGGAGCAGATCGGGTGCTTGAAGTACCTGCAGCTGTTCGAGGAGCAGGACGTGGATCTCCGCGTCTTCCTCACCCTCACCGAGAGCGACCTGAAGGAGATCGGCGTCACGTGAGTCAGGGCGCCGGCGCCACCTCCGCTGCTCGGCGCAGGCTCCAGCGGGCCGTGCTTGAGGGACCAGGCGCCGTATCCCTGGAGGCCCCTTTCCTGTAGCCACTGCCCATGCATGGGAGCTGCCGCCTCTCACTCCTGCAGATTGTTTGGGCCCAAGAGGAAGATGACCTCCGCCATTGCCCGCTGGCACAGCAGCGCCCGGCCCCCCAGCGATGCCCTGGAGCTGGCCTACGCTGACCGGCTGGAGGCCGAGATGCAGGAGCTTGCCATCCAGCTGCACAGAGTGAGCCACCACCGGGGGCACTGCAGGGCCACAGGCTGGAGGGTGGCCCTCGGCTCCCACACGGCAGAGCCGTGGGGGGATAGTGGCACGGAGCAGTGCTCAGAGCACCGCAGAGGGTGAGTTGCGGACCAGGGCGTAGGGGCCTGGCGCCCTGATTCCTCCCTGGTCTGCAGCGGTGTGAGGAGGTGGAGGCCATGCGGGGCCAGGTGTCGCAGGAGCAGGAGCTGCGGGCTGTGGTGGAGGGCTGCCTCCTGGAGCAGGGCAGTGCCCGCAAGGACACCCACGACCGCCTGCAGGAAGCCTGGGCGCAGGCCCACGATGCTGCACTCGTTTTGGACCAGCTACGGTGAGGGGGTGTCTGGGCCCTGTCTCCTCCACTCTTGAATCTGGGGGTCTGTATCAGGACCTCTGGGACCCTTCACTGCGCCTTCTCACTGCAGGAGACAAGTGTGGCTCACACAACAGTCTGTCTCCGCTGGTCCCTCGGGGTGGCAGGGAGGTGGTCAGGGTTCTGCCCTCACCAGTGCTGGTGCCCACAGGGCCTGTCAAGTGCAGCTGTCAGCACGACTGAGGGGGGACGAGTCCTCCAGCGCAGCCCCGGGTTCCCCAACAGCAGGTAAGGAGGAGCCTGGGTGGAGCCTGGGGGGGTATCTCCCTACTAGACAGGCCTAAGAGCTGCCCCAGCCACCGGCCTCTGCCCCACAGACTGGCAGGCCTCCCTGCAGGGCCTCAGCCTCCTCGAGCTATCCGGCATGTTGGAGGACCGAGTCCGGGAGCTGGGTGAGTCTCCCAGAGAGCCGTGGTGGGCGGGGCCTTTGGACACAGCCTCCAGAGGCTTCAAGTTCATCCATTCCAACCCCCCAATGGGCCAAGCAGTGCTGTGCCCCCTCTGCAGGCCATGTGCTGTGTGCAGTGACCCAGAGCCTGGACAAGCTGCGGGGCAAAGAGAACTGGCGGGAGCCGTAGCCGGCGGGTGGTGAGTCTGGGCCGGAGCCTGCACAGGGGAGCAGGGCCCAGTGCTCCACGGCACTCACTCAGCCCGGCGCTCCCTTCTCAGAACCTGACGTCGGGTGACAATCCACCCGGAAGCCGAGCAGCAGAGGGCAGTGCCACTGGCAGCAGCCCAGGCCCCAGGGGCCCGAGGACCTGCCGTCCCAGGAGCAGACGAACAGGAGCCACAGCGGCCCACCGCGAGGCAGGACAGAGCCACACCCGGAGCCACTGGGAGGCCCAGAGCAGGCAGGCCCTGGGCAGGGTGACCCTCACCACAGGTGCCAGCGAAATGGCGAGAGGGAGTGCTGGACAGCAGGGCATTTGCTGGAAAATAAACTTCAGAACAGCTGTGACAAGGCTCAGTTGTGGTCACGGACCAAAGCATGGGGATCTGGGCCGAGCCCCCAGATGCGCAGAGGCTCCGTGGGGCGTTTCTAAGGACCAGAAACTGACTCCCGAGGTGGCCCACAGGGAGTCGGGAGGTAGACAGACGGGGGATATCTCCAGACACAGGACAGAGACCAGGTGGTCGCCATTGTCCATGCTGGCTGTTCGATGCCCCTCTGCACACACGGTCAGTGCTTCCAGCCATCCCCCGGCCCTGCCCGCAGAGTGCTGGGAATGGAGAAGGGGAGGGGGCTGGAGCAGGAAGAAGGACACGGAGCAGCAGAGAAACCACTTTACTCTCCATCCCTCCAAATGCCTCTGCAGTTGGGCACCGCCTAGGGACCAAGCCCCAGAGGGGCAGGGCTGGTCTGCAGCCTCCTTGGGTCACGTGGGCAAGAACACAAACCCAGCAAAGCCAGCAGCAGGGCAGGACAGGGTCCCCGGACGAGCCTTGTCCCCCACGGGAACAAACCGACCCCAGGAGACCCGGAAGTGTGCACTGCCCACAGAGAACCAGGGCCTCCGCCAGCCTGGGAAGAGCCTCCCCCGAGGAGGGCTGCGTGGAAGGCAAGGCTAACACCCGGCGCCCCTGTCCAGACCGCGGTCGAACGGGGCACACGTGGACACGCTGGCAAACACGCATGGGGAAAGGGGTGGCTCGCCCAGCTCGGCAGGGAAGGTGACCACCTCGGTGGCCAGCGCAGCCTCAGGAAGAAGAGGGGGCAGGGAGCAGCTTCTCCAGGGCCTTCTTCTGCTTCTCGGTGGCCGCGGCCAGTGCCTCAGCCAGCTTCTCCTCGGGCATCATGTTGAGCACCTTGAGGGCGAAGAGCAGCTGGTACTTGGCCGTGCTGATGAAGGCGTTGCTCAGGAAGTTGGGGAAGCCGCCCACCCGGTCCTTCTGCGTGTACAGCGGGACGCGCACCAGCCCCAGCACCTGGGGAGCACAGGGCAGCGTTGGGGCCGGCAGCCGCGCAGGGGGACCTGGGCGCGGTGGGGGAAGCGGGGCGCCAGGCGGGGGGGGGGCGCGGAGGCAGCCTCCGCCCCCCCCCAAGCAGGGATCAAGGCCACCCCATGCTCCCCCTTCCGTCCTCCCCCCCCGAACCCGTCGCCCCTTTCCCCCAGGCCCACAACCCCCGACCGACCCCCCAGCCCGGCTTCCCGCCTCCCCGAGACGCCCGCCCCGGCCTGTCCCCCACCCCGCTCCCACTCCAGGATTGGCTATGGCAGGCAGCAAGGCAGATGGGACACAGCCCCGAGGGAGCCCCAGCCCTGGACCCGTCCCCGATCCCGCTCCCCAGCCCGTGCCGAGACAGCGACGCCCCCGCCCGCCCGGCAGGGACCCTCCGGGGACGTGTTACCCATCGGTGCCTTCCGCGGGGCCAGAGCCAAACCCCGGGGCGGGGGGCGGGGCCCGGGCGGCGGCCCCACCTCCAGGCCGTGGTCGCGCGAGTGCACCGCGCTGATCTCCACGGCGTGCAGCTGCTCCAGCGTCAGCTGCCGCGCGTACAGGTGCGCCACGACGCGGTGCGGGCCCTCGGTCAGGTGCGAGCTCAGGTAGTCGGCCTCGGTGAGGCGCAGGCAGCCCAGGCCCAGGCCCAGCACCCGGTTCAGTCCGTCCTCCAGCGACCAGAAGCGCCGGTCCACGAAGCCGCCGGGGAAGCCCAGCAGCCCGTCGAAGCGCATCTGCATCTGCAAGGGAGCCGGGTCACGGCGGCCCTGCGGCCCGAACGGCGCGGCCCGGCCCGGCCCGGCCCGGCCCCCGCCCGGCCGCGTCCTCACCAGCACCGAGAAGCGCATGGGGATGCGGCCGAAGAGCTGCCCCGGGTTGGCGGCGTACAGCATGGCGTGGCACGAGTGGCTCCAGCCGGGCCCCAGGCGCATCGCCTCCACCCGGCTGATCTGCTTCAGCTCCGGCACCGCCGTCGTCGACATCTTGGCACGGCCCCCCCGACCGCCGCCGCCGCCGCCGCCGCCGCCGCCGCCGCCCGCGAGCTGCCCCTCAGGGGCATGCGCGGGCCCGCCCCCGCCGCCCGCCGCCAATCCGCGCGCAGGGTGGCGCCCCGGACCCGCCCTCCCGCCAATCGCCGGCGCCGACGCAGCCGGGCTCGTTCCGGCGCTCCGCCGCGTCGTTGAGAGGCGGAAGGGGCGGCGCGCAAGGACGCGCGCCCCGGCCGCCGCCCAATAGGCGCGCACCGCGAGCGGGGGCCCCGCCCCCGGCAGCGCCCGGAGTGCACCGCGCCGGGCCCGGCCCCGCCCCCGCCTCCAGGCCCCGCCCCCTGCCTCCAGGCCCAGTCGCAGGTGCTTGGCCAGGTGCTCTGGGCCTCTTGTCCAGCCTGCCGGGTGGTCGATGACCGGAAGCACCTAAGTGTCCTTAGCCCGGACTCCCAACGTCCACGGGCGCCTCCCGACTGCAGAGGAGGAAGCTCCTGACCTACAGGCAGGAATCACCACCGGGAGAGAGCGAGGGGGCCCCCAGATCCTCGCAGGGTGACTCATGGAGCCCAGATGACCTCTGACAGACGGTGCCCTCCGGCTGCTGCTAGGGGGCATGGTCGGCGAGGGGGCGGACCCTCTGCCCTGCAGGCACCGTGCCCAGAGCGGCTGACGGACTGCTGAGGGTCGGCTGCAAGGCGCGGCAGGCAGGGGGCACTCAGAGGAGGGCCAGTCCCAGGAGCCCCGCCTGGCGGAGGGGCACAACCCAGCTCCCGCCTGTAGGGGTGCAGTGGCCCTGCCTGACCTAGAGGCATGGGCAGGTGCGGGGCTGGCGGGGAAGCGGGGAAGCCCACCCGCCACTGCGAGAGCCTGGCTGGGAAACAGCCCTTCCCTGCAGCACCAGACCACGCCAGGATCAGCGGGGCTCCAGGCTGAGCTGGGACAGGGTTCGAACACCCTGCCACTCAGCCTGTCCCCACGTGCCCGCTTCAAGGTCCTGTTTCCCCACGCCCCCCTCCGCCCCGCTTCCTTCAGGGCCACAAGAGGCTCATTCCTGCCAGCTTCCATGTTCCTTTCCTTCACCCACTGCCTTTTCTCTTTAAACTGACTAACCCTGGGGCTGCAGCGACAGCACAGCGGGTGGGGCGTTTGCCTTGCACGCTGCCCGACCCTGGTTCAATTCCCAGCATCCCATCTGGTCCCCGAGCATGGCCAGGAGTAATTCCTGAGTGCACGAACCAGGAGTGACCATTATGCATCGCTGGGTGTGACCCAAAAATAAAGAAATAAAAATAATAAAGTAACTAACCCTAGAAGGCCCAGGTTGCTGTCTCTACATCAGTGTCATGCCGCCACGTCCCTGCTCAGGGACCAGAACCCCAGGATCCCCTCTGCAGCTCCACAGCAGGTTGCTCCCCAGTGTGCCCCGTCCTGCTTTCCCACAAAGAAGTGCCGACAGGGCCTCACTGCAGGATTTTATTACTACAAATGTACAGTAAAAACAGACCCAAGCCAGCCAATCAGATGCATCGGCTGACGCTGATGTCTCATGAAGTCCGAGACAAGCCGGTGGCCCCCCATGGTAAGGGACCAGTAGGGGGTCCTGGCCGGAGAGACTGGGGCCAGGTGGAGGGAGAGGGCTGACCTGGGGCACCCAGCCCCGGTGTGCGCTGCTGGAAGGGAAGTGGCACAATTCCCATCACCCAGCCCTGCAGGACATGTAATGTTCCAGGCCCTGACAGCTGGAAGGGGGCTTGTCCCCAGGAGGAAGTGTGGGCACTAAAGGGGGTATGCCTAGCCCGTGGCGCTTGACCCCAAGTCATTCTATTGCTTGGGGGTGGGGGAAGTCACCTCAGCCGGGACCCAGCTCCCTGGGAAAGCCGCTGGTCCTGGTTCCCAGCCGGCCCTGGGGGTGCCCCAAGGGCACAAGATGAGGAACCTGGGAGTGAGTTTCGGAGGTGAGGCCGGCTGGCTGTCGGGCACTGAGCTCAGGGACCGAAGAGGGCAGTTCTGAGGAGGCCGGGTGCCCTGGGGCTGGAGTGGGGAGCCTGCAAGATGGGGCTGGTGGCAGCGTGACGGGTGGGGGCACAGAGGGACAGAGGGCGACCAGGCAGGCACCACTTCACTGGCCGTGACCAGGCCTGCTTTCCCCTCCACCCAGTTCTCTTCTGCAGGTGTGCGGAGTTCCCAGGTGGCTGGCCCGTCAAGGCACCGGCCGCTGGAGGGGGTCTGTGGGCTGTGCGCTGTGCTCAGGGTCCTCGGGTTCCTCAGAGGTGGGAGAGGCAGGGGGGCCGCCTGGAGTCAGGAGCTGAGGGCTCAGGCCCCACTGGCAGGCTCAGAGGGGGGTCAGCTCGGTGGTCCCCGGCTCAGGACTGGAGCCACCCGGCGGGGGGGGCCTGGGGGCGCTGGTGCTGCGAAGGCTGCGGGGTGTGTCCAGGGAGGTGGGCCATCCTGGGGGCAGAGGGGGGGACGCTCAGACCACCCCACAGATGAAGCCCAGCCAGTCCCGCTGAGGGGCTCCCGCGGGGGCTTGGGCAGCCCTGGGCCAGCTGGTACCTGGCAGGCAGATGTCGGCGGGGGCGCCGCAGCCTCGCTGTTCTGGGCTGTCCTGCAGCACGTTCTCTATGGAGGGAGCTCGGCTTCCTGCAGGGACACAGGGGGCAGAAGCTGTGGGCCCCCACCCCTGCGGAGACCCCCCTCCTGCCGCCACTGGCCCTGGGGCTCTGGGAACCCATCTGGCCCCCAGGGGGGCCCATTCCCCAGCCCCAGGTGTGGTGCTGTGCTCCCAGCTGGGGGGCTGCTCCCCAGGAAGGGCTGGAGGGTGGAGGTGGCACAGGGAGGGGAGAGAAGGGGGCCCTGCCGGGGGTCCCAAGGGGACAGGGGCAACCGCTCAGCCTGGTCACTGTCAGGCTCAGCCTCCCACCCAGCGCGACTATAGGGGGGCCCCTCTGGCAGGTGGGAGAGTGTGGGGAGGGGGATCCCCGGAAGCCCCTTCACCAGAACGGAGACTGACCTTGCTTGGGGGACGTCGTCTCCTCAGGTTCCTCCATCACGAAACTCTAGAAGCAAAGGCACACGGGCTGGGGCCAGGCTCTGGGGGTGTGTGGGGATCTCGGGCGCTAGCCCGAGGGAGGAGGGCCAGGCAGGGGCAGGGTCCTCACCTCTGGGGAGCTGCTGAGCACGGGGGGCAGCGGCGAGTCCTGAGAGAGTGGCTCCTCGTCCAGGTGGGTGGGGGACGGCGGGGAGTGCAGGGTGCTGGGGGCAGGAGAACGCGGGGGGCAGGCCCGTGTCATGCCAGGCTCTGCTGCAGGAGTTCAGGGGCTGGTTCCCGCGGGGCTCGGGGGCTGCACAGTGCCGGCTGACGCCCATGCTGTGTACAATGGCTTTGGGCTGTACCAGGCGGTGTTGGGGACATGTGGTGTGGAGGGGAGGGGGGACCCCAGCCCGACGCCTGCGTCCTTTCCCCGTCCAAGCAGGGCAAGGGGTGGCTTGATGCTCCCGATCCTGCTGTGGGCTGCGGAGGCCGAGACCCCCTTCTCCGTCCTGGGCCCCCGCGGGCACCCTCACCTGTCCGGGGACTTGGTCCGTGGCGCCATCTGCAGGCGCTCCATCCCTGCGCGGGGACAGCTGGCCTGGGACAGGCCATCCGAGCCAGCCGAGGAAGTGACCTCCTCATAGAGGGGGGCTGACGGCAGGGCCGGGGATGCGGCCCTGAGGCCGTTGAGCGCCTCAAGCAGGGAGATGGGCTCATAGCCAGGCGGGACGCTGTCAGGGCTCTGTGGGGACGAGGGTGGCTGAGGGTGGCTCGGCCGAATCCCCCGGAACACCCACATCCCCGCGCAGGCTCGCAGAGGCCCCAGGGCGAGGCAATGACCTCAGCGGGGCTGGGGGTGAGTCAAAGGAGCAGAGCGGCCGGGCAGAGGTGAGAGTCGGGCAGGGGCCCCCAGGGAGCTCCGCGGGGTGGCCAGAGTCCCTGGGGTCAGGTCTCCATGTTTCTGACCCCTCCCCCTGCCACCGGGTCCTCTGGGAGGAATGACCAGGGCTGCCACTCTCAGAAGCGCCAGGCGGACCCCAGGGGCCACCGGGACCTGGGGTCACTGCATCTGCTTCCAACCCAATTCAATAAAAGGTGAATGACTCCAAGTTCCCCTCCCCCCAAAAAACAGGAATGGCCTGACTCCTCCACAACCCCCCGGAAGTGTCTCGGGGGTCTGCCGAGGCCACTCGGTGCCCCCGGTGACCCCAGCCGCAGGGAAAAGGCATAGAAACCTCTTCTGAGCCCCAGGAGCTCAGAGGGGGGCAGGGGTGCGGGTGACAGGCAGCTCCCCACAAGGCCCGCCCACTGCCAGCAAGAAACCCCAAGGGAAACGGGTGCTGGGGCGGGGCGGGGCCAAGCAGGTGAGCGCCCAGGGCAGAGGCCTGGCAGGCAGGGGGGGGCTGCAGCCCCGGCCCGCGCAGCACTTACTGTTTCCCTTTTAGGTTTCTTGCTGGCCAGGGAGGCAGGGTGCGACTTTGATTTTTTAAGGGGACACTGTCAAGATAAAAATCAGAAGTTTCACGCTGGCGCCTCCTGCGGGCGCTGGAGCTATGCTTGGGGGTGGCCTGTACGGATCTCAGGCCTCAAGAGCAGGTGGGCTAGGGGCTGCCGGGGCCAGGGGCTGTGAAGCAAGGCCCAGAGCCAGAGTTGGTCCCCCACGTCTGGGGCACCTGAGGCGCTTCCAGGAAGGAACAGGGAAGGAACTAGTAGCCCTGGGGCCACCGCAGGAAAGCACCCCAACCCTCATACCGTCCACGTCGAACGCTCAGCCCCCGATGCTCCCAGAACAAGGGGAACAAACGGGGGCTCGGAGGTCTCTGGGCAGGAACTTGGGGTACAGACACCTGGGACCTCAGGCCCCAGGCAGCTGGGCCCCAGGGTCCCCATCCTATGGGCAGCCTCGCACCTGCCCCATGGCTGTCACAAATGGGAGTTTTTGGGGAATCCCAATTTTAGATGCAGTTTCCAAGAGCCCAGGGGACACCCCAGGCCACACGGCTGTGGGCAGAGCCTGCCCCTGGCCACACCCCCTCTTCCCCGCATCTCACCCTCCCTAACCACTGCAGGCTCTGCCTGTCTGTCTGCGACCCCCTCTGGGAGACCCTGGAAGGGCAGGGTCCCACCTGACAGCAGCCCAGACACGTGCCAGGGGCTGCCACTGTGAGCCCCCACCTACCGCGTGTTCCTCATGATCCATGCTCTGGGCCAGCACAGGGCTGAAGGAGACGGGGGACAGTGCTCCGGGCTTCTTCCGCACTGCCCGGATCTGCAGAAGTGCCCGGAAGGCTGCACGGGGATGGGGGAGACGGGCCTCAGGGCAGGGAACACACTGGGACAGGGCCAGCCTCTCAAACCTTTGGACCGCGCGGCCTGCACGGTTGTCACCCCGATCTGCGACCCCTGGGCCAGCAGCAGGGGGCGGCAGCCTTCTGCCCAGTCGGGGATACCAGCAGCCTCTGCTCCCCTCCACACCAGGGCCTGGGAAGCACTGCCCTGAGGTGATGCTGGGCAGGCCCAGTCCAGAGGTTCCCATGTCGGGAGGTCAGGTGCAAGGACAGGAAAGGAGGGACAGTCAGCCCACAGCATGATGGAGAGGGAGATGTTAGACATGCCAGTCACGTGAGCGCCACACACACACAAACACACACACACACCAACAACCAGACACCAACACCCCCACACAGGCCACCAACAGGCACACACAGACTGCCAACAGTCCCACACATTACAAACACACACGTCACAAACACACGTCACATGCACACCAGCTTCCCACAAAAACACATTCCCAACAACCACAGAGACCAACAGCCACACACGGGCCAACACCCGCCCACGCCACCAACAGTGGCCCCAGGACCAGTCCCGTCCCCAAAGCTGCCGTGGCTGACCCTGCGGGGCTCAGCCGTCCTCTCCAGCCCAGGTTCGAGGGTCTGGTCCGGCCTTGGCACCTGCTCACACCCTTCTCTCCGTCCTGGCTGCACCATGGGCCACATGACCCATGTGAGCCAGGGTGAACCCTCCCCCCCGCCCCCCATCCCACAGCAGCGCCCGCCGGGCCCCGCCCCACTCACGCAGGCGGCAGATGGGGCAGCTGCTGGCCTGGTAGCGCAGCGTGTCGGCGCAGGAGTTGCAGAGGCAGAGGTGGCGGCACGGCAGGATGAGTGTGTCCCGGAGGTCCGACAGGCACACCACGCACTCGCTGCTGTTGTCGCTGTTCTCCTCGTCCGCGGGCTGCGGAGGCGCCGGGCATGAGACTCAGGGGGTGGCACCCGGGCTGCTGTGGGGGAGGGGCGCCTGGGCAGGCGGGTGGGGCGGCCCCTGGGGACAGGGTCGCGGGGCAGCCCCAGCCCCCGTCAGGAAGGTCTCCCGGTGCCTGGAGCCAGGGCAGAGGCGCCCGCGGACACGCACCCGCTTCACGGGGCGATGCCTCCTCCTCCCCTGCTCCTCCAGCCGGCACACAGTACGGCCCATGGGAACCGTATACTCACACCGCACACACAGCACACGCACCGTGCGCAGAGCACACACAGCACACACGGCATATACAGCACACGCAAAGCACAAAGTACATATGCCCAGCACACAGAAAGCATATGCAGTATCCGCATACACAGCACAGCAGCACACACATAAACAGCACACGCAGTACACACAACACACGCCACACAGTACACAGCACAAACAGTATACACGTGGTACACACCGCACACACAGCACATGTACACATGCAGAGCACACACAGGACACAGCACGCACAAAGCACACACAGCACACGCTGTACAAACAGGACACAGCACAAGCACAACACACACACAGCACACAAACAGTGCATATGCACACATGCAGCGGGTGTACTACACACATGCGGCACATAGTACACACAGCCAACACACAGCGCGCACACACAGCTATGCACACACGCGCAGCACACACAACACAGCACATAGAAGACAGTACACACATCGCACATAGCACACGTGTATACAATCCACAAAACACAATGCAGCACATGAAGGCCCCGGGGACCAGTGCCACTGAGCCTCCAGCACTATGGCCCCAGGTCGGCTGCCTGGCTGGGGTCCGGGCCGCTGTGGACACTGCTGAGACCCCACAGGTTTCCAGGGGCAAAAGTCGTGCACCTGCTCGTGACTCTTTCGGTTCTACACCAAGGGCCAGGAGAGGACGGGCTGGACACCCGCTCCCGGTTACTCCTGGTGGGGCTGGGGGTCACAGACGGTGTCGGGCCCTCCCCGCTGATCCCATCTCCAGCCCCGGGGCGCAGGCTCTGCAGACAGCCGCCCCCAGCCGGACCTCAGCCCCCCAGGATGCAGCCCCCAACCGGCCTCCACCAACCACAGCACAGCCCACCCCGCCCCCAGGCCCCGCCACGCGCGAGTCACACCATCAGGCGGAGGGAAAGGCAGGGAGGGCGCCGTCCCACACAGGGTCCCCGAGCCCCTTCAGGAAAGACCCGAGCACGGCCGGCTGGAGCCCCCCCCGCCCCGCCAAAACAAGAGGATAAAACACGGGGGCCAGAGAATGCACCAGGCTGGAGCAAGCGCAGAGACCCTGGCCTGGTCCCGGCACCTGGGTCCCGAGCACTGAGCTGGGAGTAGGTCCCGAGCCCCAGACCCAAAAGAAAAGAACAGGACAGGGTACGGCTGCTATGTGCGGCCTCTGGGCCCACCTTCGTCTCCTGGCTGTTCTTGTTCTCGATGCCATAGATCTCCTGCAGCAGGTAGCTCACCCGGTCCACCTGGGGGCGAGAGCACGCCAATCCCCAGGAGCCGGACGCCAACCCCGACCCACCCTGGCTGCTTGGTTTCATGCCCCCCACTCCCAGGCAGACAAGGCCGAGTCCGTGACGGCAGGCCAGACAGTGCTCCGTCCCCATCACCATCCATGGCGGCCTCGGGGGGCAGGAAGGGGGCGAGCCACAGAGCCCAAGTTCCCGCAGACACTTACGATCTGCTTCTGCTTCAAAGGCTTCACCGAGAAGCTGCCATCCACGTGCTGCAGGGAGGACGTGGGGGTCAGCCGGGCCACCGGCGACGCGAGAGCCTCTCCACGCGGGGGCATGAGAGGGCGGCGGGGGCCTCCAGTCACAGGGTCACGGGGGACACAGGATACAGGACACAGGGGCACAGTACACGGGAGACACAGGACGTGGGACACAAAACATGGGACACCGAGGCATGGGACACGGGACACAGGACATGGGGACACCGAGACATGGGGACACAGGGTATGTGCAACTTCCCACCCACGACGTCCGGGACCCTGCTCCACTGCCCGCACTCCCAAACCCGGAACGGGGTGCGGTGGAGTTCGACGGCCTCATCCGAGTGGACAGAGGCCGGGCCCTGTGCGGAGCAGAGAGAGCTGGTCTGGCACTGGGGTCCAGCACGAGCCACACTCAAGGAGGGCGATTTCTAGAACCTTCTCCTTCCTACTCCCGGAAGGTGTGAAAGCCTGCCTGGGCCTCCCCCCACGCCCGTTCACACGGCCACACTTGTTGGGTCTGGGACAGAGGGCCAGGACAGCACCCACCTTTTCAAAGGCGGCCAAGAGCACGTGGGCGTGGCCAGTTACCTCCACCACTGCGGAAGGGAGGGGGCAGTCAGGGCTGCAGCCAGGCTCCCCTCTCCCTCTGGCCCTGCCACACCCCCGGCCCCCCCAAGCCCCAGGACGAAGGGGCCGCACAGGGACAACCCATTCCATCTCCTGCCACCCCCAGGGCTTCAAGTGATCTGGGTCTCACCATCGCCTTCATCCACCACGGCCTGGATGACCACTGGAAATATGCCCCGGTCCAGGTCAAAGTTCAACTGAGGAGGAAAAGGCCTCGGTGAGGCAGCGGCCGGGAGGGCCACTGGCAGGACCTGCCCTTCCGGGCTTCCCAGGGGACACTGCACCCCGCCCCCCCCCCCACGCTGAGGGGCTCCTTCCCTCAGCCCCTTTCCCAGAAAACCAAGCCCCAGAGTCACGTCGGCAGAGGACTGGGCAGCTACCTCGTCGTCCTTCCACTCCGAGAAGTCGATCTTGAAGGAGGGCAGGGAGAAGTGCTGGCCAGCGCCGCGTTTGTAGTGGACGGTCTCTGACCGCAGGGCGGGGCTTCGGGGGCTGTACCTGAGGGTCGTGGGCCATGAGATCCCCCGGAGCACACGCTGCCCAGCCTACCCCCCAGGCGGATGGGGATCTGGGGGCCGGGGAAGTCCCTGGCAGGTCCTCGCCATGCTGGTCCTGGGTGCAGAGCCCGGGACACAGGCTCTCAGTAGGCCAGGAATGCCCTCTGCCCCGCCCGTGTGCTGTGTCCACCCTGGGGCCCACGAAGCTCAGAGCAGGGTCCCCCCGTCCCCCACACCAGCAGGCACAGGAGGTGGCCTCCAGCTCCAGCACAAGGCTCACGGCAAGAGACACCTCAGGGGTCCACACGTATGGCCACGGGGACCCCCAGAGATGTCGCAGCTACCCCCAATATCCAGGGTGCCCCACTGAGAACACTGGTGCAGTCTTTCACGTTTACGATCGAGGGAGACCCAGTCTGGGGAGGGTCGCTTGCGGGGGGCACTCACGCGGCGGAGCCGTTGAGGAACTCCTCGGCCGCCTGGCAGTACACAGTGATGGCCACGCGCGCGTCCGCATCGAAGGTGAACTCCAGGCTGTAGAGTGCCCGTGGCCGGTCACTGTCCTCGCCGGGGCTGTCGCCACCGTCCTTGTACCTGAGGGGAAGGCGGCAGAGCCGGCCAGGTCCCAACCCCGCAGGGAGGTGCCAACCCCTGGGCCGGGATCCCACGGGAGAGGAGCCCCCGGCCACACCCCCCAGCCCTTGGTCACCTCACGAGCCGGAGGGAGTCTTTGCGGATGTTCACCAGGCTCCTCAGCGTCTTCACGGGCTCGTGGGGAGCGGGTGTGACATAAGGAAACTGTGGACATGCAGACCAGCCCCATGTGACCATCTCCAGCCAGGCCGTTGGTACCCCGAGGTGGCCCTGACCCCCGCCCAGTGCCCAGCCGCTGCCGGACACGCGAGGAGCAAGGAGCGTGGCTCCTGGGGCCCGGCCAGCCCGGGAAAGCGGCTCTACTCAGAAAGGGGCCCCCACACCCCGCGCCAGCCAGGCTTCAGGCAGAGAAGCTGCCCGCGCACATGCCCCACAACACACACCGCACACAGCACACGCCGCACACAGCATGTGCCCCAAATGCACGTAACCAGCTGTGGCTCCCGTGTGCTGGGGTGCTCCGAGCCGCCAAGACCCACCTGGACGGGGCGGCTGCCCAGGAAGTTCAGGTCCATGTTCTCTCCGAAGAGGTACCCTTCAGGGTGAGGGGTGTCGAACTTCTCGCCCCCCATGAAAAAGTGCGAGGCGAAGTAGTTTCCTGCTCAGAAAGGGGACAGGCAGAGTGGTCACTGGGGCCAGAGCCGCGGTCGCCACCTCCCGAGGCTTCTGCCCTCCACATCAGACCAGCCTCGGTGCCCGAGGAATGAAGGGCTTCCCCAGGCCACGGGGGGGGCCGAACCGGGCACAGAGTCTCCCGGCGGACAGGGAGGCAGATGGGAAACACAGTGACCAGGTAACCAGGAGCCCCAGGAGTCAACAAGGGGCAGAGAGGACCCCCCTCCCCCACATGCCTGCCCAGGTGCCCGCCCCCCATGGGTTCTGTCGGGGGACTGTTTCCCGGGGCTCCACGCGAGCATGCGGCACCCCCAAACACTGCCCACTTCCTGCTCCGAGTCCCTGACTGGTGTCTGACAGGGTGAGCGGCCTAGGACAGGGAGGCCCAGGCCCAATCCCTGGCACCACAGTCACCTCAGAACCACAGGAGCAACCCCAAGTCCCAACGGGCACAGCCCCCAAAACAAAGTGAAAATAAATGCGTCTGGGGCGACAGACACGGGGGGCTTCAGAACACGGAGCCCAGGTCGTGCCCGGAGCAGCGCCCGTCCCCAGGTCGCGGCCAGGACGCAGGGACACCCAAGGCCCCAGGGAGTGCCACCTGGGGGGGACACTCTGGGCTCCTCCTGGGAAACCCAGTCCACGGCAGGATCCTGCCCTGGACACGGCCAGTGCTGCATCCGCGGGAATGGGGGGGCAAACCCCGAGCTGCACCAACCCCTGCACCAGCACCCAGATGCGCCAGGCATGGGACCGACAAGAGCGACTGAGCCCCGTGTCACAGGACGCTGCTGCGGTTTCAGTGGCACTGTGACACCGCCGGGGGAAGCCCCGGCACCAACCGCCAGCACGCACGCACAGGCACGCACACACGTGTATGGACACACATGCGCCACAGGACCCCGGGGCCACAGTGCCTGACCCCAGGGGTCCTGGGAGCCTGGCGGGACAGGATGGGGGATGTGCTCCAGACACAGCTCCCTGCTGAAGTCCGCACTGATCACTCAGCCAACTTCACAGCCACGGGCTGGTGCTGGTCTCGCTTGGCCTCAACTTCTGCAAGGAAACTGCAGCCAGAGACACGGCGAGGAGGGACAGCGTCTCTGCGCAGGAGCCAGGAGGTCGGGGCCAGAACTGGAGTCGGGGCCATCGCTGAGACCCAGGGCTCTTCACAGCCCTCTCTGAGGGCAGAGTCACTCCCCAGGGACAGCAAGGCCTCGAGCGGCACAGGAACCTGAGTGACATGCCCAGCCCGGGCCCAATCACGGTTTGTGCTTTAGGCAGCAGAGGAGGCAGAGCTGGGAAGAAGCTGAAGACAACCTCCCTCCAAGACACACACACACACACACACACACACACACAGGCGACACACAGACACAGACAGATACATGCACGGAGAAACACACACATACACACACGCGCATGGAAATCCGCTGGGCACTTGAGAGATTTCTAGGCCAGGAACTGCCACCATCTCCTCGGCCCCTGGTGCGTCCCTCCCCCCAGCTTCCCCGGTACTGCCGCCAACCCTGGGCATCGGGAAGAGGCACCAGGAGACTGGGTCTGTGTGTGCCCAGCCCAAGAGTGGTGACGGAGGGCCAGGCCTGCCTGTGCTCCAGGACAGAGGAATTACCGGCTGGCAAAGTGCAGGTGCCTGGTTCAGGGAAGGTGCTGACTGGCCAGGTGTTCGGGGGGCTGGCAGCTCAGGCAGGGGTCTGGGAACCTGTCCTCACTCGCGAGACCCTCACTGAGGTGCGCGTCTCCTGTTCCGAGCTGCCCTTGGGGACACACTGTGGCACACGGCAGCAGCGCATCCTGGCCCAACTGGGAGTGCGCCTGACGTTTCGCCAAACCAGCATCACTTCCAGAGCCGGGGAAGACACTCCGGAGCTGGACCAACAGTACAGCGGTCCAGCCCATGTCCTGCACATGACCAGTCCAGTGCAATCATGGGCATGAGTCCCCAGGAGTGACGCCTGCCACGGAGCAAGGAGTAACACCTGGGCGTGGCCCCAAACAAACAGACATAGGACAAACTTTGTGTCACTCCACTAGTCTTTGCCCTTAATTCCTGCTAACTAGAAGGCGCCTGGGCCATAGTGGTGGGACTAAGGGGCCAAGGGTGCGTCAAACGCCTGCTCGGGCAGATGGCCCTGAGGGCCTAAGCACTGCTGGGTATCTGCACACAGTGCTGGCCACAGCGACAGTTGAGGGGGCACACTTTGACTCAGGGGTCCCCTGAGCACCGACTGGAGATGTCCCCAGAAACCATGCAACAGAACGGGCGGGCACTCTCAGGCGTGGACAGACACGCAGAGAAATGAATCTGCAACATACTCTTCAGGGAGTCTGGCTGGGGATCCCCCTGCAACAAACCTACTTCCCAGGGTCCAGGAAAGAGCCGATAGCGACCCTCGGCCACAAGCAGGTCCTCCTGCAGGGAAGCGACCAGGGCCACTGACCAGTGACTGACGCTGCACGGGGCAGACTCAGCACGGCTGGACCACGGGACGGGGTGGGGGCTGCATCGTGTACCCCGAGGGGAAGCAGAGCCGGGGCCTTCCCGGTGAGCGAGAGAACATGCAGACGCAGGGATCAGGGATGGGGCTGGCGCCAGCAGGCACAGAAAGTCTCAGATTGATTGTGGCACCCGGAGTCCAAGGGGAGAAACTGCAGGGCACACAGAACACAGTTCCACGAGGCTGTTATGCACCAAATTAATAGAACAGACACAGTATTATTCAATTCAAGGTAAACACTGCTGACACATACGCTGAGGAGTTCCAGGAAGCCAGACAGCTGTAGAAAGGCCCAACACATGAGCCACGGCACAGCGGGAGGATGCTGGCCCCAACACCACACACCGCCCCATGAACCCCGCTGGAAGTGGCCCCTGAGGACAGATCAGGAGTAGCCCCCAAGTACGGCTCAGTGTGGTTCCCAAACCAAAGCTTCCCACACACACTTGGACGCAGAGGAACTGCGCTTTGGAGCACAAAGTGACCTCACGGTGACCACGCTGGCCCTGACGCACCTATCAGTGACTTCTGTGAGTCAGGCCCTGGGGAAGGAGAGCAGGGGCCAAGCGCGGGTGCAACCCCAGAGGCCCCATCCAGTGCCTCCAGCCCCCCGCTCTCCCGGGCCCTCCCCACTCAGTGACCCCACAAACTGGGTCCCACCTCACGGCAGACTAAAAGTCCTTCTGCCAAGGTCCCTCTGCCTGGTGGCCAGAGGACTCAAGAGCAGAGGGGACAGCCTCTGACTGGACAGGCTGGAAGAGAGCGCCACTGCAAGAGGGAGAAGGCCCAGGACAGGTAACGGGGACCAGCCCAGCACTGTATCCCACACCAAGCATACAGGGACCCCAACATAGGGGGAGAGACTCCATCTGGTGACTGGTCCAAAAGTGAAGGCCCTGCACTTCCCCCTGGACCCCTTTTTCCAGACAGGGAGCCGGGGAGGCACGGGGCTCTCCTAAGTCCCCCGGAGAGACAGGCTGCAGGACAACGGCTCCCTCGCACTTGGGAACCCACCCAGAACCTGGAAACCCCCGTTAAGATCCAGGAGCCCCAGTTCACTCCCCTGCTCCCAAGCGGGGCTGCAGCTCACCAGCTTGAGCAGGGGCTGGGGACACGGCTCATGGGGGCCCCCAAAGCCTGACCTGGAGGTGGGGTTCTAGAAACACTGGTATCGCAGAACCAAAAAGGGGGGGGGGGGTGATCCCTGAGCCACGTGGGGGGTGTCCCAGAGCCACAGCTTCTGGGCACAGCCCCAGAAGCCCACATCAGTGACCCCACACCAGCCACTCCGCCTGCCCGGGAACAGAGGGATGGGGCCGGGGGCCGCTGGTCCCACGCACGGCTTGGGGGAGGTGGGACCCTGGTCCCTGCCCTGGGGAGAGCCACTTTCCCCCTGGTCACTCCGGGATCTCGGCCAACACGGAGACCAGCGAAGCTGGTGAGTCCCCGCGGCCCCACGGGGGTCACGGCGGAGCCGGCCCCGCCCCGCACGCGCTGGAGAGTCCCTGGGCGCCGCCCCCCGCTCGGTCCCCCACGCAGCGCCCGAGCCGGCCCCCGCGGCACCCGGCGATGCCACCCAGCCTGTGGACAACGAGCACTTTGTGAGCACGACTCGGCCAGCGTGGCGCGGGCAGCTCCCGCCGCGGCGCCGGCCTCGCACCGAGCGTCCCCAGCGCGCTGGCTCCCAGCGACTGACCCAAGGTCACCAGCCGCCAGCCGGGGCCCCACCCACCGCCGGGGTCCGGCAGGGGCGCGCCGCGGAGGGGGCTGCCGAGCGCAGCGCGCGCCCCGGGCCCGGCCTGGGGGGGCAGGGCGGGGCGGGGCGGGGGCGCCCTCGCCACGGATCGCGGCCCCTCCGCAGGCCGCCCGCGCCCACCCGCGGGCCGCAGCTCACCGGACTTGGGGGGGTAGCGGTAGGCCGAGTTGGCCTGGATGTCGATGTCCTCCACGCCCGCGATGCGGCGGCTCAGGATGGAGCCCATGGTGCGCGGCGGCCCGGGGCGGCGGCGGCGGCCTCACGCGGACATGGCCCGGCCCGGCCCGGCGGCACCGACGCTCCCCGCGGCCACGGGCGCCTCGGCCTCGAGCCCCCACCCCCGGCTCGGCCTCCGGCCCGACGCCGCAGCGGCTCCCGCCCCCGGGCGCGAGGCACTTCGGGAAATGTAGTCTTCCGGCCGCCGGGGCGCCGGGCCGCCGCCGCCGCCGAACTACCACTCCCAGGATGCACCGCGGCGGGCCGCCGGCGTTCCGGACCGGCGCTCCGAGACGGACGGGCGCGGGCCTGCCTGGCGCGGGCGCGCTGCCCGGGGCCGTCGCTGCGGTGCCAGCGCGTCGCGAACGCGCCCCTTTCCGTGCCGAGGAGAAGGGCAGCGCCGACCCTGACCGCGGCGAGCGGCCACCTGCGGCCCCGCCGGCAGAGGGCGCAGCTTCCCCGCACCCGGAGCCCCGCGCGCGTCGGGGGCGGGGCCGGGGCCGTTTCAGCGTCGCCTGAACTCGTGGTCCAGAGGGTGCCTAGGTCCTGCCCCGGTTCCCGGCTCCCCCCGGCCCCCGGGAGCTGCAGTAGGAGCTCCTGGGGGGCAGCGTCCGGGCTCGCGGGCGGTTCCCGGAGGCCGAGAGGTGGCCAAGCGGGCCGCAGGTTCCACCTGCTCGCCCCAGCACTGCGCGTCCCAGAAGCAGGCGCCGGGCCGGCTGGAGCAGGCAGCAGCAAGGGAGGGCAGGGAGCGGCCGAACCCCGCCGCCACGGGGCCCTCTTCTTTCCCGAGGCCGCGGTTCAGGAGGAATAAGGCTGCGGATGGGCTTGTGCAGTTGGGAGAGCGCCGGGTGCAGACCCCCGCTCCCCCCGCACCTGCCTCTCATTTACTTCTCCGCTGCGGATCATTAATTTTCATCCCCGACAGAGGCTGGTGGAAGTGAAGCTCTGCTTCAGGGGCTAGACGTCGGGGTTGGGAGGGTGCACAGCTAAGGGTGGGAAGGCTGGAACCCTCGCCAGGCCAGTTCGTGCCTCAGTCCCCCACCCCAGAGTGGGGGTGCCAGGCATCTTGCCCGCAGGTAGTCCTGAAGACTCACCCTGCCATGCGATCTTCCCTTGCCTGCAATTCCCTATTGAATCACTTTTTTTCTTTCTCTCTTTGGGTCACATCTGGCAATGCAAAGGGGTTCCTCCTGGCTCTGCACTCAGGAACCACTCCTAGCGGTGCTCAGGGGACCATATGGGATGCTGGGGATTGAACCCGGGTCGGCTGCGTGCAACGCAAACGCCTTACCCGCTGTTCTGTAGCTCCAGCCCCTTGAATCATTTCTTAGTTGAACCCGCACACACGTACATGCCCCCACGCGAGCTGTTTGGGGAGAGGGAGGACAAGTACCAGGGGCTGTTTCTAAGCCTTGGAGCAAGGTGCTGTGGATCCTGGTCCTGGGCACCAGCCTGGCCATGACTGGGGTGCTTTGCACCTGTTTCTCATTCAGTTCTCTGCTGCGGGTCATTAATTTTCTTTCATGCCCAACACGCGGAAGAAAGTGAGGCTGGGGGAGGTGAAGCTCTGCTGGAGGAGAGGGGGGTTGGGGGGCTTAGTGGGTTGGACCTTTGAAACATTCCTCTTCCTAGAGCTTTGGGCTAGAGACTGAATTTCTCTGGTTTGTGGGTGCAGTACCCCTGGGTGGAACCCAAGCCTCTTGTATGCAAACCACACACAGCCCCTGAGCTAGCACTCTGGCCTTTGCGGTGTAATTTTCTGAGACAGGCCGTTTCTGATCTGGTACTAGTTCTACTATTGACACTCTGGCTGATTCATTTATTTATTCAACATTTATCATGCAGCTACTATGTGGCAAGCAATGAATCAGGCAACCAGCCAGAGCAGCAGCCAGGAAATGGTGTGCCAGGAAGGAAACTTTGAAGGTTACCTTTTTTGTTGTTTGTGCTTTTTGAGACATACACTCCTGGCTCCGCACACAGGAATTACTCCTGGAGCTGCCTGGGGGAACCACATGGGATGCTGGAGATCAAATCTGGGTCTGCCTTCAGCAAGGCAACCGCCCTCCCTGCTGTGCCAGCGCTCTGGCCCCTTGACGGTGGTGAGAATGCCCGGGCGGCTGCAACAGCCCGGGAGTCCTGGGCAGGAGCCTTAGTGCCCAGCGCACAGCACACTGGGGCTGGACTGACCCAGGGCGACCCAGGCTCCATCCCCAGCACTCTGTAGGGTCGCCCAGGCCTGCCAGGGGTGACCCCTGATAGCAGAGCCAGGAGTACACTATGAGCATCACTGGGAGTACCCCCGCCCCCAAAAAAAAATACCGAGAAACCTACGGCTGACTAGAAAGTCAGGGAAAGTGTCTCTGAGGAGGTGGCGTTTCGGCTACAGGTAGCAATCTGCCAACTCTGAGGGGGCAGACTAAGCCAGGCTCCAGGAGAACGAACGTATACAGGAGTGAAGAATTGGTGGGAGGCTCCAGGCAGGAGCACTGGCCAGATCTCAGGCTCTTAGCCGGCCAGCAGGAGGGTCCCCAAACCACAGAGGCCCAGCCAGGAGCCCATGGTCACCTGGTGGTCACTGTCACTGTCCTCCCTTGTTCATCGATCTGCTCGAGCGGGCCCAGTAACATTGTGAGACGTGCTACTGTGTTTGACATATCGAATACATCACGGGTAGCTTGCCAGGCTTTGCCGCGCGGGCGAGATACTCTCGGTAGCTTGCCGGGCTCTCCGAGAGGGACGGAGGAATGGAACCCAACCTCGTGGTAAGCCCCTCAAATTCCCTTAGGGATGAGGGGCCCTCCCCCACATGACCTCAGAGCAGGTAAGCAGCAGGCCGCCTGCAGCATGGGGATGGGGGGGTAGGGAGGAGCCTCCCTGGGCATTAGCCAAGAGGAGGCAACACCAAAAAAAAAAAAAAGTCAATTTAAAATTCTCCAGCTCCACCTGCCCAGACCAGCCAGCGTGGTAAGATCCAAAGTCCACTCTCCAGGTACCTAAAAACAAACTTGTTTTCCACTCCCTGATGAACCCGGGAAAACAAGCCTGTTAAGGGCCCCTGTAGGGGCTTGCAGGTGACCTTTGACCGTGCCAGCCCCATCTGTCCCACCCCTACCGGCACCAGCCTGAAAAAGCTCTTTCTAGGCAGGGCAAGCTGGGCACATACCTGAGTGGTACCAGCATGAGGTTCCCATGCCAGAAACCCTGCTGGCCCACTGGCAAGAGCATGCCATTCCAGTCTCACTTTCCCCTCTCAGTGAAAGGGGGCACCCCAGCATGGTCCAGAGGGTGGCAGAGAGGCCGGTGCTAGAAATGAGACACTCCCAAGAGGAACCCTGGAAAAGCGGAAAGCTCAGGGGCTCCAGGGGGCTCCAAACCAGGAACCGGAAGCAGGAGCTGAAATCCCCAACATCAGAGGCCTGGGTGTGACTCTCCAGAGCCCGGCACAGCTGGCACTGAGCTTCACCCACGTGGGACTTGGAAAGGTGAGGGGACAAGTCTGAGATCAAGTGTCCTGTCACCACGAGGGCTTGCGAGAATTCGAAGGGGTCTGCCTGCAGCACACAAACTTGGGGTGCAGGCTGCCCACCAAGAGCCCCACTTGGGCCCAGGGCTGTGCATGGGCCCCTGAGCAACTCTGGGACTCCTGAGCACTTAACTCCCACCAACCACCAGGTCTGGCTCAAAGCCCCCCCCAAAATCAAAGCCCCACAAAGAGTGGGGGCACACCCAGCTATACTTAGTTATCAACCTGGCAAGGCTTGGAATACAATAGGCAGTGTCAGGATTTCCACTCCACTGTGGCAAGCAAGGCTAGTTCCTTAACCTTTACACTAACTCTCCGGCCCAATAGCCAAAAAAGGTTGTTGGGCCACACCCGGTGATGCTGAGTGCTGTCGAATGTGCATTCCGGCAGTGCTTGGGGGCACTTAAGGGATGCCAGGGGTCGAACCGGGTTGGTCCAACGCAAAAGAAGCGTCTTACCCACTGTATTTCCTCAGCCAACAACGAAGAAACATAGTTAAAATCAGAGGCTGGAGCGATGGTACAGAGGTAGGGCTCTTGTCCTGCACAACACTGACTCGGGTTCCATGGCTGGCACCCACATAGTGCCCGTGTCCACCATAACGATTCCTGAGAGCACAACCAGGAGTCACCTGACACTGCCAACTGTGGCCTCCATACATCAATTTTTAACAATTACTGTGTGAAACTAAACGGTATAAAACAGGCTGAAAAGGGGCTGGAGCGATAGCACAGTGGGTAGGGCGTTTGCCTTGCACGCAGCCAACATGGGGCGACCTGGGTTCGATTCCCAGCATCCCGTATGGTCCCCGAGCACCGCCAGGAGCAATTCCCGAGTGCATGAGCCAGGAGTAACCACTGTGCATCGGCGGGTGTGACCCCAAAAAAGCAAAAAAAAAAAAAACAGGCTGATTGCTCCTTCCCCAGGGAACACAGACTGGGACACCCAGGGGGAAGGGAGCAACAGCTCTCGGCCTATGTCGGGCTCCCACGGTTCGCTCAGGCCACATGGCCAGCATGGGCCTTTCTCTGCGCCCCCGGGACATCTCTGCGTCTGTCCCCCACAAGGGCCCCGTACGCTCCCAGCTGCCAAGAGGCGAAACCCCGGGAGGGTGTGTAGGCCCTAAGAGAGCCGCGGAGGGCACTGCAGGTGACCCCTACCCACCAATCCACTCCGGGTCGCTTTGGCCCATTAAGTCCGATCCTTTGATGGAACCCGGGCTGCCCAGATACGAACGCGCGCCCGGTCTGAGCCACGTCCCACACCCATTCCACCCAATCGTGCCAGCTGGGCAAGGAGCTAACTGCCCTGGACCTAACCCGCCCGGCTCTCCCCACCAGCCTCCTTTTTTCTCTAAGCCTCCAGGGCTCCTATGCACGGAATCCAGTCCCGGGGACTGGGCCCGCGCCCACTCTCAAATTCTAACCGGGCCGTGGGATCTGGGCCACAGGGCCCGCACCCTCGCCTCCGCCCCCGCGCACACATTCCGGCTCCGCCCCACGCTGTCCGCTGGGCTGGTGGGAAAAAGGCGCTCCCCGCCACCCCCAATCAATGAACGA